AGATCATGTATGCATGGGTCGTAAGTAAGCTGCGATAGAGGATCCATCAACCGCAGAGTAAGACAAAACCTGTATCCAGAAGCAAAAAAAAGAAACAATCCAGGCACACTGATCACACTACCTCCGTACCATTCCAACGCTACGGTTACTGATCCCCTGATCAAAACTACGCTTCCTCCGTCTCCCATTATCGACCGCAGACGACAAGCCAGACTTCAGGCTCGTAGCACTTGCGTTCTTCGCATCCAACGAGAGTGCTGCACCGACAGCAGGCATGCTCAGTCTCCGTATCCAGCCCCTGGGCTTCTCAGGGCATAAAATGATAGGTGGCTCCGGAGGACGTAGGTCGCGAGGTGAGGGTGAAACATCTGGTGTTTTGTATTTAATGACGGAACACGCATCACAACCGCAAAATGGCGCGTGGTCTTTCGCAGGTAGAGGAGAAGACGGCTGTGAGCGTGACGGAGATTGAGATTTCCGCTGCGGTGAAGTCGAGTTCGGTGGAAGGACGAGGTGTGAAGTGCTCTGTGAGCCGCGTTTGTACTGGAATGGTATCGGGTGAGGCACTCTGGGCGTGTCACTAGCACTGATAAGGTCGCCCCGTGCATCAAGAAAATGCATTCGATCGCGCTCGAAATCGCGCGTTTTCTGGTTGAGTTCTCGTTCGCGCTGTCGAAGCTCGCATTCTTTCTCCTTGAGCTCTAGTTCTACGAGCTGTTCGATACGTTGTCTCCGCTTTCGAATATCTTCTTCGCCTTGAGGGCCGTCACGGGTGGCTTGGGAAGCAGGAGGGTTCTCATCGACCACTTGTCTATCGGTTGGCGAACGTCGAGGGGTCTCATCTATAGGCTCATATCTAGAGGCGAGATCTGAAACGCTCATCGGCAAGCGCGGTACATCTTTCGGCGCCAGAGACAAAGGCTCGATCTCAATGCAAACAAAGATCAGCCCGGCACATGAAAGAATTAAATACACATCTACTCACCGTACGACTGTAACGATTGAGCAAAGCAGCAACAATACTCACATTGCTTGTAGAACTATTAGTGCGCTCAGGCGTCTTCTTAGCAGCATCGATACTCCGGCCCCTTTTGAATGCGCTGCGGCTTTCCACTGAAGCACTGAACTCGCGCTCTGAAGGAGTATGCTCTAGTTGCTTGCTGTTGAGTGTTTTCTCGCTTGAAGTCGCTCGTGCAATCAGAGATAGTCGATCAAGTTCCACTTCCTCACAGGACTGGGACTGCGTCTGTTGGACCTTCTTCTCACTACCAGTCAACATCCCCGGTCCAATTATTCCCTGTGCCACTCTGTCTTCGAGGTGATTATCAGAGTACCTATGCTGTAAGGAGGAAGGCGCAGTCTGTCCGTGTGACGCAGAATACAATTTGAAATCAACGAGGATATGCTTATCAGAAAGTGTACTCTCGATCGGCTGTGGAGATTCCGATAATAGGACACACTGTTGAGCTGGTTTATTTGGTCGGGGAACTTGTAAACTCTGCATTTGCGTTCTCTGGTGCTGCAGCTCTGCTTCGTTAGCAGCTAGAGGGATGGGGAAATGTGTCGGAGGGAAGGGGAACGCGCTGAGAGTCGTTATCGAGTTGATGGAGCCCTGATTCTGGTTCTGCTCGTTGGAGCTGAATGGCGGGTGGGGACGCTCGAGGTCGGCGGGATTGGCTTGTGAAGGAAGGGGAAACGAAGTTTGGTATTCGTGTTTTCCAGGCGGGATGTTTTGACCCCATTCCGTTACACCCCGGGTTGGAAGTGGAGCTCGAGCAGACGCAGGTAATATGTCTGGTAGGTCATCGGGTAAGGGACCTGTCCATGCGCCCTCGCAGAGAGCTCGCCATTCACCAAGTGGACCAATCGACGGGGAGAATCGACGGATGCTTTCACATGACCGCGCCCATTCTGCATCTGCGACCCTCGAGAGGCAGGCTGCTATGCTATACGTGGTCGATGTGTGCTGTTGCGTCACGAGTAGTGCGTGATTACTGTCGAATACAGTCAGAACAAAAGTACTGCAATAGGCATACGTAAAACTTACTATTTCTCCTGAGACATCTCAGGACCAAGCGTACTGAGCAGATTAACATAACGTGCGTGTTCTTCCCCAACATCGCGTGCACTCTTCTTAGCCTTCTTCTCGTATGCCTGACCTTACAGGAACCGTTGAGACAACGCAACCTCGAGCGAAACGACAACATGATGTGACGTACCAGCTTGCTTTATACGAGCGTTTGAATCATCCATACGTTCGTCATGGGTTTTCTCTTCTTTCTTCAGTCGTCAGTGAGTGAGCGAGGGGAGGGTGGAGTGAGGAACGTAATATGTACCGCGAGCTTTTTGAACCATTTTTTCACCTCTAAACTGATACTGCGACATTCCATATCAGCTATCTTTGCAAACTTAGCATCGACATCGGAAAGAACGTCGAATATGCTTGCGCTAACGTTCAAGGCGTTGCCTGTGCACCGCGCCGTTTCGTGAGACTTGTATTTGGGTTGAACTTTGGAAGGTAAACTTACCTGCGATCTCATTAGTGGTTTTGAGGGCAGCAGCTTCTTTGAGGGTTTTTGAGAGCTTCCTCTGTAGTGCGACGATAGCCCCTGCAGCTTCGCAGTAGTCAGTAAGCATGTTCACGAGTGTCTCCAATGTTCCGCATGATTTGTGGATGTCTTGCCGTTCTGCGGGTCGTAAGGAGGTGGTGAAGCTTGACATGGAGATACGCTAGAGGTAGGGAAGTAGTATTATGATTAAATGGAGACTTTACTCCTTGCTCGCTCGAGCTTGTGGTCCCGCATCGGTTATGCTGGTGAGAGATGATCATCGGACTTTGAATCAAGCGGCAAAAAACATGTTAAGACAAATCCAAGACAGCGTGCTAGCATACAAGATATTCTACAGTAAATTTGTTAGTCGTGTGAGGTCCAGCTAGAAAGCAGTGCATATATGTGATGTAAGTGACCCTGTGCGGGTCTGGAGATTCATAGCAATTGAGTATGGATGAATGCAGGAGGGGGGCACGAACTAGTACTTAAAAGTGGGTGCCTGCTCCTTCCTTTCAATGGGTCCTGGTCCCGTCAGAATGTTGTTCTACACTCGGACTACATCTGTCAATGATCGCGAATTCCGCAAAGTAAGTGTATACCTTACCTTGATGACTTCATGCGTAGCAACTTTTTCCAAGGCTTCCGTCTGGACCGAGAATTGGTACCAGGATGGAGTGGAATGATGTATTTACTACGTGGTGGTGAATGAGACACGAGTGGGTCCTGGTTACGGAACAGTCAGAAGCAAGCTAGGGTAAGAGAAGTATGAACTTACGTCAAGCGAGCATGTTTCGATATTCCTTTGCTCTCTCAGTCCCTGTTGGACGTGCCCGTGGTCCGATGGATCACACTGAACGTCTCATGAGAACTAGGACATGCCAGCGCCGAGAATACTGGACTTACATCTGAAGCATCGGATGCGAAATATACGCATTGCACCTTGGTCAGCAGAGCATAATGGTCGCTGATCCACCTCCTCCGCGTCAGCTGCCCGTATTTCTTCCAACAGCTATCTTCTTTGGTGTATCTACAAAGAAGCCTGGACGAGGCGTATAGACCAACTTGTCTAGTCTTCCTGGTGTAAGCGGAGAAGGAGGTTGATACCCCCAAGTGAACCCTCCTTCATCGTCGCCGCTCCATGCATCCCACAAGCCAACAGATTCAACCAGTTCGGAGTCGTTGAGCGAAACAGCGTTAAAGTCTCCTCCAACGACTCCTCCAAACAGCCCATCCTGTATCAAAGCATCAGCGACGAGCTTGAATTGTCTCTCCCTGATAGGGGCGCCGTCGGGTAATGGGTCAAGGTGGGTGTTAGCAATTCGCAAGGTGACGACAGACTCGGATGATGCGGGAGCTTGTGCTGTGTCCAGGAGACCGCTGAGCTTGACGTCTACGAAAATAGCGTGGTGCTGCGATTCAGAGCAGCTGAAATGAATAGTTGTTGACTTTGTGATGCGGAGGGAACGAGAGAGGAGGGTGACTGTGCCATACTTTGCGAGCTTAGGCCAGGCGTCTGTGGTTGAAGGAATGACGACGAAGAAATTCTGGACCCACTTGTTATTGAGAATGGTATCGAATGCAGTGGTTAGGACGCCTTGGAGGAGGATCGAGCATGGTTCAGGACGTCTGCGGTTTGTCCTGCACTTGAAGACCTGGTGCTGGATATAGGAGAGAGCAGCATCTAGGCGAAGGTCTGGTTCTGGCCTCATACAATCAACGTTCCATGATACAACACGGATGAAGCTGGGCATGTGTTCTCCGGCTCTATCTTGACTCGGACCTGGAAGCCATTGTTTCGATTCAGCGGTGTAATGCACTGGTTGAATGTCTCGGTGAGCGTCAGCCATGACCCTCCTTCGACGCCTGGCATATGCAGATGAATATGTAGGCTATACTTGTCGGTCAAGCGTCGATGGCACAGCCATTCATAATACCCGATCAACAACCGTAGACTAAGCACAACAAATATAGATGGTCAAGCAAGTTCATTAAAAGACTTGGCGCTTATTCTCACGAGGCTTGCAACAACGCTTATTTCCGTTCATTACGTCAAGTATATCGTCGCGACCTTGACCAGAAAGGAATCGCATTCAAGTCTTTGTTTGGGAGTCCAGAAAGATGAGACATTATACAGCAAGGGGAACACATGCAAAAACAGCATCACGAACAGTACCTCCACAAGCCCAGCGTTAACCGATACGCCAAAGCTTTCTCCTTTTCACCACAAGTTGGCATTGAGCTCTTCCTTGAGAGCGAGAAATTCATTCGTCATGAAATGGAACACTCGACTCAAGATCGAGTGGCTACATCCAGCATAAATATCAACCCCAGCCAAATGATGAATGATACTGACATAAACCAATATGCCCACAGGTTTTTTGTTAAAACGTGGAAGGCAATCATACGACCGTATAGTAGTGACATATTCAGCTTGAGAATCGATCGAGCTTAAAGGTCCTTGACTTGGTCCTCAAGCCAATTCCACAGCTCTGAAGCCTGCTGCGGGTCCTGCGCGTCTGCGTGTGTGTTCCCAATGCGCGCCCATGGAACAAGATACTGTCCAGGATATAAGTTCGAGTTCATTCATGAGAGAAAAGGCTAACCTTTCCGTTAAGATTCGCTCCTTCTGCAGTGGTTCCAGCATATAACTACGTGAGCGCGCCAAGTGATACATCATGGAAGATCATACTCTGCAAATATCGAACAATTAGCATCTGGAAGGTTGAATGATACGTGATAACACACGGATATCATTTTGGAAAAGGAGCCATGATAACGGCCAAGCTCCGTCTTGATACCACCGGGGTTGAGTGCTGTTGAGACTATACCTCGGTTGCCATATCGTTTAGCTACCTCAGCTGCAAATAAAATGTTGCCCTTTGCACACAGGAGTTTAGCAAAGGAGTTGATACAATGGAGACAAAACTTACCATTTTGCTTTGGCCATAAAGATTCTTGACGCTCTTCTGTTTCCTGGCGGGAGAGTCCTTGAACGTGTTATAGTCTAGACTACCGAACCAGTGGGCGTTAGAAGCTGTGTTCACGATGCGTGCAGTTCCATCAGGTGACTGCGTGGTACCCGCTAGAAGTGCAGGCATAACAATTTTCGTGAAGTAGAAGTGACTAAGGACATTTGTACCAAATTGCAGGTCATAACCGTCGTCCGTCAACATCTCTATAGGAGGAGCCATTACCCCAGTGAGCGACATGTGAGTGGACGATGAGACGACAAGCCAGGGCAACACTCGCGCGTTGTTGAATAGGACATGCAGTACGGGTTCTCTCCTAAAGTGAAGTGTCAGTTGTCTCGCTGCTCAACAAATGCAATGTAAGTGTACTGCAGAAACTCTTCTCCAGAAGCCTTGATGGACTTCAAGTTTGCCAAGTTGAGTTGCAAGAAACACGCTTCTTGTCCGGTGCTCTCTTTTAGGTCGCGAATAGCGTTTTCACCCTTGGCCTTGTCGCGACATGCAACGTAAACCTTGGCATTTTTTGTGAGGAGGACCTAGCCACGAAAAGCGTCAGCATGAGGACAAATACGGTGATGGGAGGCAGACTCTGGCGGTCTCTTTGCCTATCCCTGAATTAGCACCGGTGACGAGAACAACCTTTCCGGACATGTCTGGGACATCAGATGCGTGAAACTTTGTTGACGGGGGATAAGTCTCGCGAATGTACGCTGACCAGATGTGACCCATAATGTGCACGTGGTGGTTTTGGGGGTGAAGTTTATCGTTCGATGGATACCCGCCCCATGGCTTGCCAGAGCGCTCATAAAGGATTCATAGTTTATATATAGATACGCTCCGCAGTGAATTTACTCTCACGATCATATGCGAACTTGATCTCTCATTCTAGGTATGCATCTAGTACTATGTTGCTTCTTCCGCGCGGGCATGCTGCATTTGACTTCTGCACTTGGAAAGATCAATTCCGTCGCATACTATATCAATCTCACAATCCAGACAATATCGTACTCCAGCCGTTGATCGGACTCACAATCTGCAGAACCACAGTCATTTGCAGGCTTAGCATCGGAGACAAGGGTAGCAAGAGAAAATAACCTCCATGCAAGCTGGCCCGTGCGGGAACTGTATAGCAGGAAGTCATGGACGCTGATACCCAAGCACCCCTTCCTCGCACGGCATGTGTGTTCCTCAGTGCCATCGCAGAACCAAATTCTACTCCAGCATTTTGCAATTCCCTTCTCCAAGTCATGTGCGAACCGTCGTTCAGCTCACACAAAATATAAAGAGAGGATAATGGTCTGGCAGCGGATGGCTGCCAGTGTGCCGGAAGCGTGATGTATCCCACTTTAACGACAGAAAGCTCTTGTCTATTTCCCTCCACCCCTGGCCAATCATCTATCTGCTGTATGCTGCATGGCCGGACCATGGGGTTCCGAGGATGAAGACCGCTAGTCAGCTCACAGGCGGTGACAGCCTGTTGCACGGACTGGGCAGCTGAGCCGCAGCTCACAGGCGAACAGGAGCGATAAGCGAACTTCTATGAGACTACGACCGTCTGCCATGCCTATGCATAACATAGAACATCGATGATACTGCTGGTTCGTTGCACCGCGTCTTTTCTAGACCTTCGAGTCGCACCATTCTCTTAAATTCCAATACGTTCGCAGTCTTCAACTATGGGTAAACGTCGTGCCATCGTTCTTTAATCAACCTAAATGAAACGGAACTGAGCCATTCGACGATTTACGAGCCCCATCATCATTGATAACTCTTTGCAGGTCGCCGTCGAAGCGCCATATCGGCCATATCGGTTATCATCATGTGCTCATGACGAACGTACGTCTGCTCTCGTCATCGAGATAATGAATGTGACATTCATTTATACTTTAGCCCCTCACGGACATGTCTTCGGGAGAAGCAAGCTCTTGCACTATTGGAGTAAGTCAGTCAGTTCTTGGACGTTGTTCGGTTACAGGCAGTCACATGTGATGGGACCCTAGATGATGGAGACCAAATGGTTGGTTACAAAGTCTGTGTCTTTCTGGAAATTAGAGGTCCTTTTCACTGTGGTATGGAAGATAGGCTTGCCAACTTGATATTGACGATTTGATCGAGTTCATGTGCCTGGTGCGGACGATTATCACCCTGTGTCGTCGTCACGATTAGGTCGGTCACGTATGTTTTGAGAAACGTTGTGGTTTTCGAGGCTATGCTCAGAGCACGTGCACTTAGTATGAAGCGATGCGCCTTCCCAACCAAAGCAAACCGGTTTCCCCATGTATTTTTGTTCGAATCAGAGAAGGTTTATAATAATTCGTGGGTTGGCGTCTATTGTAACTTTTTGAGATCCTGCATTCCAGGGAGTGTACTTTGTCGGTTTATGGCACTATCTATGAGCTCAGGCTCAAGTAGTCCTCAATGGGATAACCGTCATCGTGGCTTTATTTCTCCCGCCGAACTACAACAGCTCAGACAAGCTAGTCCAGGCAGAGGAACCGATCTACACGAGTTTCACGCACGACAACCTGCAACAACTCCTTCAGGCGACAACAACCCTAGCGCTGGAGCAGTAACATTAACAACTCAACAGGAGGACCAGTCGGTCTCGAGACCTGCTCAACAACAATCAGTCGCTAATACAATGTCACACCTTCGCACTTCGTCTTTCTTTTCTTTTCGCAAACAGTTGCAGCATTCAAGTGACGCGAATACAGATCACCAGCAGCAATCTAACCGACGCCCAAGCACCGGTGCGCAAGACCGCGACTTCGCACCACAAAACATCCAACAGCGCGCTCAAACAATGGGTCCAATGCGCTCCTCGCCAGAGAAGCAGGATGACCAAGAGTCTGACACGGCTTTAGCAACCCGCAGAGATTCTTCAGCTGTTCCCCCTCTTCATCCTGAAATACGCTCCATTGTTCAGCTCACGGTCGCGCATGCCCGAAAAGTCTACTTCAGCGGCCCACTAGTAAAACGCGTACAGCGCCAGCCGGATGGCCAACGTCCCAAAGATGATGGATGGTTCGACATCTGGGCACAACTTAGCGGCACAACGTTGAGCATATGGGACATGAAGGAGATTGAAGAAGCAAGCAAGAAAGGCCTTGAGGTGCCTCCTACGTATGTAAATATCACAGACGCCGTGAGTCCATTCCAATGTCCTTCTATGCTAGTGGTGATGACGCTGGCTGTAGTTTGTTCACGTACTAGGTTCAGTGACTGGTCCCGCCGAGGGTCCAGATCAACCGCGGAAGACATATATGAACGTCTTCACTCTCAACACGGCAGGCTCTAATTTGCTTTTATTCAGCTGTCCGTCAGCATCGGCATTGGAGTCATGGGCAACAGCTCTACGATTATCTGCTTGGGAAAAGTCTCGTCTTGAAGAAATGTATACTGCTCATTTGATACGCATAACATTGCTTGAAGGTCAGTTGTCTCACTAAAGTATGTTCGACACTGACGTCATATTTCTCAGGCAAAGACACCCGTACAACACTCGTCCGTGGCCGCATGGAAGGGTGGGTGCTCATACGTGTTGCTGGGCAAACAGACTGGAAACGCATGTGGATGGTCATATCCGGGTCGCAAACTTTGTACACCGAACCTGGAGCCCCGTCTACTACCGCTGGCACCACACCTACTCCCAAGAAACGCATGTCGAATCTCTTCTCGCGCGATCACTCCCCCGAACCTCTACCAATGAAGCCTTTGCTTGCACTTTATGCATCTCCTAGGCCAAGGGACAAGAAGCACCCCCTTCTTACGCTCAGGGAGGTTTCACAGGCGTTTGCAGTGTACCCAGAGCGCCCGGAATTGATCAACCGCAGCACGCTCATGAAACTTGAGGGTCTAATTGGTGACGAGGAAACGGCGGGCACGATGAAACGAAGGGAGGGGTGGTTGCTTATTATGCCTGAGCTTGAGGCAGGGAATACACAAGCATCCGAGATGCTCAAGTGGCTTGTTGGTGAGTAGACTGTTTCAGTCGCGCAGACCATGATGACTCACCATTTATTCAGCGCTTCATGACGCCTTTGAGCTATACGGACGTCCGAAAGTGTACACTTGGGACCCTCGTGATCCAGTTTCGTTGATGTTTGCTTATCCAGTTAATCCTGGGAGAGACGTAAGTGCAAGTTATTTCTCAACACAAGGTCTACTAATTTATTGGATGATAGCTCTTGTTCCTTGATCGTGAAGTTGCAGAGTCTATGGACCCACGTGACGACCGTACCTCTGCTATTCGCAATCGTCTTTTAAATATCCTCCACTCACGTATGCCTGGACTTCGTGCCGTATCTGCGCCGCCCCCCCTGCCACCCATTGGTCTAGGTGTTGATCCTAATCGCCCACAACAGCAACAGCCGTCACAAGATATTACTCAGCCCCCATCACAAACTCAGAATGGTCAACCTGTTGACGCCCCCCAGCTCCCCACGATCAATTTCGACTTGCGCTCGCCACCAGACCTCACTGTTGGCCACGCTCTCTCCCCCATCACGGAACGGAGCGCAACGCGTGAAACGCTTCCGGATTTCCCTCGTACGCAAAGCCGTTCGATGTCGAATGAGCACAACGAGCCTGAGTCGATGATGATAAGCAGCTCGTCGATGTCGAGTGGGAACCCAGATTCGGTGGGACGGTCGATGAGCAACGGGCATCAGGACTTTATGTCGCGTTCCATGTCCGAGCACAACCAGTCGCAGATGCTTACTTCGTTTAACCCTGTCCTAGAGAACATACCTGGGTCAATCACAGGTCTCCCACCGACTGGAAGCCCTCCTCCTACCTTGCGTTCCGACTCAAAGCCTACCTCAAGCTTGGAGACTGCACAAATGAGGAGTACAGAGCCATCCACAGTTGCGAGTGTAGATGTTGGCGGGTTCAAACTTCCTCTTACGCCTGAGTCTCCTAGGTCACCTACATTTTCTACGAGCTCGACAAGTCCTAGTTCAGGAAATGGTAAGCCTACTTCGCCAGGAATGTTGTTGTCCTCCCTTGTTGCACCTGTGCCCATCAGATCACCAACTTCGAGAACTCCCCCTCCTGGCTCGCCCCTTTCATGTCTCACATCGCCTTACTCTCCCAAAGGGAAGGATAAAGAGTTACCTTCTATTCAAGATGTACAGGATGTTCTACAGCTACCGCCTCGAGCACTGTCTCCGCCTCACCCATTTATAACGCAGCATAATACAGGCTCACCGCCCTTGCCTCCCAAAGCCAAGTTATCGAACTCAACACCCCGGGCGCCTGTTTCTGTAGCAACAGTTCCTGTTGCCCCCGCACAGCCCCTAGTACAAGACAGTCAGAGTATCTTTTCAGACGCTCTCTTCTTCATGCAACAACTCGACGAAAAGCCCCAAAACCCGCCGCGACGCGTCCCAACCACCATTTCTGAAGCCTCAAATTCCGAAGAGAGCTCAGTGTCTGACAACCCATTGCACCCATCATCAGCGCGTCGGGAAATACCGATGTCATTTTCGGAGCTGGGAAGGACGGAAGCTAATATTAGCGAACACAGCATGATTGGCTCGCGCCCTTCTCTCGGCCGTAAGCCGTCCGGTGCACGTGTACAACCTATTTCTAGCCGAGGCCCAAATGTGGAAGCCATCACCTCAGTTTCCTCACCTTCTTTAGAGTACGTTCACGTCCAGGCCATGACGGATTCGCAACAGAAGATCATCCAAAAGCAGAACAGCGGCGACGAAGTTAATGTAGATGCACTTGCTGCGTTGTCTTTCCTTGATGGTACATCTGATGTCGCACCCCCGCCTGCAACTACATCCCAGCCGCCGCTGATAGAACAAGACGTGTCGTCAGAGCCTACTGTCGAAGGTAGTGCTGCATCTGAGAGCTCGGAGGGCGTCACGCAGTACAGGTCGTCATTTGCTCCGTCAAAGCAGGCTGCACAACGAAAGGCGCGTGCACAGGCGCAGCATCAGGCAGTGCTTCACAAGCCTGGGAGAGCGAACGGGAAGCGTGTCAAACCTGGGAACAGGGTCTCTGGGTGGAATGAGAGCAGTGAGGAGGAGGAGGAAGAGGAGGAAGAGGAAGAAGACGACGACGACGACGAAGATGCTGATTCTGATGAGGAATCCCCTTCGACTTTGGAGAGCAAGAAGCCGGCTCCTGTCCCGCCAGTACCGGTTCCGGCTGTTAGACCTCTGCGTCCCGGTAGTGCAGGGCGTGCTGTGACACCTGGAGAACAAGCAACGGACGCGAATCCCTACGCGCAGTTACGACATCCTCGTAATCTGCCGCCTGTTCCGAGGCCGCTGACACAAGGTTAGTATACCTTTATTTGTTGAATTTTCTGAGCTGATGATCTTCAGGCGGTGTGTCAGATGACTATATGAACGCCATGCCACCACCTCGGCGACTCGCTTCCGATCAGCACATGCGAACACCAGATGATGCCCCTCACCTGCGCCCACAGTCTGAATATACTTCCCAAGTCCTTCGTCCACAAGCGGACTTCAATCAACACGGTGCCGCTCGTCAAAACATTTGGACACAGGTTCTTGATCCTGGTCGCACGCCCGGTTCTCATCCTCAACCTGAAACTCCTTCACACCAACGAGACCCTTTCATCCAGTTGGAACCTGCTTCTCAATCCATGACGAAAGCTTTCACTCCTCACGGTCTGCTATCTGCTGGGATGCAGGACAAGCAGGACCGATCTGCCAAGAGACAAGAAGAGCTTGCGCGGGAAACCGGTGCTTCACTTATCAACGTTCCTAATAAACCACCACCACCTCAGACGGGTCTCTTGGGTGCGATCACTGCTCATGAACGCGAGCGTAAACGCGAAGGTGGCGTTGGTGCTGCTTTGACGGAGCGTGAGCGCGAAAAAAGGATGGCTGAAGAGCGGCAACGCAAGATTGACGACTTCCAACGCAACCAACTGGAGATGCAGGGCATGTATGGAGGTGGCCAGCAGTACCCGAACATGATGGCCAACCCAATGATGGCCAATCCTATGATGATGGGCCTGAACCCAATGATGACTGGTGGGAACCCGATGATGGTTGGTGCCAACCCGATGATGAACGGCACCAACCCCATGATGACCGGTGGATATATGGGTTATCCGGGTATGATGCCAGGATTTAGCAATCCGCAGTTCTTTGCACAGCAGGCAGCGCAAGCTGCTTACCAGCAAGCTATGATGGCATATTCCTCTGCCGGGTCACATGTCGGCGATGGCATGCACCCCACGCCCATGAATCCCATGAACCCCATGATGACCGGCGGTGGGATGGGCTACGATCCTCGGATGTCGATGATGGGCATGCCGATGATGGGCAACCCCTTGGGCATGAATCATATGGGCGGAGGCATGGGGATGGGGATGGGAGGCGGTGGTATGGGAGGTGGTGGTATGGGAGGCATAGGAAGTATGGGCATGCAGATGACAGGTGGTTCGGCGTTCGACGCACGGTATTCTCCAGCTAATATGGAAGACCTTCGTCCTCCCGGCTCGCTCGCGCAGGGTCAGCGTACTGGCCACAGTTCGTCCCGGAACAGCTCGGCTGGTCAAGGATCGCCCGCCGGACCGCGCCCTGTCGATGCCCGCGACAACCCGAAAAATTGATCTGCGGTCTTACTTCTACACTTCTCATTTAGGCATCTCTCCTTCTCGGTCAGGCGTGCAATGACAGTTAATTCAATCGCGCCTTTTTTACGAAGTTTACGACCATAAAATGCCTTTTGCCTAGTTTATCACTTTTCATACCTACATTTTTCATGGACTTGGTCATATCAAATTATCTTCTGCATCGTTATATCTGGGACCCTGAAGAGATTGTTACGGTAGTTTCAGGTGTTTCTTAAATTGCTTTTTACTGGTAAACATCGTGCAAAGGAATTCGAGTCAGCGGATGCAATATTCGGCCCACGGGACTTGGTGCTCGCATTAGGAGTCTTGTCCGAATCCGATCAAAGTTTCTGCGCAACTACACCCGTACTCACCCGTACTCACGTTCTTAGAAGACTGACAAATGGGTGTGAAGTCACTATGGGACCTCTTGTCTCCAGTGGGTCGCCCAGTGCCGTATGTACTCCATGATTTCTGGGGTTCTGACATACTTAAACGCTGGGTTCATTCTAGGCTCGAGACCATCGAAGGGAAAGCTCTTGCCATTGATTCTAGTATTTGGATCTACCAGTTTCAAGCTACTATGCGCGACAAGGATGGACGTGCATTGGTTAACGCACATGTGCTTGGTTTCTTCCGACGTATCTGCAAGCTACTATTCTATGGGATTCGCCCAGTCTTCGTGTTTGATGGAGGAGCTCCTGCGCTTAAGAGAAACACGATTGTAAGGCACTTTTTCTTTCTGCTCACTGCAATGGTGACAGAATGGTATAGATCGAGCGTAAGAAGAAGAAGAGTGGTGCAGCTGCAACTCACGCCAAGATTGCGGAGAGGCTGCTGGCAGCCCACATGAGACGGGAGGCTTTAGTACATGCTCAAGCGTTACAGTATGCGACCTATCGTATCCTGAATGAGTGTGCAAATACTTATATATGTAAGCCAGCCCTTCATCGTCAAAAGGAAAGCAGAAAGTGCCCTCAGGACCCGTGATCCTGGATGAGAATGCGGTTTACCTTGAGGACATTGATAATTCTGCACCGAAGACACCGGCAAAGAAGAAAGCAGAAGAAACACCTCTTTCGTCAAAAAAGAAAGCTCGCTTTTATGACCATGATCCTTACAGACTTCCAGAAGTGGATCTTGAAGAGCGCGTAGCGAAGGCCACTAGTTCGCAGGCTCCAGACCCGCGCCTCGCTACAGAGGAAGAGCTCCGGACATTCATAGAGGAGATGCGTCCAGAGGACTTCGATGTATCCTCTCCAGCATTCCGAGAGCTGCCTACAGAAGTTCAGTACGAAATTGTTGGTGACCTTCGGTTGAAATCACGTCAGACATCGTACAAGCGTTTGCAGAACATGCTACAGAAGGCAGAAACTCCTTTGGACTTCTCCCGAGAACAAATCAAGAATCTCAAGCAAAGAAATGCTCTAACTCAACAACTCCTGATGACTACTGACAGTATCGGTAAAGCACACATCACCATTCCTGTTCGAATTGCCAGTGAGCGAAATAGAGAGTATGTTCTTGTCAAGAACGACGGGGCGGACGGTGGTTGGGTCTTAGGCATCCGAGACGACGGCACGCAGTCAAAACCAATTGAAATTGATCAAGACAAGCCCACACTTCAAAGCGACAGCGATGATGACATGCAGATGGAGGAAGTCAGTATGTATGCTGCCGGAATCCTTCGTTATCATTGATCATCCGTTCATTGTTTTGTCAGACCAGGGAATGCAACACCTGATTCCGATCTTCGAGAGTTCCAGGCAAGTATGGCACTGCACGCCATAGGCAAACGCTTGCAGCCATCCATGCCAAAACCTGTCCAAAGGCGAATCAAATCAAAGCCTTTATTTGACCTGGATGATGACGAGGATATATCCAGACCCTTGGATGACGAATTTGATCACATCGAGGATCCTGAGCTTGCCCTTGCCATCCAGGCTTCACTAGAAGACCATACTGCGAATTATAAGCCTAGTAAGTTTTTCTAGGGCAGGGATACTGCGAAATTTGACATTCGTTTAGTCACTTCAGAACCTTCTTCTAAATTTAGCCCTCCTGCAACTCCTCAGTCAAAACCTACTCTTCGACTCCATGATTCTGACGATGATCTATACACGTCCCCTTCTCGGCTGGAGACCGCACTTTCGATCGCAGGGGCTGGTCCGGTGCGAAGGCTGGCTGGAACCTTGTATGATCTTCCATCGCAATCTGCGTTTGGGAAGGCGGCTTTGTTAGTTTCACCGAAGACAGCATCGCGTCCCATGCCAATCGTTCAATCATCCTTGTCAGAATCAGAAGAAAGCATGGATGAAATATTGCCTGTACAGGTAGTCGAGGCATCACACAGAAAGCCGTCGCCGGTTGCTACTAGCGCCCATGTCAAGCCGCCACAATCCCCCAAACATTCGCAGGAGGCTGCACAAGATTCGGACGATGACATGGAAGAAGTCCCAGTCACTGATGGCAATCACGTCCGTGATGTATCCGAGGGTTTTGTACCTGCAGCAGTCTCAGTGCCGGAGGATGCGGCCGAAGAACGACGATCAATGTCTCCTGCATCTTTTCAGCTACCAAAGTCATTAGAACGTCCTCAGCCTTCGACCTCTAATGTGGTCACGCCCGAAGCTCGGATATCTGAGAGCGACAATGAATTTGATATCGAATGGTCGCGGTCTCCGTCACCTGTGCTTGGTACTGCTCCGGGGAGTACCGATCAAGGAGCGTCTGCTGCTGTGGAAACCTGGGATGCTGCTGAGGAAATGGATCCACATGCTGAAGAAGGCGAATTTGCCCGATTCATCTCGCAAGTCAAGGGCAAAGATTTGGATGCCGTCAGACATGAGATTGACGAAGAGATTCGGACGTTGAATCAACAGAAGAAAGCAACGATCCGTGATTCAGAGGATATCACTCAACAAATGATCTCTCAAATTATGGTATGTGTACCGTGCTGAAGGTAGTACTATTTATTTGAGCTCACCATCGGGTCCAAGCTCTTACTGCGTCTCTTCGGGATTCCATACATAACCGCACCGATGGAAGCCGAAGCACAGTGCGCAGAATTAGTCTTGCTAGGTTTAGTTGAGGGCATCATAACGGACGATTCGGATGTTTTCCTTTTCGGAGGCATGCGCGTTTTCAAGAATATGTTTAATCAATCCAAGACTGTGGAGTGTTTTCACTCCTCCGATCTGTCCCGGGAGCTTGGCCTGGAACGCGATACGCTCATCCGTCTGGCGTACCTGCTCGGAAGCGACTACGTGGAGGGGCTCCCTGGTGTTGGTCCTGTAATAGCCATGGAACTACTAAAAGAGTTTCCGGGCGAGGACGGCCTTCATCAGTTCAAGGACTGGTGGACCAAAGTCCAAAGTGGGCGAGATCGAGCAGAGGATAATACTACCAAATTTCGCGAGCGTTTCGTATGTGCCTTGAAGAAAATTTTTGATGTCAGTTTATATGTGCTTATCTTTTGATCTAGAAAAAGAAGTTCAAAAACTTATACCTGCCCCTGGAATGGCCTAATGCGTTGGTGGTGAGTGGCTGCTGTTTTGTTGGGCTGCAATGGAGGGGTAATCTCCATGCCGTAGAGGGATGCTTATTATCATCCGACGGTGGATTCATCAGATGAACCGTTTAAATGGGGTATGCCCGACCTCGACGCCCTCAGACAGTGCGTAATGACCACCTCCGGCACTTAAAAAAAAATGCTCACAACTCCGCAGCTTTTTCCACGAAGAACTACACTGGAACCAAACCAAAGTTGACGAATCACTTCTACCGATCATTCAAAAAATGAATAAGCGGAACCAGGTACGGACCAAGCCACGTGGCAAATCAATGATTATTGATTCAATGTATTTGCTAGGCTGCAGCTATGAATCGGCAAGGCAACCTAAACAGCTTTTTTGATGTTGTACCCGGTAGCGGATTACATGCCCCAAGGAAACGACAAGCGTATGGAAGTAAGCGTCTTCAGCAAGTGGTTACGGATTTCCGAAATCAGCAGGCAAAACAGAATACAAGCACACCAGTATCTGATGAGGCAGATGTCCTTGTACTCGAAGACGGGAAGGAGCCTGTTGCCAAAAAGAGGAAAACAGGTGCTAAGAGCCGAACGAAACTTAGTTCCGCAGTAGGACAACAAGAACAGGGGACAGGGACTAGCCGCAGAGGGAAGGGCCGTGGCGCCAGAGCGCGGGGCTTGTCCTCCAAGACAGTTCAGGAATCCCATTCCGACACTGGGGATGAGTATGTCGGCAATGTGATTGATGACAGTGCTTCCACCACAGAAACATCAAAACCCCGTCTTCGCCCAAGGGCGAGACCAGTGGCGAAAGGGTCCCGAGTATCTGACACATACACCATGCTTGCGGCAGAGTCCGAGGGTTCTTAGCTTAAGCAACGTGTACATAACTACCATCATAGCATATGTACTTCCTAAGATCCGAAGTTCTGAACTTGCGTTATTTCCAGGAAAGACAATGCATTTGGCGTAGTCCAGTTACTCAACGGTGGCGAATTGGCAGGCTCGTGCAAAGATAGCAAAATGCGTGAGAGTGAAAGCCTCCCGGATAAGAAACGCGAAGTCTAGGTTACAACGCATTATTACTCGTCGATCTCTTCAGTCTCTTCTCTAGCCTAGAATAAGGGTCAAATTGACCCATTGAGTGCACACGTGGAGCAGGCCCACCTTGTTTTCTTCAAGTCCGCCAAGTTCACGTACAAGACCGGAGTACGGGTATTCCCGGGGTACAGTTGGCCTCTCTGGAACGAGCGCGTACTTGCATAGGAAACCAAAGCCAACGAATGCCGAGAAGGCGAGAGAAAGCTGAAACAAAGCCTTATGCGGAGGAATCGGGGGAGCATCAGGTCCCCACATGGACAGAACTTCGTCGTATTCTTGTATCTGAAAAAAGGTAAAGTCTGAGACGCGATTACGCGCCGGGAACTGGGTAATGTGCTGACCGGGTCACCGAAGTTCCGTCGCATCTGTTGATCCCACCAGCCTCTAGCAGGAAGTTCCTGGTCGGAAACCCATGGAAGGTCAGGGTAATCGCCTAGTTGAGGGTCTTTTTCTTGGGGTTTGAAAGTTGCAGGCGTTGCATAGGCGCGCCATGATAGGGGGGACAAACTTAAATGTCGCTTGGACACAACGCTGCTAATAAGACGTAGTGAGCTCATCGGAGTCGAGGTGAAGGTTCAGTGTTATAGTGATCACCCAATAAGACTACTGTCAAGACCCCAGAAATAACTATCAGGACACCGGACACTACTGCGGACCCACGACGTCTGAAGCGAACCCAAGCGACGGCATCTTTCCTATCTTCGCGGCCCTGCAAGTCTATGAATGGTACAACCTTCATGACATGCTTGGAGAAGATGCGGCTTTCCTCGGCCATTCCCCAAATTTTTAAGGTAGATCAATTTATCGTGTTGATTTAAGCTACACTGCTGACTTTCGAAACCTGGCAGGCCTCATAAACTGGCCTATCCGTAGCGTCCACTATCATTTACATGGCCATTGGCATCTCACATACCCATGCACCTTCTTCCTTCACCATGAACGATAGCCCACATACGAACATCGACGTCGACCTGCTTTCATTGCCAAAATGTAAGCGGCTTCGCGGCGAGGTCATTTCGCCTTTGACATATACAAATGACATCGTGGACTTGTGAGCTCTTTCTTAACAAGCTTCAACTTTCGTCGTTCTCACCAATGATGTCTCAGTGATCACTGGGATCATATGTTCATAACAAACTGCTGCAGGAGCTTGACTCTTCATGATTTCGACGGACCTCCATCTACAATTCTTGATCTCGGATGTGGGCGCGGTCTTTGGGCCATCGAAGCCGCCAAGCAATGGCAGGTTGGTGAGAATACATACAGCACAACCGTATTTTTCACGGAAGTGTGCAGGGCAGCATAGTTGTTGGTTTCGACATCGAGCGCATGCAGCCAGGCTTTAATGTCCTCGAAAAGTCTGTTTCTCGTCGGTTAAGATGGGTTCAAGGCAATCTGTAACGTGTTCTCTGCGCGTTTTATGTTCTGCGTTATATCTGATGCACTTCTTCAGACTAGAACAGCTACCATTTACGACCAACCAATTTGACTTCGTGAGGATGGTCCGAATGGGGTTGCACATCCCGGAAGATGAGGTTAGTGTCACTGACATCGACTTATTGACTTGCTAATGGCCCTTTCACAGTGGCCATCAATTCTGGCGGTAAGCGAGTCATCTGTCGCGTGTCGTAAAACCTTTTGAATTGCTTTTGCCCAACTCACATCAGGAGATCGCCCGCATCCTCAAACCTCACGGTGTACTCGAGGTGTGGAGCTGTTCTTCGGCCGTATTACGTATGGAGCTACCCTGACGGACTTCTAGATTATTGAAGAAGATCTATTATTTCCCTGCCAATCTACGCGATCACACGATGTGACACCCAGTAGCGGACAGTGTTCTGGTAGCTCTACCCAGAGCTCGAATACAGTTGTAACTGCAACCTCTTACCACGAATCTGTTTCGTCCTTGAAAGCCAAAGATGACACAAATACCAGCCTAGATACGCTTTCTGGAACTTCGTCAACCTCACTACCCTCCACGCTGGATGCCAAACTTAAGCATCCAAAACCTCCAGATCCTCAAGATCACACACGACTTCAGCGCGCGTGGGAGGAAATGCTATACAACTACTTCTTGTCACCGCAACTACTTTCCGTCTTGCCGTTGTATCTCTCGTTATCATTCCCCAGTATTCGGTCGCATCCCCCCCTACAAATTCCCTTGCCACTCGACTCCTCGGCCAGACAACAGCTGATAACCCAACATTCGGTATCGACTATACAGATTGATCCTGCAACTCTTTTTGAGCTTCGAGCCTTGTCAGCCCAACCGTCATTCGAAGCCGATCCCAGTGCCCGTGCTTCTGTGATGACGGCAGGGGATTCTGAGCAAACCATGTCGTCGTGGGCATGCATGCACCTAGCTCGGACCGTGCGGACAATCGTAGGTTGTAAAGAGTCGATCTGGAGTGCCTACGAAAGACTGTATAGCGAAGACCCCACACCCCGAGTTGTCCGAACAACACAACAGAAGCCTACCTCAGTTCGGTCCGACCTCCGCCCGTCGCCTACCAATCCACTTCGTGATTACTTTGAACGCGATTGGATCAACTGGGAAAAGTAATTCGTTCGCTTTTTGAACGAACGAACCTACTCAACTGATTTTTTGTTTGTATTCCTACAGCGACATGGCAGATCGCACTAGCTTACGAGGGCGCATGCGAGCGGAATTGACGTGGAACGAGCCCGTCGGTAAACCTCCAGATTGGCGCCTCTGGCGTAACTCTCTGCCGCAGGAAAATGCAAGTTCTTCTCAAGATGAATCAGCGGAATATTGCCGGAGCCTTCGTGGCTTTGTATGTTTTAAATCATGAATCATGACACACAACTTCATAAATATACCCCTTCATCATACACCATCTCGCACATGCTTCAATGAATGGACTGATTATATTAGGCATTTTCCGCACATCTGTGGCTCCTGTATATTATATAGGGCCTTCTGCATCTAAACCATTATTGATATGAGTGATCGGATTCGATCATCGCAGCCGCGACGTTGTGAAATCGACTTTAGAGTTGTAAGGGTTGTCAAGAAGCAGCTGTGAACTATACGTTATTATGTATCTATGCAGAGAGGAGCTTGTAAGGAGTGGATCAAAAGTGTAACAAGATTTGGACAAGATCGATACAGTACTAGCGTGCATCGATAGTTTAGGTATAGGGCCAGGATTGAAACATGTGGAGGTTAAAATGACAATTGCTCTTTCCGACGGAATCATTTATAGTATGCCACGCTTCCGATCGTGGCTGGCAAGAAGTTCAAGACGGTCGAGAACGTGTGAGGATTATGAAATAATATTTTCCGTGCCGAGTTGCGATGCAAATGAGGCCTCATACGTTAGTAGGCATGATGAAAGACCTGCATTTTGATAGGGTGAGGAACTGCCCAATCACCAACCCTCCGTATCCTTATTGGTGTCACCTTCAAACCAAGTGAGCGACAGTTCGAGGTTCTGAGCAACTTTCACAAAGAAAAAGTCATCGAGCTGTGGAGGGAGCGAGGTAGACTCGGGGTCAGTACGAATGAAAGTGCGATCGACAAACAAAATCAGACAGGGAACAATCCCAACGGGAGATTCACACGGGCTCACAGCGAGGCGGATTACAACGAAAATCATAACCACAGCCCTTCGTGATCATCTGCCAGACCAAAAGAATATTGACCGCCATGTCAGGAGCATGCAGACAGGTGACTAGACGGATACGATGGTGATTTCCGTTGATAGCGAGTCAGGCTACACAATCATTACATCCACAGATGGCCAGGTGGCCGCCATTGCCAGACGGGTGCACGGTGACAAGACGATGGTGGAATACTACCAAAAGAACCCACAACCTCTTGAGCGATGTGGTGCAGTCCATGATGATAGAGATGTGAGCCGCGATGTCGGGTGGCAAAAGGGAAATAAGCGGCGAGAAGGTAGACTCTGTGGAAGTATGGAGAAGTCAAAGTGATGGACACAGGATTCGCTGGTGCGGCAAATGAGGGAATCGTGGTCGATACTGACGTGGCCAATACGGTACTTGCATCAGTGGCAGTCAACTTCTTTTTGCGCTGCCAACTTGAAGGAGCTTGACCTTCCATGCCACCCCCTTCTGCATAACAATGATCATGACCATGATCTCCCCTCCCGCATGCAGGTGTCGTGTAAAGCATACCACCTAGATTATGCTTATACTAGGGTAGCCGGGTGATAGGGTCTAGGTTATACCCTGCTCTTGCAGCTCTTTCCGCGCGTGCGTACTCGAATTCTGGGCAGGAAGAGGATGTGATGGTTTGCATGTTGAGAAGACGTGATGCCCCGGAAATAATACGTGCCGCACAGTTTACAAAGGTGTGTCAAGATGTATTGTTGCCATAATGCACACAGGCGTCGCCAGCAGTCCCAAGAATAAACAGGAAACGGTTTCGTTGTCGGCGCAAAAATCCATGTCCAAGAGTCTTTCCCGAAAAATATGTGCTGTCCGATAAAATGGAGGCGTCCGCCGAGTCTTGAGTCATCTTCGAGGTATGAATAATCCAGCTGGCGAATATGATACCAAGTGCTGATATCGTTGCGATGGAAAAGGTTATACGCTATCTTCGGTCGATTGTACCGATATTTTGATTATCGCTGTGGGTTATCGAGGATCAATGGCTTCCAACGGTTCCGCATGCTTGTTCTCGAACAAGTACTTTTCAAGATCAGCGCAAGATCAACAAGTGGGATATGAATTGTTCACGTGACGCATTTTTACATTTAAAATTAACGCTCACTCTGGACCAGACGAGACTATCTTATCTGCGGCCAGACCTCTGCCATAATGCCTTCGCTTGATTCTTACAAAACACAGCTCCTCGAGCAAGCTGCACGAGTCGGTGCTCTCAAATTCGGCAATTTCACGCTCAAATCTGGCCGGTGAGTGACATACATAATTGTTTCCATCGACTTATCCTGGACTTACGCCAGTAAATCTCCTTACTTCTTCAATGCGGGTCTCATGTCCGATGGGACCATTTTATACACAGTCGCACAAGCTTATGCTGCCACCCTCTGCGCTGCGGCCTCTGGTGACGATGATGATCCCATGGTCAACCCCTTTTCCGACTTCGATATTCTCTTTGGACCTGCCTACAAAGGCATTTCCCTCGCAGCTTGTACCTCACTCGTACTTGCATCCACGTATGACCGCGATGTCAAGTTCGCATACGATCGGAAGGAAGTAAAGGATCACGGTGAAGGCGGCAATGTCGTGGGATGGCCGTCAGGTCGCAATCAGAAATGGCGCGTAGTGATTGTGGACGACGTGATGACCACTGGCCTTGCAGTAAGCTCTACGATAAAACTTGTGGCTCGGCAGGGTGGAGAAGTGGTTGGAGTTGTACAACTTCTCGATCGGGAGGAGTTTTCCGAGATAGACGAGCGGGGATGCAAGGTCAGCTCGGTGATGAAGCTGGAGACTTTACTGGGAGGCAAGGGGAAGGTGCGAAGTGTCTTGAAGATGCGAGATCTAGTACAGTGGTTAGAGGAAAAGGAAGCACAAGGGCAGACAACAGAGGAAGAGAAGAGGAGTTTGCGGGCGATGAGGGAGTATAGAGATATATATGGTGTGTCTTCGTCTTGAGACTATATACTCCTTTGAACTTGAATGTATTGGCGAGTATAACTATAGAAATTATAGCATCGATTCATGATAATCAGAAAAACCCTCGCGACTAATTTCTTGGTACTCAATGATGGCGTTCCTCCTTATATCCTACCGGAAGAAGTGTGCACCAAAATAGTCTCCTGGCCAAAGGTACCTTAGGCTTAAAGAACAGGCGAACAAGAATTAAGATCTCCATGGGTTAAGAATTAACGCTCCGCGTAGGTACGTTTGTACCAGATATGGTATCTCAGACAATGATATGAGGTGTCCTATCTTCCCGAAACGCAGCAGTCTAATTACTCCTGAGTATGGCGGCATGCGTGGGCGGCTAAAGCTTTATCGTGAGTGCTAGCAGAGAGAAACCAGAAATAGTCCAATACCTTAGGCATCTCCTCCTGCCGGTGCCCATCGCATCGACCTGGCCCCAAACGTTACACTATTCGATCATGACGCTCTGAAACATAACTTCAAGTTAGTGTGTATGTTGCACGCTCAACTTACTATCTTGTATTGCCTCAGTTGGTTCAACTCCTTCCGCCAACTAGATATATGAATATCGACTTGGACTTATGAACTTGTTCTTGTTGGGTACCTTCATTCTTGTTCGTCCGGCTCTGCTGAGGGAAGGCTATGAACGTATCAGTAGCGCAGTACTCGTCGGCCGCTTGCTTCTACCAACTGCCAGAGGGCGATTGGCTATGACGGTCCCAATCCTTCCTGGATGAATTCATGTGATCCCATACCAGACAGAAGAAACTATCATATCTCCCTAGGCGCACCTCTGGCATAAGCAAAACATAGTAGGATTAAGCATTCTGGATGGAGCGTATGGCTAAAATTTGATTTTATGTCTTCCCATCACAAAGCACCGGACTGAAGACTCTGCCTGGGCATTAGCAGTTGTACTGATATGCATGGCCACATACACCTCAACACGTCAAATTATCCCACTGCAGACCCGTGCGGGTAGAAACGACTCGTCAGGTACAGTATTCGGTATCGTTCGAACTGTTACGCAAACACGTCCGTGGACCATCGGCAAGCTTCATTTCGAGGGCGACATTATGGAAAATTGAACGAATGGACTCGTCTGGCATACGGGATGGATACTTGTCTTTGGGCAGTTATCATAATCAGGAATATATCGGAAGATTTTCCATACTTCCTGTACCTAGCATGCATAGAGGCAACGTAGACTCAGGAGTTTTGACCGTGATTACGGAAAGAGATATATTACCATATCGGGAATACCAAGTTTGAGGTGCCTGCAAGTCAATCTATCCAATCCTCGTGTGCATTCTCTTCTTTTGATTTTTCCTATTCTTGCATTTATTCTACACTATGGCCGAGGCTACTACAGACGCACCAAAGCCTGCAGAAAAACCACGGCTGATCAGCGAAGCCGATGTAACAAAGTACAAGGTATGAAGGCCGTAGTAATCATCGTGCTTGGTTCGTGAAGTCTGATCGAACGACTGCGATGTCGTATAGACTGCTGGTGACATCGTACACGATGTTATGAAGAAACTGATCGAACTCTGCGTCGAGGGCGCAAAGATCATCGATCTTTGTATCGAGGGTGACAAGTTCATTGAGGAGGGGACTGGTGGAGTTTACAACAAAGCCGTGAAGGGTGTTAAAATGGGCAAGGGTGCGTCAGATCATTTTTATGTTTTTGAAACGATGTTCATGACTTTTGACAAAAGGCCTTGCATTCCCCACATCGATTTCTGTGAATAACACTGTCTCCCATTTCTCCCCTCTGGCGTGCGTGGATTTTCATATTTCATCGCGTAGACCCTTTTAGAACTTTACTCTATTATAGTTCAGATCCCCTATCATCCCAGGCCCTTGCTAAAGGCGATGTAGTAAAGGTACACATCGGCGCACACATCGACGGTTTCGCTGCCATCAGTGCGGAGACCATTGTCGTCGGCGCATCCGAGCAAGAACCCGTAACTGGCAGAAAAGCAGACGTAATTAAGGCAGCTTGGAATGCAGCTGAGATCGCCATGAGGCTCGTGAAGGTTGGCAACAAAAACTTTACGGTCACCGATGCCGTCGCGAAAACTGCGGCGGCGTGGGATTGCAAGCCCGTTGAAGGTGAGTTTTGTGATGAACTCAAGTGCAAGCAATTCGCATCTGATGCTACGGATTCAGGCATGCTCTCTTGCCAGCAGTCGCAAAATGTCATTGATGGCAAGAAGCGCATCATTCTGAATCCGAACGAGGCGCAGAGACGCGATATTGAGTCGATCACGTTCGCGGAAGACGAGGTTTATGGAATTGATATTCTCATTTCCTCAGGAGAGGATGGCAAGGTCTGATGCTAAATGCAAACGAAAAATGAATCTTGATCGTTGAACATTTCACAGGCACGTATTGAGGATTCTCGGACGACTATCTACCAAAAAGATAGCTCAGTAACTTATCAGCTGAAGATGAAGAACTCGCGTGCTGTGTTCTCTGAAGTGCAGAAAAAGGCTGGCGCCTTTCCATTCAATGTTCGTGCACTGGAGGATGAGAAGAGAGCAAGACTTGGTCTTCAAGAGGCCGTGCAACATGGCTTGATCAAGCCGTATGAAGTCGTGTACGTGGATCACGTCCCTAATTCCTGACGCATTTAATGACATCGCCGTAGGTACACTCCTGCAAACACATTTGTGGCAGCATTCCACTTTACGATCGCATTAGTTCCTGCCGGCCCGCTGCTGCTGACTCACCCTCCGGTGTGGTACAAGCCAGAGCTGGTGAAGGCTGAGAAGGAGTTGGAAGATGATGAGCTCAAAAGCCTGTTGACCAAATCCCTCCGTGAGAGCAGAAAGAGTAAGAAGAAGGCAAAGGAAGCTGAAGGTAACGCGGATGACGTATAAGAAGCCAAATAAAATTTACGTGTAAAGTAGACGATCGCAGTTCGGCGATCGGTGAACTCTTTCTGTACCATGAAGGCTGTCGAAGGGAACTATGTCTTCCTTACAAACCATTGTTGTCCACATGACTCATCACCTAGAAGGTCCCTTGTTTTCGTTCCGAGTTCTCTCCAAACTCGCCAATAGTCCGGGCTACCAGATCTACGTTCTCCAGAAAGCCATTTGTCGTCAGTCTCGCCAGTCGAACAGTTGAAGTCGCGAATGACCTGCGTTTCGTTAATATCATGTATGCGATAGTAGGCGATCTCTCGTGAATACATACGCGACGAGATCATTGCCGTCCACCGTCAAAGTGCGTTTGACGGCTTCTCTCTGAAGCTCTGGATCCACGTCAATCACTTGCATTGCTATCGTTGCATGTTTCGGGTTTGCAAAGGGGACTCTTATGGTACTATCATGGTGGTAAGTTTTGGACGAGGTTGGAAGATTCAAGACAGGAATATGCTCAGGCTTACACCGTATGCCATGGAGTATCGGTCATGATGATGATGGCAACTAGTAAGTTCCCTCCTTGGCTGCTTTGTAGCTGCTAGCAGTACTTGTTGTTTGACGTTGAGGTAGCGTGGTACTACCAGCTGAAGAATCGGAAGATGATTAATAACCGGTGCGAGCGCTCCGAGCTCCGAGTCCGCAAATGTTTAAACATGCATTGAACACAACCACCCAACATTCGCCACAGAAGTAGCCTCGTTCGCCATCGGCATCTGATGATCGTCGATAACTAGGAGACTGCGATGCGTTCAACTCAAGGAACGAATCTGAGGGTACTCTCATGCTTCTGGATGTCTCAGCGTTTCCGAGTCAACGTTCAGATTGTGAGACATGGTGCCACGGTCGAAGCTGCGGACGGCAACAGCTCCGAGTTGTCGCGATGATTTTCCAGGCAACACCATTTCTACCGTACTAGCTCAATTCGAAGCTTCCTCTGCGGCGTACTGTATTCCGAATTCCATATAATCAGGAATGAGTTCGTGGATTCCTCAATAACCTAGTGGATATGAGCTGAATTAATATGTTGTATAGATCTATCTTGGACGACTGCGACGACTGCGTTGGTCGCAGCAGTGACGATCTCAAAGGTCTTCAAGTTCGTTTCGGGTCTAAAGGTGCGAAGCTTATGACTTCAATTTTTTTACGATCATAATCGACATTAATCTCTTCGCTTAGGCAGTGGATTACCTTCCGGGCTTATGGGTGCCATTTCAGCCCCTCAGTTTTCTAGGCGTGCTCGTGCCAGAAAGGTCATGGAACCCGGGTATGATGGATTTTCTCTCTCAAAGTACGATACTATCGCCTAATGTAATCCGCTAGGTGTAATCTTCGTCTGGACGTGGAGACATACCAGAAATAGTAAGTGTTGACATCCCCACTACACATCTGGCGCATTCACCGTCATCCCTGTCCACCACTAGTTTATCGTCGCTTTGACAGTGACACAGTCTCGGTGGTACCTTTTTTCTCTGGCGCACCGTCAATATATACACGATCTTTGGATGTCACCAAGCAGGTTGTGACTGTTGGTCACAAGACAGGTGCATTTGGGAAGGCTGATGATATGGGTCGCTTGTTTTTGTGAGTTGACCTCCTCCGTCGAACCATCGCATCATTTCAATGAATGTTAGATTTTGGGGTCCGAATGTTGTTGCGGTGACGTCTCAGGATCAATGGAGAAAGCACAGGAGGATCACTGGACCTGCGTTCAATAAGGATACGTGCGTTTTGTGCTTAGTTTCGGGATAAGCCTACCATCACCTATTATCACAGCTATCAACTTGTCTGGAATGCTACACATAAGGCATATTATGAAATGATTGACTGTGAGGGGTGGGGAGAGAAAGGGACAATAGACGTTCGACGTATCCAATCACTGACAATCAAGGTAAGTGTCTTCGTGCAACGTTCATACCTGAGATTAATCATTTGCAGTTCACCCTCATCATCATGGCTACTGCTGGCTTCGGTCTCCCATTTTCCTGGGGAGAGCCACCCTCTCATGATGGACGAATGTCGATTCAGCAATGTTTGGAAATTATAACGCTTAGAAATACCTTTGCGATTGCAGCTCCAAGATGGGCTTGGAAATTGCCGTTGCCATGGTAGGTCTTCCTTCCCCAATTCTTCGAGTTGAGTGTCATTGACATTCCGATTCATAGGGTTCGGCAGACCCGTGAAGTGTTCGATACCATGAGGGCATTTATGAATTCTCATATCCAGGCGAGGCGTGAAGCCATAGATTCTTCAGCTGATGATGATACATCGAAAGATATTCTTTCGTTGTTTGTTCGAGCGAGCGAACATGATGAAGGAAAGTTACATCTGGACAACAAGGAATTGGTACTCTTTTCCAAAATCTCGGAGAATATTTTGCTGAATGGTCGTTGTAGATCGGGAATGTCTTTGCGTTGCTATTTGCTGGCCATGGTGCGTTTTACCACATTGATCATACTAGAGTTTCAAGTAATTCTTCACAGAGACCACATCACACAGTCTGGCAGCTACTCTTGGTTTTTTATCATTACACCCATTTATTCAGGATGAGATAGTCGAGCAAGTTCACGAAGTCACTAAAGGGCGTGAAAATGGCGAGATTGTGAGCCTGTTCGAAATCAGACGTCTCCAATACATATACATAATCGCATTTTTAGACATTCGACGACTATAGCAAACTGGACAAGGCTCTCGCAGCATTTTATGAAGGAGTCAGAATGTTCCGTATGTGACTTTTCTTCTGACCAGTTCCAAACTGAGCTCCTCCTAGCTTCTGGTGTCTATCTCATAAGGGAGGCGAAGCAAGACACAGTACTCAATCTTTCGGGCATTGGCGAGGAACCGAAGATGTTGCCAGTCAAGAAAGGTACACATGTAAGTTACAATTGGTTTCCCAGAAGATGGTTAGTCATCTCATGCTGTGGATAAATAGGTCATAGTCGACATGATCGGTGTCCGTACGTGATTATATTGTTCTTGGATACTCTTTCACCCTACAGGATGACTAGATTACAACCCAGAATATTTCCCTGACCCCGAAGAGTTCAAACCTGCACGTTGGTATGCGAACAGCACGAGCAATGCATATATTGCAGGCGGCGAAGATCACACTGGTTTTAGTGTCGGTATGTACCATGCTGCCGGTTTCGTCTATGTCAATGGTCATTCAATGCTGCTTCCAGGCCCACGCTCCTGCCTTGGCAAGAAATTCGCGACAACTGAGGCCGTTTGTTTCCTAGTACTGCTTCTACGTGACTGGCGCGTTGAGCCTCTCCTGTCTGTCAATGTCTCTACGGGAGAAAAGGAAACCAAAGAGGAATGGCGCAAAAGAGTCATGCAGGCCAAAATGACTATTACATTAGGTGTCAGGGATGTTCCGCTGACATTTACAAAGCGGGTTTAAGGATTTGTTTTTTGTTTTTTTATAAAGGATCATGGATCATCTACGCTACCATCTGTTATAGCAGTGCAGCATAATATATTTCTTATCTTCGTTGCCTACTGGTTGCTGCAGCTTGACATCCGAGGCTAACGGTATATTATACTTGGCAACTGTGATACATGTAGCTAGAGATTGACATTCCCTTGACCTACATGGCATTTAGTCACCACTACTGAGTGACATTCACTCGGATACTGGCAACATGGATGATTTTTTCATGGTGGAAATGTTGATAAAATTCCAAAAGAGATTAAAATAAAATCCACAGTTTTGTGGCGTACGAAATGTTCCAGTTTTTTCTATTTCTTCATGATGAAAAATATTGATCTTAGTTAAAAAACCACATGCATCAGTAAAACACCTGGCTCCTTACCTTAATTATTTTTCACTTTCCTCGTGCAATAAGTAGAAATAAGCAAGGGTAAAAATAAGTAGATAGCCAGTCAGACCCTTCAGTCATTTTGTACACAGAATCAAGGCCCCAGATGTGAAAAAAGGCTGTAGAATTGATGCTAGCCAGTGTGCAGCCATTCTATGTAGATCTAAGGCTGGCCATTCCTCCTGGATAGCTGTACCAGTTTGTGGTTTGTCCATGTAGAGCTAAGGCTATGTCAGAAATTTCCTGGCAGCATCAAAATGCTCACATGTTTTAATCTACTGACTGGCCGTTAAAATCACATCGTAATAGCTATCATAATCATCATTAGAATCCGATTATAGATATCTAAGCTGAGTTTCAATACAATCACGATCCATTTCGTTGTCACTGATTGACCAGGTTGACCATTGCACATATCCTGCCTCTTTTAATCTACTTCTAACTGTTCTACTACTGTTTGTACCATAGATTTGTGGTATATTTTCTCATGCCCCAGGCTTCAGAAGATGTCTTGTGCCAAATATGTGGTGCGACAATGCCAGTGCATGGGATAATGTCCCATACAAGGATGTGTGAAAAGAAGGAAAGGCAAAGGCAAGAAGAGGAAGAGCTCACAGAGGCCCTTCGAGAGACTCAGAAAAAGTGTAAGTAATATTCAATACTAAATTCATGCACATAATAAGATTCATCTCGAATGATCGTTGTTTGCCAATGATTTAACAATATCCAGGTTGACGTTAGAAGTTTCAGATCGAGAGTCACGACGATGGGAAGGCACCTGGACCGTCTTGTGCTGTGGAGAACTTGGGTGAGCTCGCAGCTTCTTCTGTCACTTGATCTTTCTGCTAACTCTGAATCCAATGGCTAGTCAACCCAATCACAATCTGGGCAGTGCAAGATGGAGTTGCTATTCAGGAAAACCAGGACAATGGTGAGTTGTTTCAAACATTCAATTGAAATGGCCCATCTGTGCAAGAAGCTAACTACCTATATTTGAGACATTGACATGCATGGATCGTCACCCCAGAGCCACCCATCATCTGTAGATTTCATCCCAGTGTTCTCTGACCACCAACACCATGACAATGCCAATGATGGTGTCAATGATGATGCACCCCCGGCGCCTCAGCTGGATGACATCAAAATCAAATATCATCCACATAGCAGGATACCTTCAACCTTTCATCCATTGTCCAATTTTTCTCACCATTGTCCTACAGAGGATACAATGCCTCGTCATGCCTCTCTGTGGGAACCATTCCGCACACAGCTCGACTTCAAGGTTGCAGAGATTGTGCTTGCTGCAGCAATGACGAAAGACCAGACCAACAGGCTTTTTGAGCTCATGCGCCATGCTGCAAGCACTAAAGAAGATTTCACTTTGCAGAGTCATGATGAAGTTTGTACATTGTGGAAAATGGCATCCGAATGATTTACGCCTGTGAGTCATGTTGGTGCATGTAGATTATGGTGTTAATCAGGTTCCTTCCCAGCTGTGGTGTCGAGAGAAGAGGGAGTCATCCGAGTACAAAAGAAAATAGAAAATAATATTATAAAATCACGTGCACATTGAGATTTCCAAATGCAGCCCAAACCTTATCCCTCGTTCTCTCTCCACAGCGGCTGGCAGAAAACATTTGTAAATATTGTTCAGCCACCGAAGCAAACCCTTCAGAACTTGAAAATCAAATGGCAACTTTGAAAACTGAATTTAGGGTTTAAATATTTAATCTATACTCCATATGGAAACATACTGCAGTGTCCTCGATATGTTTGATGGAGACAGAAGTCTTTCACAATTCCTTGTCATGATCCTCACAGTACCTCAATTTGCCAACCACCCTGCAGTTGTTGACCTTCTGGCCAACATAGGTAACATTATCTGCACCTTATTGCGACACCAGAATCTATATAACCCTTTAATTGGGTGGGCCAAGGATGCCATTAGCGCAGAATGTGCAAGGGAGGTTCGAGAGCTCACAAAAGTGGAGAATGGGTCGCATTTTAGCACTGTGCATGCGAAAGCTGAGCAAATAGAGGGCTTCAAATTGATGATATGGCTCTACAGATTGCAGGAGAGGCACCAATGCTATGGGTCCTGCTTGATTCCCTCTTGTCCGCGAGAGCTCTTCAAGTCACAAAAATTGAAAGCAAAGGGCACACAGAGATCGGAGTGTTGGTATCGGATGCGCAAGAAGCTGAGGATTCAGAATACTGAACGCCTTGCATCTCAATGTAGTGTGACAATGATGCTGGTATGAAAAATATAGATAAAATTCGTGCTTGATCTAAACAGACCTCATCCAGCAGAAAGTAGTAATTGTTTCGCTTCTAAAGAAAAGCACAAATCAGAAAGCCAACTCGCTGTCAAGCATACTTGGAATATTTTTGCATTCAACACATGCACCGGAGAAAGTCATCAAAACAATGGTGAAGATGGGTCTCTCGATATCTGTCGATGCAATTCATGATACAGTCCGTTCGCTGTCTGCAGAATCAAGTCATGCACTACAATATCTTGGACAAACACTTCTAGCAGCATATGCATATGATAATTTCGACATCAACCTGAAGTCCACCGTTCCGACTGCAGAAAAATCTACCAACAGTCTGAAACATCTGACATCAGGCTTACTGTTTCCTCTACAACATGGAGTCACTCGTGATGACCTAAAATGTTCCTATGAACTGTGGCAAAAATCATGAATCAACCCTCTAAGCGATTGTTCCATTGGACGAGCCTGGAAAGACTTATTGTCGCTACACTAAGATGTCTCGCATTCTTCAGGTCTCTCTCGACACGACCAATTTAACTCCTGGAAGTTTTTGCATGACCTTTGCCATCACGGACCGCCATATTTTGCACAGTTTCAGTCTCAAATATCAGCCCCCCAAGTGTTAGAACAAATACCAGTTGCAAAAACTCCAATCATACCAGCCTCAGCAATGGATGTCAACAACTCAACGGTCACAGGAAACATTCAGGCAATTGAGAGATTGATGGTGCAAGGTGGTGTCTTTGATCCAGCGGAAGTGGAGGATGGCGAGTCGCCTGATGTTACAGAGTATGTGGTGCTTGTCCATGGAGATCTGGGCATGGGCGAATGCATCGCGTCTATGCAGCAGCATTGGTCCATCGAAACAACTCCATGGTGGCGATTCCAACACATAGTCTTTGTGCCTGGCTTGTTCCACTTGAAAATGGCAGCTGCAGATGCAATATGGAGGGCATTAATCCAGCCAATGTCAGCGCATCAGGACCAGACGAGTCTGATGCATGATATTGCACAGCTACGGCCACGTGAAACAGGGATTTTCAGATCCAAGCCTGGGTTCTGGATGATGCACCAGCTCATTGGCCATGATGGGATCTGTCGGCATTTGGATTGTTGGCGGATAGAAGTTGAAAAAATGAACAATGCTCACAAAACGCTCGACGACTTTGCCATTTTAAAACCGAGCCTAGAGGAACTAAAGGAGATTGCCAACAGACTCACTCGAGAATATATTGCTACTTACAGGCTAACACGAGTTCGTCGGCAGCCTGATCAACGACGAGATAAACAGTACGAGAACAACTTGTTGATTAACAAGTATTTTCTACTGTATGAGGAGCTATCCTATGTGATGAACATCGGAGACATTGCGCATGTTGAAACCTGCATCATTGCATGGACATTAATATTCAAGGCAACAGGCAAACATAAATATGCCACATGAATAACAGAGTTTTTGATAAACTTGCACTTCAATTATCCCACGGGTTTGCAGTAAGAAGCACGCCTTTTCATTGACTTGAGTACTAACATTTTGACAGGAAAGCAATACAGTACCATTGGCTAGTCAATCCAACTGGAAAACCTGAACGCTTCCGTGCCGTCGACTGGTGTGTAGAGCTCAACAATCTATTCATCAAAGTGAAAAATGGAGGGACTGGCTCAAACCGTAGTGTCGCGAGGGTCATTCTCGAGTTGCCTCTGGTTGAAGTCTATCGAAATGCCCATTCCGTCATTGAAACTAACTTCATGCATACTGGGAGAATGAGTTTGCAGGCTGCACCTGATATGAAAAAAAATGTTTGAAGGACTGCCAATGAAGATGCGATCATCATCTCCACACATTCATACACCTGGACGACAAAGCACTTACTTAGTCCTGGATCTTCTTGACAAGGGGCACGAGCTATTTGAGAAAGGATGGAAGGGAATAGGTACAGAAGACGATGGTACAATAGTAGATGAGGTAGAGCATCCTACAACTGAAGATGTTGTAGGAGAGTTATAATCCTGTATGTGGCGGTGGCGGCATAATAATCCAGGTTGTGCCAGCATTTTCCTTGGTGGCAGATGATCGGTTTGCAGGATGCTCTCAACAGTGGTGATTATGAGCTTGATAGATAGTGGTGGTAAGTATATATCAAGGGAGCTACTAGTAAAGCACGCACCATTATGGCCCTCCTCCCCACAAGCACTACATCACATCTTTCATTTCGCATTATGAGGGACTGATGTACTTGCGTTAGTATTCGACGAGATTGTACAAGGCTGTAGCGGGGCTGATGTTAAGGGCGTAGGAAGCGGGTGGACTTGGTGAATCAACGTGATAATCTCATCTCCATGTTTGTTGGCTCCTGACCAATGAGTTTCTTTGGCCAAGTCAGCTGTGGATTTGATCTTGAAGAAATGCGTGCATTCAACAATGCGATCTAGAATACTATTAGGCATTATGAGCCTGGGTCCAAGATCATGCAAATGAGCATGGCCATAGAGCTTGATAGTCGCTTCCTCCCACCAGTCATCAAGTGCATCAGTCAACTTCGAATCAAGGAGGGCCATGTAAAACTTGGCAAGCTGCGAGCGTGAAGGTCCTTTTTGTTGTTTTGGGATTGTAGAGATGAATGGGACAAAATATGCTGGAGTGTGAATATCGCAACAGATGTTGGACTGTGTGATGAGACACCGAAGACAACCCGGGGTCTCAAGAGCATCGCATTTGTGATGATCAGATTCTTAAACAATGAATCAGCCGGGGGAATTCGAAGTAAGCCAGATAATGTAAGTCGCACCCGCTTCCTCATTCTTGAAAAACACATTCAGTACCTTACAATGACAACCAATCCCAGGACACATATCAGTGTTAATGAAGTAGTCCATAGCTGGCTCAAGTCTGGTTTGTTGGGAGGTCTTCCGTCGAGGCTGGCTAATATTTGTTTCTCTAGGCACCTCCATCTTCACCCGTAATTGCCAGGTATCCATTGTATCACCGGCGTGAGTTTGTTGAACATGAGTGCTGCTTATTTCTATCTCATTGTCAGATCCATCAGATCCATCAGATCCATCAGATCTTTCTTCTCCTGTTGGAATGTTCACGGCGGCAACAGGACTATTTTTGCCAATGCGCTGTTTCTTTGAAGATGTAGCTTTTCTTTTTGCTCGCTCCACTCTCCATCTCTCTTTCTCTGCTTTATATACATCAAAGTACTCCTTCTCAGCAAATAGTATTGCAGTCCCCTCCAACAACATATTTCGAACTGCATGACCAAAGCACTGCCATAAAGTAGACAGCGAACACCACGTTGCCTGCCACTGAATCATGATGCAAATATCACTGATATCAATGCCCTGTGCTGCGGTAAGCTCGTTGATCAATAATATATCTACATTCAACTTACCATTCCAAAGGATTCTGTCATACAAAACCCCCATGTGTTTCCTTCAGTAAAATTCTTCACCTCATCTTGTTTAAAGTGCATCGTCATGTCAGCATTGAACCACTTGACCTTATCTTGACATTCTTGTGGCAAACGCGCCTGCAGGAACTTCACGGCCTTGATAGCATTGTTTATGTTGTCAAAGAAGATGAGAAACTTAGGAGGGGGCGGGTCTCCAAGTTTCCACTGGTCAGGAATGAGGAATGTGAGGTCTGCGAAGCTTTGGTATGTTCCCTGGATGGGCTTTACTCCAATATTGATATTTGGCTGATCTATACTTTGACGAATAGTGACGAGTTTATCCCCGCTCTGTAGATGGAGAAGTCTGGTGACATCTTGCAGCATGGATGAGGAGAGAGTTGCAGACATCACAAGAAATGGTATGTCCAGGGGGAGGATGAATCTTAGTCTACCAAGCTCCTTGTATTCTGGGCGAAATTCTCCCCATGAGCTGACACAATGAGCTTTGTCTATAACCACACCCATCAGGTGTGACACAAACAAAGGATTTTTGAGTAGCCTCTCGAATCCTTCGCCGTCCTTCATAACCTGTTCAGGACTGATCAACTCGATACTCAAGGTTCTCTATTGCCTAGTACATAGATGATCATTAATTACTAGGTACTATTGATACCATCCTGCTGACCTGAAAGTTATGTGCTGTGGCAGTGTCTGTGTGTATAGATATAGCTGAAATTCCCGCTTTTTTGAGGTCCATGACATTTTGTTCGCCAAGTAAATTCAAAGGAGTAATCACGACTTGTACACTGGTGGAATCAAATAGTAGAGGCATCCAGAATGTGAGAGTTTTGCCCTTCCCTGTCCCAGAAATGCAAATGATATCATGATCTCAGAGCAGAAAAGCTTCAGCAACTTTGAGCTGCCAAAGGCAAGCCCTGCGTCCAAATACCTCCTCTGTCCACACACAAATCAAAGCAAGAGAAGGCACCATGGATCAATTATCGATGTCACCGAGTTTGGAATAAGGTAATGTTACATAATCTAAAATATTTAAACCCTAAGTTCAGTTTTCAAAGTTGCCATTTGATTTCCAAGTTCTGAAGGGTTTGCTTCGGTGGCTGAACAATGTTTACAAATGTTTTCTGCCAGCCACTGTGGAGAGAGAATGAGGGATAAGGTTTGGGCTGCATTTGGAAATCTCAATATGCACATGATTTTATAATATTATTTTCTATTTTCTTTTGTACTCAGATGACTCCCTCTTCTCTTGACACCGCGGCTGGGAAGGAACCTGGGTGTTAATAGGCCATTGAGTGTAGTTTGAGACCAGTACAATATCTGTGCCACATCACGGTGAGGCTCATGAATACATGATGTACTCCCACTGTCTTTGGAACTGGGCACTTGACCTAATGCGAGATATTTGGTTCACACCACATTTCATGTTTGATGCTCAGCGCCTCTATAAATTTAATGGAGCACAGTTTGTGCGATTCATAGACAAGCCCTGGACTGCTAATGCATTCTGGGACGCACAAGTATGTTTCCAAGATTAATCTGTCCATGGTACAATATAGATACAGCTACAGTTGCACCTTCCACCCGATGCTAAGCCGCTTGTGTTCATCCTGTATGCCGACAAGGCCAAACTATCTTCTTTTGGAACCAAGAAGGGCTACCCAATTGTTGTGCAGATTGCAAATTTGCCTGTTGAGATTCACAATGGTATGGGTGTAGGTGGCGGACGAGTTGTTGGTTGGTTGCCGATTGTGAGTGTCAGACTTCGACATGAATGTAATCATTCAATCACATCTTCGGAACAGGTTAAAGAAGATCCAAAACATAGCAAAAAAAAGAGTTTTGTGAACTTCAAGAACACGGTCTGGCACAAGTCATTCCTCAAGCTACTCGAGGCAGTCATAGTACACTCGAAGAGTGGATATTGGTTTGAATGTTGGGACTACATACAACACCTTCTTTGGCCTTTAATATTGATTCTAAGCACCAATTACGAGGAACAGTAAGTCTTAGACTTACGAGGTGGTTTATTGACTCTAATGATACATATGTAACAGGTGTGTTATGTCCTTAGTTCGGGGACTTAAAGGCAAATTTCCGTGTCCGGTTTGCTTGGTTCCTCAAGAACAGCAATCAGTATTGTTGTATGCACATCCATTACGCACAAGTACTCAGTCTCTTGACATTCTCAATGCAGCAAGATCAACATCAACAGAAAAGGAAAAGGAGAAACAACTCAAGGCATACTCACTGTGTGACGTCGAGGTATGGTGTCTTTACCAGTTGAGACTTAGCACAAATTTACTTCTAGCTTCACAGAATTGTTTTTGGAAGGTTTCTCACTGTGACATTCACTGAGCACTTTTGTTTGACTGCCTGCATTCCAATAATGCTGAGATGTGGGGCGAAAATCTGTGGTCAGAGCTCCAGTTTTGGCTTAAAGATTTGGGATGAGAAGCCATTGTTAAGATTGATGCTAAGTTCATCTTCCTACCATAGATGGTTTCAGAGGTGTCATTGACTTCATCTTAGTTTTGATGCTCTCCCAAGGTGGCACGACCTCAAACACTTCTTGCAGGTGGTGGGGGTTGATTTTAACGATGGCTCAGCTCATGAAGACATATCAAAGGTGTTTTTCAATTTGAAACATGTTTTATGATACTGATGCTGTCCTGCCAGATGATCATCTTTACAGCACAGAATGTCCTTAGCCGAACTAATAGTGAACTCGGTGTGGTGACAACAGTCCTGCTGAGTGGCAAGGACAAAGTTGGGTCTAGCTAATGCCTAGCTGCTATGTCTATACAGACATGTTTGACCCTAAAGGGATTTGCTACTAGAGAGATGATGGATATGTGTGAACCTGAGAGCGCGCTAAGCGTGGGAAAATAGCGGACAAGGTATGCGCAAGGTATAGGAATGTGTCCGAGGTTATCTGAGGCATGGGAACATGTGGCTGAAGGTGCGGGAAGTGCGGGAAAGTGCAGACAAGGTATAGGGAGGTTAAGGAACGAGGTTTCAAGGGAGCGAGGGCAAAGGTATATTGTGAGGTAAGGAATCCTAGGTATAGAGAGGTATAAGGAACCTAATAGGGGCTAAAAAGTGCGCACTACTAGGGACTACTTCGAAGGTAAACCTATAGGACGAGGTATACAGTATGAGGGAAGTGTACAGTCCGAGAGAAGTGTAGTAAAGTAGTCCTAAGTAATAGTCAACTTATAGTGTCTAAAATCCCACTCAGAGTAGGAAGGGATAGGAAATATAGTAAATGTGTAAGGACATGTAATAAGGCTGCAACACTTTTTACAAGCCTCGAGGTAAGGAAATTCACATACCAATGGGGTTTGGATGGACTATGGATGGACAAGGAACCTTCCTAATGCATTTCTGAGGTATCCGAAGCATGGGAATGCGCATCTGATGCGGCCGATGTGTGGGAAAGTGCGGATAAGCGGGTGCACTAAGCACGGGAAAAGCGGGTTCGGTTTCAGACAAGGGTTACTTGCAGGATAAAAGGTGGACAATGATAATGAAACTGGTAGTGTCCTATACTCCTTGACACATATATGAAAATACCCTGTTTCCTGCCCAGTGCAGGTTCGAGTGTCACATCAGTTATCTACTTCTATGCTGCATATGTTGCTATGTCGACCTCGACATGTATGCAGCACTAGAGGTTCACACTGAGGATACCATTGCAGCTGGAAGAGATGCCTTGTCTCAATTCTCAATGCATCAGAAAACCTAGATTTTTCCTGATTTAACTGAGACATCTGATGAATCTAATATCAGATCAAAATCTGATTTCAGACAACTGCTCTGATATCAGACACTAAAAAGATAAATCAGCACCATCAGCACCATCAGCACCATCAGCATACAGTCAGATAGACCTATCAGTCTAATCAGATACTTTAGACATTAGGTAAACAGGTAGATCAGTAATTTCAGACACAACAGAGGTCAGAGTCACAGACCATATGGGCTATCAGCATGGTCAGACAAATCAGACATCAGATTCACAGACATATCAGCTTCATCAGACATCAGACAGTCAGATTATTAATGTAACAGTCTGTCAGATCTACCAAGATCATTAGAATTAGGTTTGCCTGCCACTTTTCAACTACAGTTTTATATTTATTGCTTAATGAAAGTTATTTAGAATCAACTGCCCTGTGTTCTCCTGAAATGACCCAGAATCAAAAATAACATGGTGATGTAGTTGAAAGTGGTATTTTCAATATTTTGCCTCTATTGTGAGCAGGTTCTGAACTGTAATGTCACATTGCACATGACTAGAAAATATAGTATTATAATTGTTATAGAGATACAAATGAGTAATTTAATACAATACTTTTTGAGTGACTGTGTCAGACATCTAAGATTACTAGGTCATTTTTATGTAGCATAGTATACTATATTTTACTACTTAAATGTTAACAAATGGACAGAACAAAACTAGTGATAGACTTGTCTCAAATAATCTCACAAAGTTTGTTAGATAGCTAAGGATTATAAAGTAATTGTTGAGGAAGTGAATCAACCTGCACCGGAGAAGGCACTCGTGTGAAGAGTTTAGGGCAAGCGGGGTCCTCCAGCTCAATGCTCGGAGGACCTGCAATCAATTTTTAGTACTAGGAGTGACAGCTCGTTGGAAAATGGAAGGTACGTATAGTAACTAGGACAAAATAGTAATGTACAAGCCACCAAACAATCGGTGACTGAGCTCCCCACCGAATGACCGGAGACTGAAGGCCAAAACGACCGGTGACTGAAAGCGAGTCAAATTTGACTCGAAAAGAGTCGAGTTTTGACTCGAAGAGAGTCGATTTTGAGACTCGACCAAACGGCTAAAGGGCTATTTTTTTTTTTTTTTTTCAATAGTGCAAAGGCACTGATCACGATAGAGCCGCAAAACGACAACACCGAGAGACTTGATATCCAAAACCGAAAGATAGAGCCGCCAAACGAGAATAAGAAGCCGCGAAACAAGGAAATGAAACAGACATTTGAAGTTGGACAAATAGCAACTATGCGCCATTTTACGATAGGATTGATGTTTCTTTGCATTCGGCCAGCAGAGCTCCACTAACCGCTGCAAGGTTTTGAAACCTGTCACCAGCAAGGCGACGAATAAGATGTCGTTGAAGTCCGTCGACGAAGCGAACGTGTCCACCACAACAGCAAGATCATCCAGAGTCAGTGGTTCTTTACGTCGAACAGGCTTAGATAAGCGACATTTACAACCTTTAAGAGTGCGAGTAACGAGCAAGGACGTGCGCACATCACGAACTTGCGGAAAGTGTGTTTGAAGTCGATTCACGATACCCGAAAGATACGAGTCCACGGATCGTGGCTCAATATGATGTGATAACCACACCACGAAGAAGGACAGAGTGTCCGCGGTAGGTTCAACGTCCCTGTTATGAAGTCGACAAAAGTTCAGATATGAGTTTAGGTGTGAGTCGTAAGCTGAAGCTGTAGTGGTCTCAATAGCGCAACCAAGGGCCAAGGAACGCTCTAATTGTAGGTGTTCGAGAGTCCAAGCTTCCTGCACGGGTTGCTTGGACCGAGTGGTACTTGGGATCATTTTTCTTTCACCCCCAGCGCATTCCGAGGGGGTTCGAAGTCAAATATCTGTGCTGATGGCACCAGATCTTTCACGAGTTCATTGTGAAACCATGACAATGCGTCAGCGATGACGTTCTGTTGGCCTGGAATATGTTCTACTCGAAGGTCAACGTTATAGGTGATTAAGATATCCACAGCCGAAAGTAACAGTGAGTTATAGATAGGTCTTGCTCGAAGTGAGTCGAACATTGACACAGTGTTGGTGTTGTCAGTGTAAATGAGTAATTTTGCGGGAGTGTCGTCCATATTTGTGACCATGTGAATAGCGGAACAAACGGCCAAAGCCTCGAAGAAGAAAATGGTGTCATGAGGAGCATCTCCAGGTAAGGGTGATTGGCATGCGAAGTTTTCGTCTGGAAACCAGAGTCCTAATCCTGCGGCTGACGCGTCAGTGTAGACAACTACAACGTCATCTCTTGACGCGTCGAAGTCTAAACACCGGAATAGGTGTAGGCTGTCCAAACATTCAACGTGGTCTGCGAGCCAATGTAACTCGTGTAGCAGTGCATTGTTGACATGAATTTGAGCGAGGGCGTTAGTCTTTCCTCGAATTTTGTCGTAGAGCACCGACAAACCGGGCTTCAACAAAGGGAAGACATTGAAGCTCCATTCACACCAGCCAGCCAGACGCTGGAATTCGCGAAGCGACCAATGGTGATTCTTTCGTGCGAAACGACGTAGCTCTGTAACCAACTCAGCCTTCTTATGAACGGGTAAAGTAACTTGCATAGCATTTGGGTCGACTTCAAATCCGATCACTGTCAACGGTGCACCAAATACTTGTTTGGGTCGTTCATGCGGTAGTTGAAGGTCATCCCAGAGTTGTAAAAGCTGAGTCTGTTTTGCGGGAAAGTAGCAGTCATATGGGGGATAATAGAGAACATGTCCTGCGACCTCGAAAGAGAAGGAGTCGTCCATGTAGGTCTTTAGAGCATCAATTAGAGCCCGGTGAATAGCAATCCACGCGACAAGTGACATAAAGGATATCCAGATCTTAGGAGAACCGCGACCACCGAAGTTATTGTTACGGTCAACATGACGTTGACCATGCACAGTCAAAATTTGTTTGACTTGCCATAGAGGGTGCATTGATAACCGACGGAAGGCTTGTGAAACGTCAGATTTGAACATGATTAACTCAATGTTTGGATGCAGCTCTCGAAATCGGAGCAATGAGGCCCCCAGTGAATGTAGACCATCGAGCTTAGTACCCTTGATAGTGTCTCGATCAATCATAGAGTTCAAGGAGTACTCGCCCGCAGTGTGGTCCACAACTAACCGAAGTTTGTCGGTATTGGGTTTGGGAACAGTGTGCATTGGGACACTATACATTCCTGGATAAAGCTCTGTTCCAAAACTTTCAGACACCCGGCCCAAGTGGATTTCTTCCCGCATCTGGTCCTCAATGAATTGAAGTTGTATGTCGGTCTTGGAACACGTATGTGAAGAGTTGTCGTTAATGGAGGGGTACGAATTATCAGAAGTGTCAGCCCAAGGCCAGAAGCCTTCGCGCAATGCGTAACAGACAGATTTAACAAAAGGCTGATTCGGATGATCTGTAAGGAGTTCCTCGAAACGGTTAACATTGATGGGTGTGACGATGCGAAACAGGTCCGGCCTTCGAGCAATGGTCTGAGCTGCATCACTGTTTTGGAGTTCATGTGAAGGTGGTTTTGGAACAGGTTCTGAATATTCAGTAGAACACGCTGTGGGACTAAACGAAAGGTCCATTGGAGACCAAATAAGGCCCCGTCTATGTCGCGGGCGCTTAATTGGACGTTCAGGTAGGTTTGGACTTAGACTCCTCGAAATGTCTCGCTTTCCGTGTGATGTCGTGCACACAATCTCCCGTCCTGCTCGTGTGAACAGATGTGCGCGTAACGGCAGGTTTGAGCGCTGCGAGAGCATTCTCCTGAGTTCCATTTACGACAGGGCTCTCGCCGATTAAAGGAGGTCTTGTCTTGTGCCGAAGCACCGAGTTTTGACTGCTTGTCCTCGTCGTGATGCCTGCCGTCTGATAAGAAGTGGGACTCATATATGTCTGCAAAGGCCGAGAAGTCAGAGAGTTCAACTCTTCGAGAGTTTGTGGCCCTGTTCCTAACGGCTTTATCGAATCTAATGATTCTCTCATGCGCTCGCTCGACACTGCAGTCAAATTTGTCGTTAATGTATTCTCCATAGGCGGCGAGCTCATCCTCTCGATGAGGGAACGCGAACTTAATGGCCCTTGAGGCTCTATTCCACGCTGCAGACCATTGTGCAGAGGTAGTGATCTTCTTCGAAACTGCCTCTGTAGCGGTGGAGAACTTGATCTCAATGTCCCCAATGGTTTCGGTACATTTGTCAATGGTGCGCGAGGAGGAGATAATAGAGTGTACGGCGTCAAGATTAATGCATTTTCCTGCGACAATTTCTGCCCATCCAGCTTCATGGAATTCCAGGCAGCAGCAATGGTACATGAGTCTTCGCCGAACCTCTTTAGGGTCTTGCGACCAGTTGAGTAGGATTTCGTTGGTGCGTGTGAGATTGGCTGAAAGCTGCCCTCCTTTGAATGATTGCTCAGCTCGTCCGAGACAAGAGAGGTCAAGTTTGGACCATTTTTTAATGGGTTCACCTTCATCAGCACTGGACTCTCTCTCATGCCCATCCTCTCTAGGAGGGACAAAGTCCCTTTCTTCGGAATGTCGTGCAGGGTCATGTTCCCGAAACGCTCTGGTCCTTTCAAGGTCATTGGACCATTGTTCAAGCATGTCGAAGTACGGACCCGCGATAAAAGATTCGGCTTGGTCCGTAACTTCGTTAGAGGTGGCTGCGACAACCTTTGAAATAGTGATAAACACTTCTTGCTTTGAGATAAGTGATTGTTTGAAGTCTTCAATGATGTTGAGGCACTTCTCAACCAAGTCTTGTTGCGGAACAGTCGCCCTTCCAGAGTTGGTTTGAGACGAAGTCCCTGCTTGTCCAGGTCCTGTAAGTGATGCTTGGGTGTTGGATGAAACATTTTGAGTGTTAGACATGGAGGTACGACCAAATTCGAAGTTTAGAACAAGAATTCAAGTAAATAGCTTAAAATTGTGGCGCAGAACGTGCTCAACGCTGATGACGGTTGAGACGAAAGGACTGAAGTCCGAAGTCTGCGTCACCAGCGTTTAGGAGACTCAGTCACAACCATATGTCACAATCAGTGACAGGTATGTGCGCAGAGCTGAGACTCGGCCAGAGCCGAGTGCGAGCGTTGATTCAATTCGTTTAAACCTATTAAAACCCAATGAAACAAAAAATATTTCTAAGTCAGTGCAGTGTGGTATATATATAAATTATAGTTACACATATGAAAGGTTTTATGGCCAAGTGGTTAATGCTGGTCGAAGTTGCATGTAATAGTCACATGATCTAACTCACACTTCAAAAGTCATGAGTTCAAATCCTACCAGATGCAATCATTATTTTCTTCAGTTTTTACCAAACTGTCTGAAATATCTGACTGCAGACCTGACATGTCTGACATCAGATATATAACTGGCCTCAGGCCAGTCAGACTTTGTGTCTGAAATCAGAACTACATGTCTGATAGCAGAAGTGGACCTCTCTGATATCAGACAATGTCTGATGTCTGATGGTGCTGAATGTCCTGCTATCAGGCCCTGCAGATAAATCAGGAAAAATCTAGGTTTTCTGATGTAAACCCACACCCGACACCCGCTAACCCGCTAAACCCAAAAACATCGGCTGACACTTTGGCATCGGACTTGTAATAATACCTTCGGATTCCATTTCTCATGCTTGGACTTTTGACAGTTTATTGATTGACTAAATACAGACTTATTCAAATAGCAAACCCCTCAGGTCGAACACACTTGTCTAGTAAGTATAGCAGACTAGGCTGTGCAAGACCACTACAACATTTTTATATCGCTGGATACTTACTTCATATAGTACCAAGCATTGTTGTATATTTACAACACTTCATAGCTCACACAACAACACATCTTAAGTCCTCTACTCTTGGATCTAGGACCCTCCAACACAGATTCATAGCATTGTATTTTTTTTATAAAAAAATAAGTATGAGGAACATGTATGGCTTCAAATCTATCACTCAAAGTCACCTGTTTCACATAGAATAGTCAGGGGAAGACAAAGTTTCCAACCAAAAAAATTCATTTTTTTTCACATACACTTTATACCTACCCTTACCTTCTGAGCATTGTTCTGATGAGAATAGAGCAGAGTTGTGGTTGTTATTGACGATGCAATCACTGGTGTCGAAGAATGCTCAAGCATGACAGGTTGGAGCAGAGAATCAATTCTGATTGCGGACTCTCTTGCGCTGCATTCCCAATATTAATGTTGTTACTTTCTCGTCTCATGTGTACCGGTTGCCAGGTCAGGGTTCAGATTTATAAAATCGATGTTGTGACAGAGTGTGACATCTACGCCAACCTGCTCATGGGAAATTTTGCAACTCTCTACTATTTCTACATCTTGTGTCGGCATCCCTCTGGCAGCATCTTTTAAATACCTTTCATTCTTCTGTCAACTAGAGCTTTCCTATGACACATGTAGCTATAATTCCATGTAATTATTTTGTCTTAATGTGTGGTAGTTATTGACATAATTCACTACAGAGTGCTACAGAGCGCTCTGTAGCATTCTGTAGCACAATACAACCTGCTGATGCATCACTCACATGCTGTGCGAATGTGTATTTTCATCCAGCAAAGAAACATGCACACTCCGTCGAAGCAGACTCTCACCACGAGCAATGGAAGCCCTCCAGATTCTCAAGTTTTCTTACAGACAGGAGAGACTATGTTTCACTAGGGATTTGATTGCAAAAGAGGATGACTATCGGATTGCGGGGCCTGTGACACGAAGGGCTGCAGAGGAATTGATAGTTATGGGGAAGGAGCTTGCTGATCTATTACAAAATGTTGACGAAGATAACGTAGAATGAAACATAGCCACTACTTCACTTTACAAAAACTTCTCATTGGCTGGAGCTTCGGGCCGAATTCATTACACGCAGTAGGGACGGATGGCATTGTAAATTTCAAATACCAGAAGGTCCAGGTGAGACTTGCCAGTGCGTCATCATGATGTGGCTGTGCATGCCAACGGCTTTCGTTTCTGCACTCTTGAGTCTTTACAACTCTACATCCAACAATGAACCAGTTATTCACAACTTACTTTGTATTCGCTTACATTGGCGAGCTACTTGCTGCAGGCATGGTCAGCTTTTTTGCCCCTGTTGGATTCCTGTCTCCATTCATGCATGCTTAGCATAACTCTCTTATCCTTCCTACTTGCACTGCTTCATGTTCGCCTAGTGCACACAAAACCGATCCCGTCCACAATTGCCTCTTGTCTCATATAGCAATGGGTTCAGGATTTGTGGTGATCTCAATCGAAGTTCGCTCTTACGACAGTGAGTACTAATCAAGTGTCCTAGTATCTGGAATTTGGATGACACTCATTGCTGTTTGCTGTAGTAACACACACCCTGCCACTCAAAGGATACATCAGCAAACTACTAATTTGGTGACAGGTTTCACACAAACAACAAATCTACACAAACTATACAAGGTATTACAGACATACAAGCAATTCAAAATTTCGAGTTGCTAAGCACAAGCAAACAAGCAGACAAACACCACAAGGACTACAGGTTTGTACAAGCAATACAGATTATACAGATTATGCAAGTACATATCAATGTAGGATACAACTAGTGTACCTAACTTGTACTACCAGCCCTGTACCCAATAAACATTGGAATGCCATTTCTCCTCTGCTCTATATGCATGCGTCCCACGTCAAGGTCAGCTGTCAATAATCGCATGTTTGCAGCTTCTACACGACGGCGATGGAGGTTAGTGAGCACTATGTGATGCTCCAAGATGCGGTCTGTGAGATCTTTTTGGGCTTGACAAATCCTACATTTTGCTTGAGCTGCCTCAAGTGCAAGGTCGGAGTGGTCTTCCTCATCTGATTGGTTAAATAATGGGTAGTCGAGATCCTTATGCGCAATGAATAAGAACAATCAAAGATGGAACATCAGATGCACAAACTCACAAACCACAGGCCTGGAGATAAGCTGTGCTCATCTTTGGTAATGCGTGATCCCATCTGAGAAGATAAAGTTTTGTTTGGAGAGCAGGACATGCGGTGTCCAACTGATGTCGCATCATAAGGTCTTTGAAGGCGATACTTGAAGTGAGTACTATAGGAGCGCAAGGACTGAGTTCTTGGAGAAGAATTGCGAGACAAAGATGAGACTACAGAAGAGCTTGGAGACGAAGTTACAGAATCATCCATCATATGTAAATATATACTCGTATAATGGGTGTACAAGCAAAGATAAGAAGTGTGCTTGAAGTGTGTGAACAAATCTTTCCTTCCAAATAACCATGTCAATATCATGTCCAAAATGCGGGAAAATATTCAGCAAGGAGTTCAGCATCACTCATCACCTCAGTCAGCCTTGATCGTCGTGTCATAGTTCTATTCATGACATGGTGGACATTTCTCAGTTTGCAGAGTCAGCTCTACAATTACGGCGGTCCCCCAATCCAATTCCTCACCATGGTATAAATTCAGATGGATATCCTTCACATTTTGATGTCGACTTCTTCGAGACAGAGGGAGAGGAATACATGAGTGCGGAGGAACGGTATGAAGGCACAGGGACTTGTTACTCTTTAGATGGCCTGACGTTCTTAGATCTTTTTGACGTGGATGAGTATGCAGAATGCAGAAAGGATAATCTATTCTATCCTTTTGCATCAAAAGAGGAATGGGAAATCACTGATTTTCTCCTTCGTTCTCCCCTTAGTATGGCTGCAATCAATGAATTTCTAGCACTCCCAATGGTGAGTGCTCTTCACAAATGCTGGCACTTTGAGATCTTATGGACTCGTAACTTTGCATCTTCTCCTTCTCGCAATTCTCAAGTCTCTTATCCTTCTCGTATTTCTTAATATCCTTCTTGCACTTTTACTGATCATGTCCTTACTTTACAGATCCACAAATTGAAGCTGTCATTCAGTACTGCTAAAGAATTGCGAAGCTGAGCCAAGATGCTACTCAAGGGACCAAGCTGGAAGTGTCAAATTATCCCATCCCTCCATCGCACCAAAACTCCAATCCGACTTTTTTGGAGGGATCCGGTTGAATGCTTAGAAGCCCTCTTCAGCAACCCCCTATTCCATGACAAGCTTGATTTTGTTCCTCATCACATGTACACAACCGCAGCACAGCTTACCCGCGTTTATTCAGAGTGGCTAATGGGCGATTCTGCTTGGGAGTTCCAGGTACGTGCATCTGAGCCATAATGTGTGCTGTCTTACACAGGGCCTACAGAGTCAAGTGCCCAGAGGTGCTCCAATTCTTGGCACAATCATTTCTTCCAACAAAATGAATATCACCACTATGACTGGTGCTAGGGTTGCTCATCCACTCCTTCTTGGTCTCGCTAATATTTGCATGCAAACTCGCATGAAACTCTCATCCAGGGCTTTCCTACTCACAGCACTCCTCCCTATCCCGCAGTACTTACACCCTAATCAACGGATGCGAGGTGTTCTCGAAGACTGCCTCATACATCAATGTCTTTCTATCATCTTAAAGCCATTGATGATCACAGCCAAAATCGGGATAATGATGTCTGATCCTGTCAGAAATGTTCACCATTGCTACACGCCCCTTGCAGCATACATTGTTGATACCCCGGAGGCATGCATATGCGGGAAAACCTCCCCATTTACGATGGCATCATATCTGGAGTTTGGGGACAATTTTTGTCACCCCAAATGTACATGCTATATCACTCTCGGTCAGCTCGCCAAGATACACGTTGATCCCAATGACCTTGAAGGTTATTTTGATGCATGTGCGGTATATCGTCTAAATGGTGTCCACGCGCCCTTCTGGCAAGATTGGCCGTTTGCCTGCCCCTCTGTTTTTCTAACTCCAGAGGCCCTGCATCACTGGCATAAGCAATTTTTCGATCATGACCTTCAGTGGTGCATTGCGGTTCTTGGAGCCCAGGAACTCAATTTTCGATTTTTGATTGTTACAGGCAGAGTCCATCGTGATCTACAGTGTTACATTGTCGGTCTCATTGTCGGTGCAGCCCCTTGTTGATTCGTGATCGTGATCCATGCCCTTATGGATGTCCAGTATATGTCACAATCCCCTTCTCTGGATGATAATTTATTGGCATCTATCGACCAATCTCTTTCGACCTTTCATCAAAACAAAGATGTTATCATGATGTTGGGTGCAGAGACCGGTACAAAGAAGACAATTGATAATTGGTATATACCTAAGCTAGAGCTAATGCAGAGCATCACTGCCAGCACATGTAAAGTCGGAGCCCTCATCCAATGGTCTGCGGACGCCACTGAACATGCACATGTGTCCGAAATCAAGGACCCTGTGCGACAAACCAATAATAATGATTATGATCCTCAGATTTGCCATCATTTAGATCAACAGGACAAGCTGCGGCAATTTGTGATTGCTATGACATTGAAGAGTGGTGTCCTTGATCCAGACCCCGAAGAATTACCTGTGGATGAAGGAGATGATGAAGACATTGCTGAGTTCAATGAACCATGTACTGATCAACAAACTGCACTCCTGGAGGGACTTAATTGCACACGTGTCACTACCAACTACTTCATCAAAGCTAAGGAGGCGGCTACTGTACCTTGTGGACCTAGCCCTCATCCTCCTCGAACATTTACCGCTGATAATACTGCTATCCATCTAAATTATAGTCCAACTCGCACTGGAATGAAGATTGATGATGTCGCAGATGAGTTCAACATACTGGATCTTCATGATGCTATTTCAAACTTCTTGCAACTTGATGCGAGGAACAGAGATGTGATTCATGAGGTTGGAGTCTCAAGAAGATCGTTAATTGATCGTCCTTCTACTCTGCCTTTTGATCGTGTTCAAGTTTGGCACACAGTTCACTTGCAGGAAGTTTCCTTCCATGATCCACGTGTCATCTTACCAGCACAAACCTTACATGCCTCTCCACCATGTCCTGGGTGGCCGAAAGGCCAATGAGATGCCATCCTTATCAATGTCGATAGAGAGTATGAGTGGCCCCAGTCAGGGTTAAGGGGTGAGTCCTTTTCTATTCTTATCAATCTGGCTGAAGTGTGACTCCTTGGAAGGGCATGCTGTAGGACTGGAAGTCCTTGTAGCCTTGTAGAGGCTATTTTGCAGTATCTCTTAGCATCCTATTACTTTATTACACCAAGCACAGCTTTTCCGCAACCCGCATGCATCGGCCGCTACTTTCCCACGACAGCCGCAGTGTTCCCCCACGCACGCACAGCCGCGCTTTCTCACGCTTCATCGGCCGACATTTCACACCATCTGTCCATGTCCAACCAACCCAACGGTACATTATTCTATGATTATATTTACATATCAGACCATTTCCGCATCGCACCACCTTTATTTCATCATAGACCCTTATTTACATATAGCTTTACATATCCTATTCGGTAGCACATCAGCTCGGTTCTGCATAACAGCGCTTAGCGCAATACTTAAACACTAGTAGTACATATCCTTCAGTAGCTTGGTTTTCTGGATGTTCCAGTAGCAACTCCCTTTAGCCTACAGTTAGTAGCTATTGGCAATCTGTATCTGTTTACCGTCCACACCGTGTCCGTTACCGTTCCGCTTTATGTCTAATTCTATTGTTTATCATCTCTATTACCATCTGAACCATCTGCACTGCAGCTGCTTTGCACCCGCCGCTTTCCCGCGCTTTGCATCGGCCGCTAAGCAGCACCTTCGGTGCTCATTTCTTGACCTTTGCTGCACTAGCTTCCCCTTTAGGGTCAAATGCACTTGTTCCGCAAGTATAGCAGACTAGGTGTTGGATGACCTACAACATAAAGATATTGGTTTGGAGCCTATAGCACCACACTGAGTTGTAAACCTACAATGCTATCTGTGAAGTGCAGCTTATCATCTGTCCAATGGCCCAACGAGGCTCTCATATCACCTGGCGAGATCAGTATCTATGCTATGTGCATAACCTGAAGGTTGGCACAGTCCATCCTGCCGCTGGGATGCATGTATTGAAGCATGCTAAGCATGCAGATGGCACTCCAGTAGGTAACATAGTTCCCCTCAAGCAAATGTGTGCTTTTATCAGTATAATACCTGAGCTGGGAGCTGCAGCGGACGCACGGTTGACAAAGGAGACTTCTGCACATTATTTCTCATCATTTTTCTTGAACAAGTACTTCAACAAGCAGCTTTATTATGCACTTTACCATGCTTCACAACAGATAGATACATAGATTGTTATATTATATAGTGCTCAGATGTTTTTTGATGCCTTTGATCCATAATGACAGGTAAGGAACATGCCTGGACACTGCCCAGTGCCTAATTGGTAGTAGCATGCCTGAACGACAAGTTGGTCGTTAACCACCTGACTTGGACAATGCAGTCATCCATGTCATCCCGGTGAAGGTACAACAATTCAGATGGTGAGTCTGAACAATATGTTGGGTCTTGCAGAACCTAGCTGCTATTCGACCCTAAAGGGTTTCTGGACTAGGCTTAAGGCTCAGAGGAGAGGAAATATCATAGAAAACTGCTGAGCACTCAGACTCATACTGGTAACTGGTGAAAAGATTGCTTGCTTATGTAAGCTACAAAAGTGCCAACATAAGGTAAGGTAAAAACAGTCTCTACAAGCCCAGCCAGAAATGAATCCCTACACCGGCAATCCAACATTGACAAATTCTTGCTCTATGCAATGATAAGCTCTATTGGTGTCCCTTCTGGCCCATGCACCTTAGATACTATGCAAGCTCTCCTCAGGCAAGAGCTGAAAAACCGCCTGATTCATGAAGGTATTGGAAGGGGTGCTGGAATACCATTGGAGAACTCCATTTTTCATCATCTTGTGATGAAAACTACTCTCCAATTAAGCGACATCAAGACAATTCAGTACGACAGAACAGGACCATCTGCATACTCCGGAGACAAATGGAAATTCCACCGCAGGAGAAAAGGAATCAAATGTACTTGTGGCACAAAACAAGATGACGGTACAGAGGACAGTGGCACAGAGCGCAAGGATGCAGAGGATGATGATACAGATGACAAGGATGCAGAGGATGATGTTACAGAGGATGATGATACAGATATCGATGATGGAGAGATCAAGGGTGCAGCGCTTGGCATAGAGCCCTCTTTTGACTCGGTGATCCATGGCCAATCTGAAACAGAAACATGGAGTTCCCAAGAGCACCAGCCTTCTAGATCGAAGAAAAGGCACAGACAGGTGCCTGTGAGAACCAAAAAAGAGTTTCAACGTCTCTTTTACACCATCCAGTATCACCTGCATCACAAACTGAAACCCCACCTCCCTTTCAACATCTCGGCTGGATCCCGGTACTGGTCTGCAGAGTTCTCCACCTCTCCTATACCAGACGAATACAACTGCCAGAAGCCCGACATAGCCCTGTTTGACTTCACCATCAAAAACATGGGGAAGACATGGACAGATGTCCTGTCCTTTGTTGAGCATACCTCCAGTGATCTTGCTAAAAAGTGAGATATACCAGTGTTCTGGGGATCTACAACCAAAGCCTACCTAATGCTGAGAGAACAACCGTGGCGTCAATTCGTCATTGGGTTTTCAATTTGTGCCAATCAGCTTCGCACACATTACTTTGACCGCTCTGGTCTCATTATATGCCATCCTTTCCACATCTATCAAAAAATGGGCCCTGTGCGACTCACAGAGATGTTGGGTACGCTCACTCTATTGAATATTCATCATTTAGGTTTTGATCCGACAATCCACATGTGTAACGCTGCATGCACAGGAACTCATCCCAACTTAGCACACAAGGTGAAGGGCTGGGTGAAGGACAACCACAACAAAACATATTCTATTATGGAGGTTCTGTGGAAGAGCCGTGGGCTTTTCTGTTGTGGAACAGTTTGTTATCGTATCATTGATGAGGCAGGGAACCAGTATGCTTTAAAAGATTGTTGGGTGACAGAGGAGAAGGGAATGCACAAAACGACCATCCTGGAGATGGTCAAGGGTATCCCTAATGTTGTCAAACTCATAGACCATTGGGATGTGTATTACGAAGGGGAGCCTGACTGTACAGCGTGCATTTGCAGCCAATATGACATGGACCATCAGGATGACTTGATGTTCCGCGACAGATTCCACTGCTGCATTCTCTTGTCCCCCTGTGGGGAGCCATTATCTAAATTCAGCTCTAGACGAGAACTGCTCACTGCCTTTCATGCCTTTGTAGTTGGTGAGTCTTATTGAGCATGTAAAATACTTGTATGAACTTTTTATTTTCAGCTCATCACATGATGATTGAGAAGCAAGTCTTGCATGGGGACCTCAGTCCCAATAATTTTGTTGTTCATGATGGTATTGGTTACTTCATTGATTTCGATCACGCCTTGATTCTAGCGGAAGGCATGACTAGCACCTATTTGCATGGTACAGTAAGTTTCGGTACACATTTTAGCTGTTCATTGTTCATTTCATTTTTGCAGGGGACCATGCCCTACATTTCTATCCGTATTCTTCAGGCTATGCTGGATCTAGCCCCACTTGAGGTTGGCGCCAGCATCTCAGACCAGGATGCTGATCCGAACAATGTGGACAATCTCAATGTGGACAACATCATCGACCAGGCTGCCAATGCTCTGCAGGATGTCGAATTTGATACAAATCTAATCGAACACTGGCCCAGCGATGACCTAGAGTCCTTATTTTACATTTTCTTCGAATTTATTGCTAAGTATGGGGGGCCACATGGCCAATTGGCACCCACCTTGTCCCGGCAAAGTTTGCTGTGGGCAAGCACTTATGAGGCTTTGGGCAATGCGGACACCCATTTGGCTCTGAGTATGATCTGTTTTGTGAAGATGGGGGTTTTAATGCAAGGCATATTCTTGGTCACTAAGACATCCGAATACTTTGCGGAATTCCGACCTCTCATGCAGAAATGGGGCACCATGGTTTACAATGCGAACATGCCCCAAAATCAGGTAGAGATGACCCATGCTGGAGTCCTCAACCTACTCAATGTATTCATGAGATCTATTGGTGAAGAACCACCTCCTTCAGGACAATCCCAGAGTCTTCATCCCTGCACAGCAGCATCCCAGAGTCTTCATTCCTGCACACCAGCATCACATGCTCTTCACACACACCCAGCAGGGCCATCCAAGCATTTACCACGTTGTTCCACTCATCTTAGCAGATCATCAGCAAATCCTCTGATATCCTCTACAGCACTTTCTGAGCCTTCATCATCTCATTCCCCACAACAACAAAAGAACAAACGGACAACTCAGAGGATGCAATGAGAAAGTGTCTGAACTTTTTTTTTGCATATGTCATCCCACAGTCCTCTTTCAGAGCACTGGCACTCTGTATTATGGACTCTAGAGCTTCCTTGCCTTCTCGCAATTCTCAAGTCTCTTATCCTTCTTGTATTTCCTAATTTCCTTCTCCTCAAAACTCAACTTGTTGTACCCTCTAATTATTACTATGTTGTTCGGAGTCATACTGTATCTGTACATGTACTCTGTTGTGCTAGTTTAGTATGTCAAACCATCAGCTTATGTTATACAACTCTGGGTATTAATTGGTAGCAACAGGTTTTAGAACTGAGTCTCAACACTTCCCACCTTATCGCTCGATGCCTCCAAAGAAGAGAGCCAGGCGCTCATATGAAGTCTCCAAGGGTACCCGACAAAGTGAGAGATCTATATGAGGCCAAGGTGGACATGCAGACCAGTTGAAAAAAGCTGGAGAAACCTTAGTGGCCCCAGCAAGGAAAGGTTGGAAGGTGACCACTCTTGACATTAGTGATGCAGAAGAAAACCCTATGGCTCCTTCCCAGCTCTGGAAACCAAAGAAAAATGTGTATAGTTGATGTTCCAATATGAACTCCCAAAAGCTAACATTCTTACAGGCTACTACTAAAAGGTCTCTGACCAGGAGCACCAATCCTACTCAGTGTTCCATTGGTATCAACAAGAATGTCTATTCAGGACATCAGCAACCTACTTCACAATGCCAACATTCTGGCGCATCTCTCCGAACAGCCCCAAGTGCAGCTCAGTCTTCAGGTAGGTTTGGGTTTCGGCAGCCCACTTCAACTAGCAGTCAGAACATCCGGAAGGCACCATGGTCCAATGAGCATACCCGTGAGGAGGAGGCTGTAAATCAGGCTCCAGAGCATGATATAAGTGATGATGACCAGGACCAGGACCAAACTGATGGGGAAAATGAGGAAAGGTATGTCTTCCACTACTATCTCATCCTTCTACATATTATCACATGTACCCGATGCATGGATGGGGTTCAGGACCAGGAGAAAACGCTCGAAACAGGCGATACCACAGACTTCGGACAACACGAAGATGATTTGGATGGTGAGTATGAAGGTGAAGCTCAGGAAGATTTAAATCGTTGCGATTTCGATCATGAGCCTGATGCTGTGGACGATTTTCTGGATCAAGGTATGATGGGATGTCAACAATTAGCATAATGCTTAGGGATTTCAATCAAGGTATTGATGGGGATTTTGACGATGAGCTTGACACTCAGAGGGACAAGCCTGACGCTCAGGACAATGCTATTGATGATGATTTCAATGATGAGCTCGACAACACAGCCAGAGACAAAACAGAGGAAAGTGTTTTAATTTTTGTCTTGAGGTTAATCTTATCACATGTTCTTAGGAAGCTTTTGATGTTCTCGAGTGTCATCAAATGAAGAATGGACGGTGCAAGGCTCCTTCCTTAACTTATCTATCGAAGGTGAAACATACTGAACACAGACATGCTTCTAGCCACTCGAAGTCTCCTCGTCGACCGTCACCTCAACATGTGGTATCTACTGGGTCTTCTGCTCTAGCGCTACCTCTTAAATGTGAGTGCTCACCCAACAGTACTTCTACCCACTCAAAGTATCCAGATCGGCATTCAGTGTCACCTCATAGACACACATCCCAGCGTGTCCCGTCTATGTGCCCTTCTTCCTCCTGCATGCACTCTCGCTATTCTACATGCTCAAGGTCTCCATATCGGCATTCAGTGTCACCTCATAGACACACATCTCAACGTGCCCCATCTATGCGCCCTACTTCCTCTCGCGTGCACTCTCACCATTCTACACACTCAAGGTCTCCATATCAGCGTTCAGTGTTGCCTCGTAGACACACATCTCAGCGTGCCCTGTCTACACGCCCTTCTTCCTCCTGCATGCACTCTCACCATTCTACACGCTCAAGGTCTCCATATCAACATTCAGCGTCACCTCATACACACGTATCCCAGCATCCCCCCCGCATGCAGTCTCCTCATTGGTGTTCTCCATCTAGACGAAGCACTTCCCCCAGTCGTGCTATACATGATGAGCCAGATTCATGCAGAAATAAGCGCAAGGCCAAGACAGCTCAAGAGGACCCCGTGAAGCTTGGCTTTTACCCACCTGCCTGGCAAGCATTTTTGCAGGCAGAGAAGTTAGAAATGCACCTACAGGCTGTTCTAATGCATCCCATTCCAGATCATCAAGATGCACTACAACTTGCACAAGAAGTTCTTGATGCTGAATTGTGGATGTATCATGAAAAAAAGATCAAGTTGGACAATGGTAAATAGGTTCCTCGCATTGCCTGACCCCCTTTGCAAATCTCATCTTGCTTCTTAGGCTATTTCCCGCAGTACACGACACAAATGTCGTGACTGGTAAGTGTCTCATTAATGGATGTACAATAAACTTATATCTTTATTGTCAGCTCTGCGATGATCTATTTACGTTTTGCACAGAGCTGAAGAAAATTGTTATATCCATCGCAAAAGCATCATACAATATCTTCCCGAAGGGCACCATAGCGCGCAAGGATGAGGTACAGAGATGTGTCATAGCGAAGGCCACCAAGTTACTCAAGACCAGTGATTATCTTTGTATTCCTGATTCATCTAATGTATGGTTACTTGTTTACGCCTCCCAAGGCAGCCACTCACTATTACTTTTATAGGGCAAATGGAAGAATTTTGTCTCACAAGCTCTCAGGGATGGCTGCCTTGAGTTCTACTATGGCAATAGCAAGAAGGCCCTCAAGAACACAGATGAATTTCGACATACAATACCTATCAATGGGCTACTTCTTGTGGGTGCTGTGGTGCGCCCTGTTATTTATTTTATTTGTGTTATTTAATCATTGACGAATCAACAGGTGAAGGGCGTCCTCACTGGGTTTCGCAAGACTGGCACCGACAAAGTCCCTGACCTCTCAGCAGATAAATGTAGGGCTGACTTCAACTCATTGCAGAGGTCTGTAGATGCACTTCTAGAAAATCCTGACCATTGTGTGGAGCTTGAGGAGATGTTGGAGCAGTGGGCTATGATTGGGGCAGGTGACCTTGATTTTGATGAGGGCAGTATGGGAGGCCGTGATATGGATGATGTCAACATCATCTTATAATCTAGCATACTCTCTCATTCAGCATTTTGTAATTCGTGACAATCAGCACAGTTTTTGCATCCTTTACAAGCCTGTATAATGTCCAGCAATTGCATAAACTCATACAACAAGTCTGACCTACAGTCTATAACAGGCACTTGAGCCAACAAAATTTCGTCAGCCTCCCATTGTGCAACAAATAAGTATTATATAGATCTGTCTGGTACAAAATTTTAGAGTATGTTCATAGATATATGAAATCAAATTTTGAGTCTATCGATCAATGTTTGAATATGCTGTGAATGCATCAGCGTTTTCGGCCTTTATCACTGTTCCATTTCCACTTGAGCCAGCACCAAAACAGTAAGTCCGATGTTATCTTTGCAATTGGTAACATTAATGACCAAACTATTCACTCCCACCATCAGACTCGTCACCATCATTCTCGTCAGCATCTTCCTCATCACTGCTGTCTTGTTGGCCCTCCTCAGCTGCCTCTGGATCACTCAATGTTGGCCTTGCTAGCGGTGCTTCCAGTTTTCCAAGTTTTGGCTTGTTCCATGCTGGTCTCCGTCTTTCCAACTTGGCCTGGTCTCTTTCTGCCTCCCATAGCTTCACTTGATCTCTGTACGCTGTTCTGCGTGCTTCATTTCTCACCAATCGTGCAGCTTCTGCTTCTTTCCATGATTTCAATAATTCTGTCCTCCCTTCTCTCTCTCAATTTGGCGAGCTTCACGTGCCGCTTCCTCTTCCTCAGCAACTCTTTAATGTTCAACCACACGGTGGTGAAATTCGTCACTCGTAAGTAATCTTGGAAGCCCATCCCCAACGAGCTGACCACCTTTTTTAGTCTTCTTTTTCTTCTTGTCCTGTGCTGCAAGCTGGCTAGATAGCTGATCACAGAACATGGATTGCAGGACGATAGTAGACTGCATGCCAACCAGTGTGCTCTTGTAGTGAGTTTCACAATCATAGGCACTGTGAAGGGCATCCTGGTACAATTGCTCTGTGGCTGATTCAGGTTCTGTTTCTAGCAAGTCGTGTTTTTGTTTGTGAGTTGGTGTAATAGGTGTTGAGATGAATGTGAGGAGACTGTGAGTGGATTGCACTGGGGAACTTGAAACGAGAAATGCTGCAGACATTGATGCCAATCCCTTGACAGCCTGCTCTGCCGCATCCATAATCCAGCCAGGTGAGCATAATGAACTTTCTGTCGCAGGGCCTGAATTTTTTTCATTGTGCTCCTTCAGGTATTGTTGAATGGTAATTGTGAGGGCTTTTACAGGACTAATCTGCGGCAAAGGCAAGTGACCCTTGGATGATGTCTCCAAACTGGGAGCCATCATTTCATTCGTAACTACATCAGGGTTAAATGGCCATGCACCTGTTTTGCGAAATGCCACTTTGATATTCTCTGGTGTCAGCACCTTTTTGTGAGCTCTTGAATATATTGAGATAAAGTTTGCTTTTGTAATCCTTTGCCTCTTTGAACTTTTGAACTGATCTCTCTTGTGCGTCCAGTAATGCTTCAGTGGGCCAAAGATAACCACGTCGAGGCCTTGATAGACATGAGTTGAATGTGATGGATAACAAAGTATGTGAATGTTATGTGTGCGAGCATAATCAAGGAAGTCCTTTGTGTAGTGGGAGTTATGCCCATCAATGAGCAACAAGCGCGCACGACCATTGGCTTTCTGGCTCGTCTTCTTGTCAAAATCTTTGATCCAAAGATGGCCAATGATGCCATCAGTCCAGCCCTTTGGTGAATGAGCAACACTGAATTTCTGTTGAGTCGAATTTTGTCTCCAAAAGATTGTTATGACTCACAATGCACCCAGGGTATTCTCATCGTGCCAACTTGTTGAAAATGATTTCCCTTTGTAGATCACGGTTGGAGGAATATCAGTGCCATCAGCGCATATGGTCACCATGACGGTAATGTTTTCTTGATTGCCATCTTGTTGCAGGTGCTGAGTCTTTTGCTTTGCAGGTCCAATGACCCTTTCTTTGAACCCCATTCCTGGTTGGAAACCACTTTCGTCAGATGCCCACATACAGTCCTCCTCAATATTTAGCTCCTTGATTGTCTTTCCAAGTAGCTTGTACCACTCTCGATTGTTTGTTTCATTGACAGCACCTCGAGCATTTTCGAGAGAGCTGCTCCAGTACCGACTGAGACGAGAAGATGTAACATGGTCAGACCGCCGCCATGCATAACCGTTACACCAAAAGGTGAAATACTGAAAGCTTAGCTTTCAGTATCAGCGACGGTATATGTACTGATTATGAGAACTCAGGTAAGCCAGCGTGCTTACACCCTCCCACGTTATCAGATCTTTTTCCTCCCCCACCAGTCCTGCTCCCAATCGCTTAGGCACTGTGGTTTGTGTGGGAGTTTCTATCCGAAACGGGAGGGTACATATGTCCACCCCAAGGGCGAACCTTGGAATTTGACCCAGAGCGGGTTGGAACGCCCGACCTCCTGCAAACCCTAAGCTTTCAGTATATGTAACATGGTCAGACCGCCGCCATGCATAACCGTTACACCAAAAGGTGAAATACTGAAAGCTTAGCTTTCAGTATCAGCGACGGTATATGTACTGATTATGAGAACTCAGGTAAGCCAGCGTGCTTACAGAAGAATGCCTTTCAACAAAGCGGTTTGTCCAATTAATCCCTACTCCATCCTCAGGGAAATCATCCCCAAGCCGAGCTTGTAAGATTGCATCAACGTGAATCTTGAGTGTCCTATGATTCAGTGGGAATGCTCTGCTTGCAAGATCGAGGCAGTACAAAACAACTGTGTCCTCTTCTTCGGGCTTCAGCCATGCATTCATCTGCATATTGAACTGAGAACAGCTTTGACCCCCTTTGAGTCGTCGGGAGACAGTATTGTGGTTAATAACAACATGCTTTTTGTGTTTTATGAACCAGTCTTCTTTGACATCCTTGCAGATCCTCCATAGGCTTCTCTGCTCTTCTTTTGGCTTGTCCTGCTCAATTTTATATGTTTTGATGGCAGCATTAATTGCATTCTCTTTTTCCTGGCTGGCAAGCTGCTTTTTCTTGGTCTGAGAATATGGGCGACACATCTTCTGGGGGACAGTGGGTGAGCAGCACGTCGGACACCTTTTTCAGTCTTAGCAGCAAATCAAAGGGTCCAAACCATATGTGGCTTATCGTGTGTCATAGATGAAACCTTAAGATATGATAGTGCACATTTCACAACCTTCCACCGGCATCGCACTGGCAGATGATGATATGCAGTATTCACACTTTCTATTTGATGAAGTTGTTGGCAGAGGTTGTGTCCATTAATTTCATGAATTTGGTTGACAAGAATAATTTAATATGGTCTCATAGCATCAAAATAGTGAGATTTCTGGCACATTGCAACACACAGCATGAGATCATGAAATATATTTATGTTAGGCAAGATCATATATTGAAGATGACTATGAGACAATAAAATGTCAGCCTACACTTTGGCCAAATATTGTGCGAGTGTTGTGCTATGGGTGTTTGGTTCAAGTGACAGTGGTGGCTCAAGTGCCTGTTATAGACTGTATATAACATGTCCCACCTACACAACATGTATTGTCTGTACAAAGGCACAGACTGTAACATTTGTATATATTGTGAGACCTTGTGACAGGACTGTAAAGGGGAGACTTTCTTGTGTGATTGTAAGGCTTGTACAGTCTTGTACAGTCTTGTACAACATTGTACAGGTACCAGCTGGTTTGCTGATGTATTTGAGAAATCTGATAATACCAGTGTATGCCTGCATATTACTTTGCATGATCATCTTCTATTGTTGGCCACTAGGCTACTGCGCTGACAGGCAAGATTTGGGGTCACTGGGGGATTTTTATGACTGCTTGCTCTTAGTGATGTTCCAGCTTGGCTTCAAGCCCCGGGCCAGGCCAAGCCGGGCCTGATTGAGCCAGGCCCAGCCCAGGCCTAGGACATGGCCTGACCAGGGCTTTGGCCTAGGCTTCAATTTTGCGAAGCCTAAGCTGCTGGCCCAAGCCATGGCTTAGCAGTGCACTATCTATTTTGGTATGTGAGTTTCTGTTTATGTTTATGTTGCCATCTGGCGATCGGTATCAGCTTCTCAGTCAATCATATCATGAGGTATGTCAGAATGAGATCACAGTGAGTTGCTGTTGTCATGTTATTAAAGCTTGCTGATATTTACCCTGGTCTTGAAAAGCAAACATTCAGCAATCCATGTGCCTCTACAGTCTTGCCTGGCGCTTCAACTTCACTGCCTTCACAAACTTAATCTGTTTTCAAATCACGTTCGATTTTTTATATGTGGTACGTGTATATGTGTTGTATCTACCTAGCAGCCTGCAATGACCAGCACAGTCCACACAGATAGTGAAGATGAACCTATCGTGCATTCTCGTCCCATATGCAGGATCAAACCCACTGCTGCTCTCCTCCAACACTCGGAGAAGGCCACCCTTCCATCTCAAACCAAAGCCATCAATGAATTCCGTGCCACGGAGGCAGCCAAGCGTGCTTTGGAGGTTTCTGCCCAACCCAAGCCCATGCCACCCCCACCCACAGCTATTCCCTCGTCCAATGTGCCTCCCCCACCCTCACCTATTCCCTCATCCAACAAACACTTGCATCCTGATGATGCCTTCGTCAACATCAAAGACGAATCTGTTGATGAAGACCATGACTCGGTCTGCGAGAATGCTCGTATTAACCCTAAGCCTCATAGAAAGAAACAGAAGGCCCCAGAGAAGTCCCCCGAGTTGGTTGATGGAGATGAGGTTCTCATCGACATTGATGTCTCTATTGTGGACCCAGGATCATCTCAGGAAGGCAAAACTGCTGATATCGATGCATTCTTTGGAGCAACATTTGAGCAAACTGGGGCCAATGGCAAAGTGAAGAAACACTGAAAGTGCAGTGTTTGCCTGTAAGTCTACCTTTGTACTCTCATACTACTCACTCACTTGTTTGTAGGAAAAAATGTGTCCTCGTCAATGAAATCACCACCCTTTGTCGCCATGCTGAGGCCCATTTTTCCGGCAAGTATCACAAATGGGCAAACCAACATTCGTTTGAATCAATGTTACCTGGTGATGTGAAGGCTTGCAAGGAGAATGCTGCACAGCAGATGATCAATGCCCATCTCACTGAACTTAAGTCCGAACGAGTCGTACCGTATTCTGACAAGTTGTTCAGACAAGCTGCCATTGAATGGCTTGTGGCGACTGATCAGGTACGTCTGCCTTCCTCGATTCAAAACCACGACTGACGGCTTATTTTTCTAGCCTATACAAGCACTTGACCACCCCAAATTTCAAGAGCTGATTCATGTTGCTTCTCATGCAACCAACGGAGTCAGGATTCCAGGTAGGAAGGGCACTCGTGCCGAAATTATGAGAATGTTTAAAAACCACCTTACGAGGCTAAGGACCACGCTGAATGTGAGTGATGTATGTGTCTGTTTGTGGTATTTTGTCTCATTGGGCTTCATAGAGTGCTGCTGTCAAGTGAAACGTCAATACCACCTGTGACGCATGGCAAGCAGAGAACATCGACGGTTATTTTGCTGTCACAGGGCATTGGATTGAAGAGAAGGTACCTATGCACTGGGAAATTGAAAGCTCACTCCTCGGGTTCATGAAAGTCAACAATGCACATAGCGACAAGTGGCTGGGCGGGGCCTTATTCAAAATTCTCGATCGTGTTGGGATTGCACAGAAGGTAAATCAGTTTATTTGACTATGATGTCCTACAGCGCTCATATAATTTACTAGCTTGGGCATGTAACCTGTGACAATGCTGCAAACAACAGGACGACACTACAAGAATTTGCACGCCTATACGAGGCTAAATATAACAAAGTGTTTCCCTGGTGCCAGCGCAAAATCAAGTAAGTCCTGTCATTGTCCGAACTCACTATGACACTCATTATTTGTGCAGCTGCTTGGCTCACATCATTAATCTTGCAACACAGAGTCTGATCAGCACGTACATCAAATCGCTGTATTACAACCCGCATGAACCAAAAAGTCATGAACCAACCACTCAAGATGAAATAGCCCTTGTTCGAAGTATTTGCGTCAAGGTACGTTCGTTTTCATTAGAGTCATATGACACTACTAAGATATATTGATGTCCTGCAGGAACAGTCATCCACGAAGCGAAAGGAAATGTACTGGAGTGTGCAGATCAAAGCAGGAGTGTCTCAACCAACCCAACTGTTGATTGACATGAGAGTTCGTTGGTCCTCAACATATATTATGCTTAATCGTGCCAAGACAAACAAGGAGGTACGTATTTCATATTGTCATACTCTTCTACTCATTGATGCTTATTATTGGCTCTAGCACATTGATACTTTTGTATACGAGATAGGTTGTCAAGAGCGTGACTTGGCAAAATGTGCCAAGATCGACTTTCTTCAACTCTCAGCTGGTGAATGGACACGTGTCAGCCAATTCGCTGATCTTCTTTCAGTACAAGAGTTTCTGATATATGTGTACTAATTTCTTATGTTAATTTGTTTAGTATTCTGATGTCGCACAGCAAGCATTCTCATCTGAACGTGGCTCGACTCTGCATCTTGCAATCCCAGTGCTCGAAACCCTCTACAGAGCTTGGTCTTTGTGTGCTGAAAGGTCAAAGTATGCATTGTTTGCCACGTCCCTTCAAGCAGCTGCTGCCAAGGTAGACGAGTACTACGAGAAGACAACGCAGTCCCCTGCATATATAATGGCAATTTGTAAGTTGTTATTCATAATTCAATAATCACTCTAATGCTTGCAAATGTAGTGCTTGATCCAGTAGGAAAGATGACTTATTTCAAGCGCCACTGGCCAGAAAATTTGCATGATGACATGGTAAGCACTGCGGAGGAAGTTGTGAGTCGAGCTTTTTTTGGCTTTGCACTATAGTCTGATTTTGCCACCAGTTCAAAGCTTGTTATTGTGAGCTGAATGAAGACGCTACATTTTTGTCATCATCCCAGCCCATGTCCAAGAAAAGCAAGGCAGGTGGTCTCAAGTCACTCATCCGTAAAGTCATCAGCGATTCGGAGGATGATGTACTTATGAACCCCACCCCTACTTCCATTGGTGATCCATCACGGCCATGGAGGGCCGAATTTATGAGCTATTTGGAGACTGTTGAGGCAGCTCTACCAGCAGGTGTATCTGCCATTCATTGGTGGGGGGTACATTCTATGGCTTGCGCTACTTGGAAAATTCGCACTGATGTCAATTTTGCTCAAGATGAATGCACCAAGATATCCAGTATGGGCCTCGCTCGCACGAGATTACCTATCCATCATGTCATCATCAGTCTCAAGCAAGCATGCATTTTCCCAAGGTGGCATAACCATCAGTAAACAACAGAACCAGCTTAAAGGAGACATTATTGAAGCTCTCCAATGTCTCAAATGTGTGATACAACACAACCTTCTCTTTCATGAGCCTGGACCATCCTCTCTTGTGGAGTCAGAGGAATTTGACAACTCTGAATTGGAAGCTGACAGTGAGGAGAGGACCGGAGATGTTGCTGCAGACGAGGAGGATGCTTGGGATGCTTTGATTTCAGATGATGACGAGGTTTCTGAGTAGTGTTACTTCATGTATTTTCTTGTGCTACTATACTATGAATCTACAACTTTGCATACCACCAAGCCGTGGCCTAGTATGGCTCAAGCCACGGCTTTGGGCTGGCTTGGGCTCATGGCCTAGGCTTGAAATATGGCAAGCCTAAGCCGGGCCGGAACATCACTACTTGCTCTCATGGTTTTCATCACATATTGTGTCCCATACCAACACTCCGGAAACACTCCCCCAAACACTCTCAGAGCCATTGACCAACCACTTCGACACTCCCATGTCACCTGTAAGTCACACAGCGGGTACCTCGGACGTACTTCCCCAACCTTATTACCAGGTATGTTGCTGTTCTTCTTGCTGATTTGAGACTGAATTCATTCTCCTAGCTTTCAGACCAAGACTGCAGAAAGAGGCAATCAGATGAAGAATCTTATATTGGTTTCCATGTGTAGGACTTGCGCAACTACTTTTGCTTCTCACTGTCTTTTGAAAAACGGAGACGCAAAAAGATAGGAGTCGAGAGAAATTTTTGGTGTATCGATAGGTTTTCACTCTGTTTAGTTTAATATATGCGCTTGAAAATCAAGCTATTTGACCCAGAAAATAGTATCGCTACAGATCTAATAGACCGAAGTTATCGATGGGTATCGCTGTGAAATGTTGATATTAGATGATATAGTAGGGTATCCGCTAGTCCTCGCCCTGCCCGCCACATCACCTCTCACACTAGGGCTACGCTTGGGTCCTGCTCTTAGTCAGTAACGTTGGCACTATCACTGGCTTGCACCATCAAAGACAAGAACATGTGGTGGGCAGAGGAAGTTGACAGTGTTGTTGAAGTTTGTGGGAAGGCAGGAGTGCTGGTGACAGCCTGGGTGTAGTTCAGGCCCCAGCAGTATATAAGCATACAAGTGGTCCATTCACCTTTGGACGTTTTGAATTCTACAATTAGAATAAGAGATCATCAGGCCTGTACGCTACGTTCTCTGTTGCAAACAGCGCTTCGAGTGTCTCAGCGACATCACGCTCTGGTCGAGATTCAGATTCCTCAGAGGACTCATGACGGGTGAGGTGGGGGCTCAAGTGGAGCACGCACATGGTGTCGACACCATATTGGAAATCGCTCCATCCTTATAATATGTAGATAGATGTTTTCGGCATTAGCTCAGACTTGAAGCCCAGTGTAAATCGGTCCTAGCGATATCTATGGCAAACGACAATGAATATAAAATATATGCCAGGAATATTGTAATAACTACGCAAATCGATAAATGTAAACAATATGTCAACAACGCTCAATCAATTATCAAATGGGTTTTCAAATACACATTTGACAATGCGCTCAGTAAATGTTGAACATGTTGAAATTCTTTCAACTTTGACTTGACTTTGCTCAATATTTCAATGTTTGAACATTCTTGCGCATCAGCTGCGCACGCACCATCACTTCACGCAATGACATCAATATGCAGCGGACCAATATTGGGACATTCCATCCCTACTCGCTTCATCTCAGCTTTCTTCTTCCCCTCCATCATCTCGTCTTCCTCTCAGCAAAACCTTGCCGTTGACCTCAACCATCCTGGCATCATCTGACACATAACTTTCTCATGGCCACTAACAAGATAAGTATTAGGCTTTTTCATGGCTCAATCCATTTGCTGATCCCACCCACTCGACCGTCGGCCGTTCTTGTGACAAGTAAGCGCTATTCACGGTGCATATATGCACATATTTTGAACATTGTGAGTTATTTGGCATTGTCAGGTTCATTCACTGACTGTTTTACGTCATCGCTAGCTCAATACCATTGTCCCGATGATCGACACATCCAGCGGCTTCAACAGATACACCATTACAAGACAGTCAATTGGTGAGTTCCATTAAAAGCTACCTAATGTACTTTAACTGATATCTATTGCTGTAGAACGAGGCAGCTGCCATCATTGTAAGTACTGTCTACTTGCCTGGCAAGTATATTCTGACAATGATTTGTTTCGGTCAAGGACTCCCATGTGCCAGAAGCTAGTGGACTATGTCATCCTGATGCGCGGGTGGGGGTGCTATGGTATATAGAGTATTGTATTTGTAATTTTTCATAATACAATTATTTTTGGTCGATTTGCGTTGATGAGCAAATATGCACAAGTCAATTGGGAGCTATGGGAATATACTAGAATCTATGGTACACAAACACAATCGATGATACAATATCTCGCTCAATGCGAGTCGCTAAAAATCGACTATAAGTCTCATTTTTCTCCGGAAATCGACGTGAATATTGTCACAATATTTCCGTCGTTTTCCGGAGATATGGCTAGGACCGTTTCTCACTGGGCTTGAAGCTTAAGCTTGAGCGCCTGTTTATGGCGTGCCGACCGTCTGCCAAGGCAGTCGTAAGCGATTGCACAGTAAGACACTTCGAATTCGCGAACCACTGCCAAATGACGTTTATTCTATATAAGTTCTCACCCGAGTCACGGTGGGCTGTTGCAACTTGCAGTGGCTACTCGGCCAAAGCTTCATGCATGCATGTTCAAAAGCAATTTGTCTGATGTTCACGTGGGCCTCGGCCCACTGCGGTTCAAGTTATGGCTATATGTGACCGAACATTCATTCTGCTCTCCACTTGTGCACTCTCCTCTATTGACGACATTTCACGAAAAACGACTTATATCACGCTCTTACTACTAACTTATACATTCCTCGAACCTTTCTGTCAAGTCTTTGTACAAGCCTGTATATGTGTCATGGCTAGTAGTTGGCGCGCCGCGGTTGTGCTGCCCTACTTGATACCGCTTGCCCTATGTCAATATACTCCACTACCTAGGTACGTTAATTATGTTTGTTAACGGGCACTTATCAGTGACGGTACAATAGATGGGCACAGGCGGTGGCTTTATTGGAAAATCTTCTATACGTTCACGGAGGTCTGACAGATCAGTATGATCAATACTCGTACACATCTGCACCGCCCACATCAGAACTATTGCTACTTGACCTTTCCATATCCTTCAGCGCCACTTCCCCGCCGTGGCAACTGCTCTCAAATACAACAACCACGAGCTCTTCTCCCACTTTAGGATGGCACACCCTCTCCGCATTCAACACTACTTCATTCCTGCTTTTTGGAGGTCAACCAGGACCGAATTCACAAACAGTCCTTACTTCCCTCAATGATTCTGCCACGCTTGTTTCCGCTTACGACCGCACGGACCCGTCATTTTTCATTGAGCCTCAGAACTGGGCTGGTGAACCAATGAGGAGGATCCGTCATTCAGCATCGTCAACTGGCGGCAAGATCTGGATTGTTGGCGGTGAGAAGGCCGATGGATCCGGAAATGCTTTCTCTGATCACTACCTCTTCAACCCTATTTTACAAGAGTTCGTGGAGCTTCCATCTGGTGGTAATGCCCCGCCTGACATTTATGGACATGCATCGCTCATTCTCCCTGACGGACGACTCCTTGTCTTAGGTGGATATTGTGCATCATGCGGGGGGCTTATACCCCTGAATACCATCTGGTCTCTTGACACAACACAGGCAACCCTCGCATGGGATACGATATCCCTCTCGAATTCCACCATGCCAAATCCACGCCGCGACTTCGCAGCTGTTGTCCTCGCCACGGGAGAAATCCTAATTCATGGGGGAGGCGATGGCGAATTACAGACAACCTATAGCGATGGATGGATACTGAATACCACCCAAAATCCCATGGTCTGGGAAGAAGTGCAGTCTCTTCAGCAACTTGGCGCTCGCAAGGACCATCTAGCAGTACAGTGTAATGGTCAAGTGCTCTTTGCCTTTGGTGAGTCCCTCCCTGTTAGCTCTTTGTTACTGTCTGATCCAACTCAGGTTACGGAACTTCTGCACCTGCGTCTGCCACTATGGAAATATACAATCCTTCTAGCTCGTCCATGGTCTCCTCTTACAGCCCGCCACCTGCGGGCTCGACTCCAGCCATCATTTCTCTCCCTGCACCTTCTCAAACTGGCCACTCTGGGTTAAGTGGGGGGAGTACAGGTGCATCTTCAGCGGTGTATCCAACGAGTACTGCCAGTGCTGGTTCCAGCTCTAGTAAAAATAACATAACCGCTGTCGCTCTAGGTACCACCTTCGGCATCATTGGGCTCATTGCTGGTGGACTCGCAACTGTTTGGTATATCAAACGCTCGCGGGGACGTGGGAGGTTCCTCATTCTTGGTGGTGACCATGAGTACGACAGTACCGAAGGTGGTCCTGCTGATTTCTTGTCCATGGGTTCCGAGCGAAGGAGTTACGGATTCCTAGGTGCACGCATCATCCCGCTGGCTGCAGCTGTCGCTCGTTTTAGGTTAAGCAAACATTGTTCCCCAATGCCACATCACCCGCGCCGCGACATGTTTGCCGACGAAGATACGCGACAATTCGGGTGGGGCAGTCCTCCGGATATGTTACGCAGGGAAGGCAGTGGCGGAACTGGCTCATGGTCCATGCGCTCGATGGGTGCAATGGTGCGCGGCATGATTTCCAGGGAGTCCAGTGCAGGCAATAGCGGCCGAGGCTGGGATGATTGGGAAAAAATTGAAGGTGATCACGAGGGCCTGATGAATGAGGGAAATAACTCGTACAACGGGATACCCAACAGTGGACATTCCCATGACCGAGGTGGTAGCTCAGGGTCGTACATAGATCCATTCTCAGATCCTGTGCCACATGACGGAAAGTACGACTCGCATCAGCCAGACCATGGAGCACTCAAGCCTGATGGCGAGTATGACAACATTAATGTTGATGCTGCAAGCCGAGACTCGCCTCCCCTTCGCCCACTGAGGACCCATCTACCTTTCTCCGCACCCATTTCCACCCTCAGTCCTTTACATGAGGTCGCGTCCGACTCAACCAATACCATAGCATCATTCCCCAGCCCGTCACAAGATAATTCGTCCTCCAACGGCAACTCTTCCAGCAACGCTTATGCCTCCCAACCAAGCTTTTCCTCGCAGCCGCCTTGTAGTCCTGTGACCGCCTCCACATTGCATTCCTCTGCTCCTACCATTGCACCCTCACGACGCCACTCATCTATCCTCGACTCGTATTCACCTCCTTCGACCCCCATTCGTCGATCAGACAGCTGGTGGGGGCGATTTATGAAGACATCTCTACTTGATCGACAAAATTCTACCGGTCAGAAGCCATTAGATTTACGGGACCCTAACCCAGCTCCGCGACTCATGTCGATCAACGAATCGAATGCTTCCCGGGACTCTCTAGAGTCCGAACATGAGCAATCAATCAAACATATTCGCCTGATCTCTCCATCTGTCTATAGTGGCCGGACAGCGAATACTGAGGTTGCAGAGCGGCTAGGTGGAAGCTATGATGTCGTACAGCGAATTGCTTCGGACGGATCTACGTCACATCGAACAGCTTCGATTGGTTCTATTAGTGCAAATGAGCACGGACTATTGGGTGGCTTATCATCCGATCAAACCAGGCTTACCTCTTCCCGACCTATATCTCCGGCATCATGTCCCTCTTCTTCCTCAAAAGAGCCTTCGAGGACTGGACCCACTACACATGATTCTCGGTTCACCAGGGCCGCAGGTCATGCTGTGACGTCCAGGGTTCAGGAAATGGAACGGCAGATGACGAACAATCTGGTGGCGGAAGGTTCTACACCTCCGCGGAATACTCGCAAGCGAGAAGAAGTGCCTTCCCGTACCCGTCCAAGCATTCAGTATGGTCTAGCTCCACGAGCATCGTTGTATGTTGCCAACCCTGACAAGCAGTGTGCCTAACTTCTGCCCCTCTGTTAATCTCTGGAAGGAACTGTATTGCTTATCCTCCTGTCTTTACTGCGGTTGTTTGAGTGGATGTAACACGATATACTATCTGACCGGCAATTATTCCACACGGTCGCCCAATGTGTATTTTATTTTATTTCAAATGCATATACTATGGTCCGGAAGGCATCACGATGGTTGGAGAAGTGGCGATTGTATGTTTATCATACAGACCAGAAAGGGAGTTGCTGTGCACCCTGAACACATTTTGGGAACGTACTTGACTATGACCTCAACTATCGTGGTAGTGTCCAACACTGTGCGTGTTGTCTTCTTGGCAGGTAGATCATTTGGGCATGCCACGATCAAAGATGATGGCAGGGAAACATCAGATGATTGATTACGATGTTCGTAATTTGTGATCGGTCCATATAGTCAAAGCCGATGGCGACGAGTACGCGAGTACTTTGGACAGCCAACTTGAAGTTCGGTAGTTGAACACGAGCCTGCCCCCACTTTCTAGCACGCGGTCAGCGTCATGAGACCACAGGGACCGTTCCAGAACGATATACTGAATCCGAGTGCTTCTAAGCAACTATGAGAGAATTAATAGAGGTGATCTGCCCACGTCCTGTCATCTGTAAGCCATCGAACCCCATGTTCCTGTGCTGAACGATGCCAACGTACAATCAATCATTAGACAACACGTCCTCACCGCTATTTTGACGGTCGACTCGGTTATTGTTTTATTGTGGGGCAGGGCACGTCCGCCACGATGGTCGTTTTTGTCGCTGACAGTGACGGATCACGACGACCATGCCCTGATAGAGTGACGGGATACAGAACGAACCTGTTATGGGTGCCCCTGTCCCTGTAAAGCTTAGTGCACCTGTCAATGTGCTTGTCATGCGCCCCGACAGCACAAGACAAAGTGCTACGGCCGTTATAGTAAGTCGACAAACACGAGGCGAAATTTGAATTAATGTTCGTCAGTGCTAGCATGTTATGGCTGGGGTTCAAAGAATCCGGTGACCGGGGCAGAAGGTTCAGGGTTGGTGCCAGATTGAGAGCCTATAGATGGAATTTCCCAAAGATAAGAGGAAAGCATGGCTTTTTAGCTGCCCATCCTAAAAGGGGCGCTTAAGTTCCGAGGAAGTTGATAAGCCAAGTCACAACCTTACTCACTAGAGTTCAACGGCGCCGGATGGGGACAGTGGTAGGTAGAGACCGGCGGGCACTTATGGGACCGCATAGCACTTCCCAAATAGCGATGGTGCCGTTATTTTAACTGGATCATATGTACATATATATGTGACATCAATATCAGTGCTCTGATTTGTTGGTGTGAGCTTGATTGTGACTGGTGTGGGTATAAGTTGGCCCATGGTGACCAAAGTGCGAAGTTAGATCTAGGGTCACCGCCGTCGGGAGAGTGCTTCACACAGGGTAGTTCCGGCTCTTGAGGCATTATTGAGACATCTATATCAGGGGCACGATTCCTTGATCGGATTCTACGAAAAACATTTGAATGAATTGAATTGAATTGAACCGCTTACATCAACGAAGAAGCGATTAGAGTGTAGGGACGAACAAATTCACAATTTTTGGGTTAATCTTGGCGGTGCAATCAGATTGAGAACGACCGCTACTGTGCCCCAACGCTACAGGGTTTACTGGTCGCTGTTCGGCTTAGTGAGAGTTCTGTTGAAGACATCTTTGATAGATGGTGGCAACTGTACTTACTAAAAATGAATACACTGCGCCAAGGCAAATGCAGTCTGAGTGGAAGGACAACGTGTCAACCGCTGTAGTACCGTGCGTCTCGCTGAGCCTTAAAAATGATTTTCTGAGTTCAACTTTGCAACTTCAAAATTCGGGAAGCTTTGATCGCCAGGGCATAACGATGATCGCAGAGTTATTCAATTGTGTTAGGCTTACCTACGTCGTGTCTTCGCATCTACTACTTGCGAAGAATTCGAAGCTCATTAATTCGATGCTGTTTGAACCTTGTTTCAATTCTGCGCTGTACTTCCAGTGAGTTTATCTCCGCAGCCAAGTGTGCCGGCAATCGGTTGTCACTGGACGGACGAGTGACTTTGCTCCACTTGATCTAGGCCATCTGCCAATGTGATGCGATGATAGGTATCCGGGTTTTCGTCATATCCGTTCGATCATATCTTGAATGAATTGCAAGGTTCTGCATTTAACTTCTCTGACTTCTGTGGCAGGTATGAAAAACGGGCGCCGAAACTTACCACAACAGACGCACAGCAAACCACCCAGGTCCTCGAACACCCCTTCATCATCATTTTATGTCATCTTTAATCGGAGATCCCATGTGGTAGCCTGTGGTAGCCACTCAAGGCACCTATCAGAAAGCGCTTCGCTTAGAACGTGCTGCTGACTTGGGCGTTCCAATCTCGTTTGGGGATGGCTTGTTGATACCATCATGCTCCTATACGTTCGGGTCAAGTTCCAGTCCGATTGCTTCTTAGCTGTATTACAATACACGAGTATGCTGCCACTATCCACGTGTCCCACAGCGAGCAGATAGTTTATCCCTCCAGCTCTTTCAGGATGGGCTCATTGGGGTGCTTCTCCTTGAGGTACTGATTCCATCTTCAGACACAACATCACCGCGCAAAAAGTATCACGAACTTTGATAAGCTGTTTCACATAGTTCTCCTCCGCATCCGTCTTCGACATTCCCTTGATGCTGTCCCAAGCCTTCCTGCGAGACAGGTCAGGTCAACTTATCTAGCGTTGTTTCCACTCACCATTTAGCACGCTCGACAAAAGAGAACACACTGGGTTCCTTGGTCGGATCTGCATCTCCCACAGTAGCTTTGATCGCCGAGAAAAGTCAGTTTTACATTCTTCTACAGAGGAAGCACAGGAACCTTGCTTGTAGAATTTGTAAAACTGTGGATGATCCGTATCGATCAGTATGGTTCGTCTACGATCTTCAACGAAGTCATGACTCGCCTCCAACTTGACAGTAGCATCCGGGCCCGATGCCGTCTTGTCCAAACCTTGAACGTACGCCACAGCTTTTTCGAATTGAGAGGACATCGTCGTCGAAGGTCAGAAATGAAGATGCTGGGTGAAGACAAAACGCAGCTCTCTAGCAACAATTGCCAGATCTGGAACCGGCTGCATTTATTTCTTCGAGATCTTATCAGCTGACCACCGCGATATAATAAATCGCATTGTTTCAGAGCTCGCTTTGAACAAAAAATGAGGCCAATGCACTTGCTGCTATTGTAACAGACATGAAATCTGAATCACTCTAGTCCTCAACAAAGTCATGTCTAGCCTACAAAATACTGCACATTTATGCAACAAGTACTCACTGCATTCACCTGTTAATCCCTTTTTCCTTAAGTCTCATTGGTCGACTGCGAGCACAGTCCGAGCCACGTCGTCGTTAGCATTGTGACTCTGTGTCACGAAAGCCTTGTTGTGACCTATTCGTCACGAAAACCCACACGCCGTCTCACTCCCACCCATGACGACTAGTAGTACTTCGCGTTCAGCTCCACCGCCGTCACTACAAGAAGTACAAAGAAAATTATCCGTCCACTCAACAGCTAGACCTAAGAAGGTTCGTGTACATGTACTCCAATTCTCCTGATTTTGTCACATAATCCGGATCGATCTGAACCCTGCAGGCCCTTCCAGTGTCACAACCACACGTTTCTGGTACCGAGTCTGACTCAGACTCGGCTTTGTCACCCGATCTTGTCTCTCCAACATCACAGTCATATGGTTCTAACGCGGTCTCTGGCAGCACATCTCAGCCTCCACTATCCTCCATTGCAGAGGGAAAATCAGGGAGCGGTGAGGAATCTGACGAAGACGAAGAGGAGGAGGAGGAAGGTGGTTGGAGAACCGCAACCAAGGCTGAAAACCCGCAAAGTTCTTTCGACGAGAAGATGATCAAGTCGGGCTATCTATGGAAGAAAGGCGAGCGACGCAAGGTTCGTACATCGGAGACCGTCTTCTTCCTATTTGGTGTAGATAGCAATTATCACAGACTTGGAAAAAACGATGGTTCGTTCTTCGACCTGCACATATCGCGTATTACAAGACCAACGCGGAATACCAACTGTTACGCCTGCTGGATCTCTCCGACGTACATTCCTGCACCCCAGTCACGCTCAAGAAGCACTCCAATACGTTTGGTGTCGTCTCTACTGTTAGAACGTTCTATCTCCAGGCTGAAAGCCCAGTGGAAGTCCAGCGGTGGGTCCAGGCAATACAGGACGCGAGGGAGGCTCTCATGACCATTTCAACTCAAACATCGCTACTAACACCCCCTATACCGATACCCGGGGCTCAATCAGCACCTTGTCGCATTATGGTCTCGAACTCGCCTCCGAAAACATCCCACGCTCAAAATATAACCTCCTCGGACTCAGATGATGCTTCGCCAAGCGCACAGCGAACCTACTCGACGTCCTCGCAGAATCGCCTTGCGATTTCTTCCTCACCCACGCGAATGCAAGCTATACCAAAAGAAGCCGCGAAGATAGTCTTATCTGGATATTTGATGAAATGCGGTTCGAAACGACATAATTGGCGCAAACGGTGGTTCATGTTGAACGGTGAAAAATTAGTCTACTCGGGAAGTCACATGGTAATGGGTATTCTTGTACTTGCCATGTCTGATTTCTTGCTGACACGGGATCAATTGAATATGGCTATCAGGACACAAAACCCCATCGGCAGTTTTCATTTTCTGAGATTCTCGATGCCCTGGAGTTCGATATGCGGAGTCACAAGCACAGCGCACCTATTCCTCCTCCTTCCACTTCGCCATTATCATCAACATTACCCGATGACTCGCACGGCCACTTTACGTTCAAGATAGTCACTACGAAAAGGACGCTACTGTTATGTGCTCCAAGCGAGGAAGAAGAAATTAAATGGCTTAGTGCCATTCGTGCTCTTATAGCTCGCCGATCAGGCGCTGGTGTCGTGCCAGGAGACCTGGGTGGAAATGTCGGCAGCGCCTCGAAGCAGCCGGCTTCTGGTACAGACGCCAATCAGGGCTCTGGGGGAGGATCTGCATCGAGTAGCGGGTTGAGACACAAGGTCAGGAACTTGAGTATAAGCGGACCGAGTGGCATTGCCGCAGCGCCCATTTCGGAGGACTAGAACAAAGTACAAACAACGCAAGATAACGGCATCCTTCCAAGTCACCTCAGTTGTCCTTCAGTAACACTCTCACGTCATTATTTTTCCAATCATGCTTCCCCGGGTGTATTTGAACTCGACTGTCATCATTCATTGCCTCACGGGCATCAGTTCTATTCCTCTTCTAGTGATATCTATGTCTCAGTCTGGTGTTCTGCACTTTATGTAGACCACCTCTGTTCGCTTGTGTTACAATGGTTGGACGTATAGACCCTGACACTATGATTATTCGGCAGATTCGATTGTGATTTCATATATAATATACAATACTAGTTTGATAATCATTGGCAGGGCGAAAGCGACAAGCGCGGAGGATTTGACAAGCGAATCCATTTTGAGTGTTATTGTTGGTCCATGGGGTCTCCCGACGGTATTCAAAGCGAGAACCGGAGAGGGTCGGTCTGGGTTCAGTCTTCTCCGGCTCTCTGATGGAAATCACTACGATTGTTGCGAGGGATCATGAGGCAGGTCAGCACATGTTTTCCCGAGTAGGTATGGCTGGGTTTACACTGCCCTTTGGTTCTGCTGTGTATTTGGAGGAAGAGGGAATAACGAAATGACCATGAGTTATGTGGCAGGAGGGAATGAACCCCACCCTACATGCTGTACTTGTGACAAAGAGTTGAAAGGTTCGAAGCGAATTGACATCTGGGGGGGGATACACAAGCGTACATTGTCGTACACAAGCCGTACACTGATCATGGAATGATGATCAGCTAGCGCCCTGATTTGGAAGGCCGCGATGCAAGAGTGCCGTTTAACGCGCGGAAGCAAAAGCGCCCCTTGCCAAGTTCTCATGGTATGGGGGTGGATGTTTGGTAAGGAAAGACCCCGAAACTACCTTCTGTCGAACTTATATTAATAGATTTACTATTTCCCTTTTTTGGTTATTTTATTCTTTGAACAGGTGTTGTCGTTCCCCGTTCTCGTCGAACGTTATGCTGCTACTTATACTCTCGTACATAGAATGCGTCCTGTGTCGCTTCCTCTTGTTTCTTTCTATCTCATTGTACATCATTTCTCTCCCTGTATCTTTGTTACCCCACACTCTCCCCTTATACCTTCATCTTCGTAATCACCATGCCCCCTACACCAAAGTCTCCTACTCAGGCTAGACGGACCGGAGCGCCCAAGGCTAAAGGCGCTGTGCGCGCCAAGTCGGGTTGTTACACGTGCAGAATCCGTCGGAAGGTAGGTCTTTGCACGTCACTCCTTCGATCTTCGATCGTCGCTTCTTTGTCATCAGGCGCTCATTCGCCCCCCCCCCCCCCTTCCTAGAAATGCGACGAGCAGCCCAACAACGACGGCAGCTGCCAAACATGCGTTCGACTTCGTCTACAATGTCTTGGTTTTGGCGCAAAGCGTCCAGAATGGTTGCGGGTATGTTATTTTATTTAAATCATTCCCTTATCATTTTGATTCTTTTCCTCAAGGCAAGCGACAAAGTCGTCGACCTACGAGAAAAAATTAAAAACTTTCTTGCCGCACAAGGAATGATTAAAGGGCATTCTGGTGCTGGGCCTCGTCCCAACGACCAGGAGCCTTCTATTCTATCACTTTCGGCGGACTATGCTTCTCCAAGCACGAGTCCGCAGACACCCACATTGTCGATCTCCAGCGACGAGCGACACCCGGGTATAGCCCGTAATGATTATCTTCGGGGGGACACTGATGCTCGTAAGACTCCTATCGTGGAATACCCTTGCTCGTTTTCTCATATCGTCGTAGGACTTCCCGTGATGCAGGACATTGATTCACCATTGGACGCTCGGGAAAATTATCCCGGGGTTATGCTGCCTGCGTATCCTTCCACTACTTATACGACTAGCTTAGATCCATCATGTAAGACCCCGTATCGTTACTAAGTATATGTATGTATCATAGTACTCAAGCCCTCCTTTTGGCAGGGACGCAATCAATCCTGCCTCGACCGCACACCAGCGACTTCTCTGCAATGTACCAAGCAACCTTCCCGGACGAAGACGAGAATAACGTCGTCATACCCTCTGGATATCTCTTGCCCCAGCCCATTAACACCGTCCAATATAACTGGTTTAACCTGAACATGCAGCAAAACGCATCATTGCAACACTATATGCACCATGTTCTCCGTATCCAATATTTGCATGCCGATGGGTCGATTGATAAACTCATATGGAATCTCATACATTCCAGTGATTCTGCCCGAGAGGCTGCATGTTTGCTTGCAGATTTGCACCGCAAGAGCACCCAAGGTGCAATTGGTTTCACTACGCCAACAGACCATTCTGTGTACGCACGCATCCAAAGTGCACCAGTGACGGAAGGAGACGCTCTTGCAAGTCTTTGCATGGTCTCCTATTTCCTCTTCTCTGGGGGGCAAGGGCAGTGGCAAGCGTTCCTCGACAGCGCTTGCGAATTTTCCATCAAAGTTCTCCAGCGGAAACATCATGCGCCGGACTGGGCGCTGAGCTTATGCACTGACAGCATGCGATTTATCATCAAGACGTCCATGTGGTTCGATGTCCTCGCCTCTGCAACGCTGATCCGTCGTCCCAAGTTCCTTGATGTGCTCCGTTCGCTCTATGACCCCGCCACTGCCGTCGATGATGGCAGACCGGAGCTTTCCATGATGGGCGTCATGGGATGCGAGAATCGCATCGTCCTCGCTCTCGCTGAAATCGCTGATCTCGCATGCTGGAAGGATGAATGCAGGCGTGCTGGAAGACTCAGCGTTCCCGAACTCGTCAGACGCGGGCAAAATATCGAAGCCATTTTGAAGACCACCAATGACCCTGACTACCTCCAGGGCTTTGAATCGGAGAAGTTACGCCGACGACGCCTCACATCTGACGTATTCCGCGCGTCCGCGCTTGTTTATCTCCACTCCGTTATCTCTGGGGACCATCCACAATGCCCAGAGATCATGAGCAACATCGCAGAAACAGTCAAGTGTCTCAGGCGTGCTGAAGACGTCAGCACAGCACGCCATGTTGTGCGCAGCGTCGTGTTCAGCATATGTATATGTGGCTGCCTGACGGATGTTGTTCAATACCGCGAATACTTCCTGCGGCGCCTGCAGGAGCAGCAGACAGAGACAGTGGGGAACTGTGCTCGGGTCGCTGAACTTATGAGAGAAGTGTGGAGGAGCCGAGAGCGAGGAGAGCCCGTGGACTGGCGTGTCGTCATGCAACAATCCCAGATGCTTCTTGTCTGAGGGGCTATCCTACGACACATGAACTTTTTCCCTTCGTTGCTCTATGCATAATCTGTTAAAAGTATTTGGGCGCCCCCCTGGTGTGCAGCGCGCCGAATTATTTCCTCAAGATCTTCATTTTCATACCACACAAGCTGTATATCACACTACATGCCTCGACGAACTTGCATCATCTGTGACCCATACTACACACGACATACAAATGCTATGTATTGTTTTTCTAGACATAATATCTCCACAGCCTCGAGGGGCACCGCATGTCTCCTATCATACCGCATGGGGGTGTATCAGCACTGCCGCTGGTTCCGGGTGAGCCGAATTAATTTTCTTATCATTGTGTAATACTTTCCTCATCTGCATATATATGCATGTAGTTTCAAATTGCCCTTTAACTGAAATTCGGTCATTCGGTCATAACGTTCTCGAGCTGACTTAGCGCTGACAGTCTTCTGCGAACTATCCGGAACATATTCAGGATGCTGTATTAGAGATCCCCTGGCTGCGGTATGAACCTAATCAAAGAGCGCAGTGGCGGGTCTCCTTTAAGCCGTCAGAATCAAAGCCTTCAATTACAGCTTTCGCAAGTCGACTTGTAAGAAAAAAATTCATTCAGAAGTGGTGCCCTGAATATTAATCAATCTAGGACCGTAGCCGCTTATAGGCTCTCGGCCCGTTACATAAATCATGTTTTACACTGGCAGCGACACCAAAACGTCGCAGCAACCCCGACCCTCCTTGATATGTAACAGTATCCAGGACCCTGGCAGTATCTATCCATAAATTGATTCGGCGACGTCCTATAGTAAAATCTGGCCCTACCCGCATGCACGGACCAATCACGAGTTGGCATTTGTCGTGATCGCCTTCCACGGTCATGCTCCAAATAGGTTTGCCCTGAGAGTATCATTGCCATTGTTTGCAGATAGAATATCATATCAAACTCGAGCTTCCCCTTCCTTGATAAATGTCCAAGATTGCACGGTCTGTGGTCACCGTGACGCGATAGGTGCCGACAATTTGGGCCGAGTACTTCTCCCAAAATGAATCACATTTTCTTGTAAGTTATCATTTCAACGTCGGCGGTTTCGAAGGTTAAATGTTAATTAGAGAATGTTCCATCGTGATGGTGCGTTTTTCACATCGGTTGAGTTTATTATTGATATTGACATTGTCATCATTCAACTGTAGAGTTCTTGATCCTAGTCAGGCCTGAGAATACAGTCCAAGTTCATTCTAGGTGGGTCAGTCACAGCTCCCGACAGCGTACAACGAAACAAGCTGTCGCGCGAGTTGGCATCTGGCATCAAAATCATTATGCCCGTTCGGCCCTAAGGCCTTACGGTTAAACTGACGTTTGTTTACATTTAAAATTCAGCCATGCAACATAACTCAATTTCTAGTTATCCAATTATGTCAAAGCACCCCAGCCTCGTTTCCTCCGGTCTGCAACCAGACGATAGCCTACTTGTCCCCTGCCTGCAATCCGTTCAGGCTACAGCCCTCGCTTGACTTACACAGGCCTCAAAACAGCTAGGTCACAGCTTGGAGATTCTTCGAAAATTCTATTCAAGTTTTCCTTATACAAAGCACGGCGTCAGGCCGCGAACCGAGCCGGGACCGGCCTGCTTCGACTGAGTGCAACAGGGCACCCATGGCAGGGTTCAGCGCTCAGGAAGTATAAGCCGGTTATCGTGTAAGGCCGCATCATTACCGGGTATATATAGCACCCTAGTCCTCCTTTGGCAGAGCTCCAATCAAACGCACTATGCTGCCCCGACCCCACACCAGCGAATTATCTTCAATGTACAATGCACACTGGTCAGACGACGACGACGAAAACTACACCGTCATACCCGCAGGTTATCGCTTGCCCGCCTCCGTTAGCCCCATTCATCAGAACTGGATCGACCTAAACAGCTACCAAAACTTATTGCATTATTATATGACACATGTTCTTCCTATTCAGTTCTCTCATGCGGACGGGTCTGTTGACGCCATCATCTGGAATCTCATACATTCCAGCCATGCAGCCCGAGAGGCTGTTTGCTTATTTGCGGATTTGCACCGCAGGAGTACCCAAGGCGGTCCGATTGGTTACAGTGCGCCAGAAGACCGTGATGTGCACAGACGCATCCAAGGGGCCATAGAACCAGTCACGGAAGGAGACGCTTTTGCAAGTCTTTGCATGATCTCTTACTGCCTCTTCTCCGGCGGCCAAGGGCAATGGCAGGCATTCCTCGACAGTGCTTGCCAATTTTCCCTTGCCTCCCTCAAGCAAAACCCCTCTTCGCCAGCCAGTGCGCTGATATCCTGCACCGACAGTATGCGGTTTATTATCAAGACGTCCATGTGGTATGATGTCCTCGCCTCCGTAACTTTGATCCGTCGTCCCATGTTTGAAGTACTCCGAATTCTCTCTGATCCGTCTGGCACTGCCCTCACTGATGGCAGACCGGAGCTTTCAATGATAAATATTATGGGATGCGAAACCCGCAACATCGTCGCCCTTGCTGAAATTGCTGATCTTGCATGCTGGAAGGAAGAAGTCAGGTGCACTGGTAGCCTCAGCGTTCCTGAACTCGTCAGACGCGGGCAACTCATCGAAACCGTGCTGAAGACTACCAACGACGATGATCATCCCCACCCTACTGAAACAGAAAAATCTCGCCTACGACGCCTCACCTCCGCTGTATTCCGCATGTCTGCCCTTGTTTATCTCCATTCCGTTTTATCCGGGGACTACCCGCTATGTCCAGAGATCATGGACAGCGTCACGGAAACAGCCATGTGTCTCAGGCATGCTGAAGATGTCAGCGCTGGCATAGCGCCCCATGTCCTGCACAGTATGGTATTCAACATATGCGTCTGCGGCTGCCTGACGGATGACCCTCAATTCCGCGATTATTTCCTGCAGCTTCTGCAGGGGCAGCAGATGCAGACAGCGGGGAACTGCGCTCTTATCTGTGATCTCGTGAGACGAGTTTGGGCGAGCCGAGAAGGAGGGATGCCTGTGGACTGGCGCGTTGTCATGCGAGACATGCTTCTTGTCTAAAATGCCATCTTACGACACATGGTCTTTTCGCTACCTCTCTTCGTTATTTGCTAATTATAAAGGTGTTCGGCACGCCCCTAGCCCCGTGCTGCATGTAGCGCGTCAAATTTTTTTCGGACGTTTTTTATTTTCATACCCTACATGTTGTAATTCATACATACCCCACGAATAATTTACTGATCTATCTAATGATATTTATGTGTAGCTAGGATGGTGTTTCATTGGAGGAGGTGGAAGTTAATTCCAAACAAGTATTACTAATACAAGTCCTTGAACTCAGAGACGACTCTCTGAGAGAGCTACCCTGAGCCATCAGGCTGGCTCAGCAATACCAAACACTTTGTCATACTATCGTTGGGCCAGAGTTGCAAAATTTAAGGACCTCATTTTCACATCTCAATAACTACCACACATTAAGACAAAATAATTACATGGAATTATAGCTACGTGTGTCATAGGAAAGCTCTAATTGACAGAAGAACGAAATGTATTTAGAAGATGCTGCCAGAGGGATGCCGACGCAAGATGTTAGAAATAGTAGAGTTGCAAAATTTCCCATTCATGGAGCGGGTTGGCGTAGATGTCACACTATGTCACAACATCGATTCTATGAATCTGAACCCCGACCCGGCAACCGGTATGCATGAGACGCGAGAGAGTAAAACATTGGCAAGCGCAAGAGAGTCCGCAATCAGAATTGATTCTCCGCTCCAACCTGTCACGCTTGAGCATTCTTTGACACCAGTGATTGCATCGTCAATAACAACCACAACTCTGCTCTATTCTCATCGGAAAAATTCTCAGAAGGTAAGGGTAGGTATGAGGTGTATGTGAAAAAAAATGAAATTTTTTGGTTCGAAACTTCGTCCTCCCCTGACTATTCTATGTGAAACAGGTGACTTCGAGTGATAGATTTGGAGCCGTACATGTTCCTCATAGGTATTTTTTTATAAAAAAAATACAATGCTATGAATCTGTGTTGGAAGATCCTAGATCCAAGAGTAGAGGACTTAAGATGTGTTGTTGCGTGAGCTATGAAGCGTTTTGCAACTCTGGCCCAACGATAGTAGACAATGACAATCTTCGTTCTTTGCGGAACACTAGCTGAAGCCAAATGTCCCAAAAAAGAAAATGGCAACTTCCGGGAACTGTTTCGTTTTTGACGATTGGCAATTTGACTCAGCATTTTCAGTGAATGGCTGTAATAGACCACCTGAGATCTTTCTTGCTATATTCTGGTGCCTACGGAACGGCGTTCACAAAAAAAAGAGTGTTTCCTTTTCGACAATTGTCGGACTGAGTTGACCATGATTGGATCATGTGCAGCGGGACACTCGGTGCGCCTTTCCCTGCCACCTGCTTCGTTCTGTATTGCACAGTGCAACGTTTCAATATGTCCCTTCGGTCATGACGTATGCCAGTGATGGGCCGAAAGTACCAATCTGGCCTAGTTCATTTCTCGTGTAATCCTGTATTAATCAAAAACCTCGAGGCCTCAACGCCCCAGCCCTCATGCATATGCACCACCCTTCCCATTGATAACAGTGACACGACCACCACTCGAAACTACAACGGCCGTTTTAGTCATGCAACAGGAGATGGACACACAACCAGACTCTGGTCGTGCTTCCCCCTCAGATACGGTTTCTTCTTCCAGTACAACCAACTTTGGTATACCCTAAATATAAAGGACTCAGGCGTTCACTGATGATGCCGAAAGTACCAATCTGGCCTAGTTCGTTTCTCGTTGTGTAATCCTGTCTTAATCAAAAACCTCGAGGCCTCATGTACCACCCTTCCCATCGACAACACAACCACACCAGTGTAGACTACAACGGCCATTTTAGCCATGCAACAAGAGATGGGTATACAACCAGACCCTGGTCCTACTTTCCCTTCGGACACGGTTTCTTCTTCCAGCATGACCAACTTTGGTGCACAGCATCGTCCCCGTTCTCCCCGTTCGACGGCGCAACATCGACAACACCCATACATCATACCGGGAGGGAGATCATCAACCCAAAGGCTTCGCACAATCCATGAAGATCCAAGTTTTAGAACGGATGCTGGAGTTGACGGTCCTTCGACAGCAGATCAGCGAGGATTTACCAGTACTCTCGAACAATCTCCACTTACTACTCCCAATATCGCTCCCTCCACTCAGCTGATCACTTCAACCCTCGTCCCAGACTTGACCAGTTTTATCATCCGACACAGCGCGCACCCGATTTCCTGCGGCGCATATGGAGATGTTTACCGGTGTACATACCGCGGACCAGAGGGCAATGCAGAGGTTCGTGCGGATGTTGCAGTTCTTCCACACCCACTAATTTTACACTCGCCCGCAGGTCGCCATCAAAGCCATGCGACCAGGATACGTTGATGCTGAGGTAATATTCTATCTGAGGGAATAGTCATATTCTCATTAAGCTTTCTTAGATGTTTCGGAGGGAGCTTGGAATTTGGAAGAGGTTGCGGCATTCTAATATTTTGAAATTCATGGGCACAACTTCGGGCTTTGGTCATTCAGCGGCTTTGGTTGCTCCGTGGATGACCAATGGCACTCTGACGACATTTCTCCAGCAGAACAAAGAGACCCTTGGGCTGCACGATCGTCTACTTTTGGTGAGCACTTCAAATACGTTCCCAGTTTGCACAGTTGAATTCATTGTTTTGTGCCCAAGCTTCGTGACATTGCTGCTGGCCTCAACTATCGTGGGTAAAACGTGCATATCCATAGGAAAATGTATAATTTTTTATGTCAGTTCATACGTTTAGTTTGACAGAAGACGGACATACGGACTTAAACCCTATCGTTCATGGAGACCTCACTGGTGTAAGATCCATCATTTATTCTATCCCTCACATACTAACGATCAGTTGCAAGAACAACGTCCTCATTGATAGTGAAAGAAAGGCGTATCTTGCCGATTTTGGCCTTTCTGGAACTTTTAAAAAGTTGGCTGGCATGACATACCTCGCGAGGATGAGCTGTCATCCAGGAGCAGTGAGATGGACAGCTCCTGAAATTCTCTCTGGAGAAGAATCAGCTTCTGCAGCCACCACTCAAAGTGATATGTACTCCTTTGGTAGTATCATGCTCCAAGTCAGTGATGGTCCTCTTGCTAATGTAATTTCCTGACTCGTCCTGCAGGTTTTAACGGGAGACATTCCTTGGCGTCACTTGGCCAACAACATTGCAGTCTCGCTGAAAGTGGTTGAAGGGAGAATACATCCTCGTCCGGATGACTGTTTTGTCACTGGCCAGCAATGGGATTTTATGACATGTTGCTGGTCTACTACGCCCATTGATCGTCCTCCTACTGAGGAAGCAGTTCAATTTGTGGATAGCGCTTTGTGCGCGAGCACGAGTCCCCAGACCCCGAGTTTGTCAATCTCTATCACCGCTTCTCCATTAATTCTGACGGATTATACTTCCCCGAGCACGAGTCCGCAGACCCCCAGCTCGTCGATCTCTAGCGACGAGCAATCCCCGGGTATGGCCCGTAATCAGTATCTTCGTGGGGACACTGACACTCGTAAGACTCCTATCGTAGAATACCCTTGCTCGTTTTCTCATATCGTCGTAGGACTTCCCGTGATGCAGGACATTGATTCATCATTGGACGCTCGGGAAAATTATCCTGGGGTTATGCTGCCTACGTATCCTTCCACTACTTATACGACTAGCTTAGATCCATCACGTAAGGCCCTGTATCGTTATCATGCGTATCATAGTCCTCAAACCTTCTTCTTCCAGGGACGCAATCAATCCTGCCTCGACCTCACACCAGCGACTTCTCTGCAATGTACCATGCATACTTCCCGGATGAAGACGATAATAACGCATTATTGCAACACTACATGCACCATGTTCTCCGTACCCAGTATTTGCATGCCGACTGGTCCATTGATACACTCATATGGAATCTCATACACTCCAGTGATTCAGCCCGAGAGGCTGCATGTTTGCTTGCGGATTTGCACCGCAAGAGCACCCAAGGTGCAATTGGTTTCACTGCGCCAACAGACCATGATGTGTACGCACGCATACGAAGTGTACCAGTAATACCAGTGACGGAAGGAGACGCTTTTGCAAGCCTTTGCATGGTTTCCTATTTCATCTTCTCTAGGGGACAAGGGCAGTGGCAAGCGTTCCTCGACAGCGCTTGCAAATTTTCCATCAAAGTTCTCCAGCGGAGACATCATGCGCCGGACTGGGCGCTGAGCTTATGCAGTGACAGTATGCAATTTATCATCAAGACGTCCATGTGGTTCGATGTCCTTGCTTCTGCAACGCTGAGCCGTCGTCCCAAGTTCCTTGACGTGCTCCGTTCGCTCTATGACCCCGCCACTGCCGTCGATGATGGCAGACCGGAGCTTTCCATGATGTGCGTCATGGGATGCGAGAACCACATCGTCCTCGCCCTCGCTGAAATCGCTAATCTCGCATGCTGGAAGGATGAATGCAGGCGTGTTGGGAGACTCATCGTTCCCGAACTCGTCAGACGCGGGCAAAATATCGAAGCCATCCTGCAAACTACCAATGATTCTGACCACCTCCAGGGCTTTGAATCGGAGAAGTCACGCCGACGACGCCTCACATCTGACGTATTCCGCGCGTCCGCGCTTGTTTATCTCCACTTCATCATCTCTGGGGATCACCCACAATGTCCAGAGATTATAAGCAACATCGCAGAAACAGTCAAGTGTCTCAGGCGTGCTGAAGACGTCAGCACAGCACGCCATATTGTGCGCAGCGTCGTGTTCAGCATATGCATATGTGGCTGCTTAACGGATGTCCCTCAATATCGCGAGTACTTCCTGCGATGCCTGCTGGAGCAGCAGACGGAGACAGTGGGGAACTGTACTCGGGTTGCTGAACTTATGAGAGAAGTGTGGAGGAGCCGAGAGCGAGGGGAGCCCGTGGACTGGCGTGTCGTCATGCAGCAGTCCCAGATGCTTCTTGTGTGAAGGCTATTCTACGACACATGGACTTTTACTTCCTGGCGCCTCATTATTTGCTAAAGTGTTCGGCATGCCCCCAGTATGTAGGTCGGTTGTTTATTTCCCGAGGCTCTCCGTTCTTATACCCTACAAGCAGTAATTTATTTACGCCCGGTGAACAAATCGCGTCTGCGCTTGCACGACTTCCGAATGCTATGCGTTATTTTCTAGACACCCACCTCCTCGGCCTTATCAATATTCAATGCACCGTCGGTATGTTTCTGATGGACCATTTCAGCACTGCCGCTAGCATCTTACTTATTACGACACCATTCTCAGATCTGCACATGCACGTGCAGTCTGAAACTTGTTCTCGATTCAGTCACTAGCTTCGGGACCATCCTGGCTTTTAGTACCACCGTACCACGCACATGTTGCGTCAGACTGGTCAGTCATAGCGTTTCAAAGCTGATCCCACACTAGTTATTCACGATGAGCGAACTCCACGGAAGATGATGTATGATATCTTTGCTGTAGAGATCACCAGGCGTGTTGTGCAAGACATGGTGATACAACCTTGGCACTGCCACTGAAATGTGATTGAGCAACTTTAATTAACGAACGACGTCAAGACTCGAGAGATGCCAATCGATCGAGGAGTGCACAGGAGAAGCGACTAGTGGTTGCAGCGACCGAGGTGTACTCAAACGTCGCAACGACGGGCACTGCGATGTTCCGTGATGGGGGTATCCAAGAGGTGTCTTGCCATGCGGAAACATCCTTCGGGCACGTCCCGGTGACTATCAAGTACCGACATGGGGGATCGTCGGAGATTCAGCGGGAGTTTCCTTTTGTAAGAATGTGTAAATCTGTTGAGTGTGCCTTGACAGGCCTGGGCCATGCTCTCGAATGAACGTTCTACTCGCGGAACGTTGAGAAGGCTTGATTCAAGGAGTGATCGTGTTTAATTTGATGATGATTACAAAAACCCCATAATTCGCGATATAATCGGATCAAATATACCTCGAGGGCGACCTGCAGGGACAGATATACCGATGTATCGCATTATATAATAAACCTGACACATTGTAGACAATACAATTTCAAGGCACATTGATATCCAGCTTATTCTCAGGTACCCCGGAGTTCTCTCGGGACTCGGTAAAGATAGAATCGTTGGCTGCGGTTACACGTACACTTTTTGAGTTCATCCATCGAAATCGGAAATTATATAAGCAAAATGCTTGGTCTTTATTTCACCCTTGATAGAAGAAACTTCAAAAATGTTTTCTTCATGTTTTGTGAGCTAATGAGACGGAGGATGCGTGGTGACCCCTCCCTCATCGCTTCGTGTTGTGCACCGATGTCCCAACCGACACTGGATCCCATAGCCCTTGCGGAGTTAATTACTTGGAGACCAATTCATGAATGAATCCAAATTAGTTTTGGATTACACTTCTGCATACTTCTTTAGGCCATAAACATCGCCGTCTTTTCGTTTGCGACAGAACCAAACATCACGCCGTCTTTTCTTTTGCGACTGAACCAAAGTGTCCGTCACCCCATCGGTATTTCCTGTAGGTGGCTGTAATCTCCTCTTAAAACATCTTCTTCAGTCAAAAATATATTGCTTCATCATTACAACCCCCAATCGTGGCGTGAATGTCAAACCCATACCGTAGTTCGTCAGCCAGCGGTAGTTCATCGCCCCCGTCTGAGACGCCTTCCAACAATACTTCTCCTGCCAACGTCTCCGCCCCCCTCTGGCAATCCAAATCTTCGGATGAAGCAGATTCCCATAGTACACATTCACGAGAAACTCCAAACAGAATGCCAGTAGATTTACCTCGTGCAAGCTTGACAGGCAGGGGGGGATGCTGGTGCGCACCACTTCTTCCCAGACCGTTCCATTTGCTAACGCATCCATTCCAATTTCCAATCGTAGGACATGTCGCCTCCGAAGAAAGGTACGTCTCGACTCAAATAAACCCCTTCATGCCTCTTGACCATGCATGTTATAATAGAAATGTGACGAACAACGAGAGGCCAACTCCTGTCATACCTGTAAACGCTTGAGAATAGATTGTCTCGGATGGGGATCAAGACGCCCAGAATGGATGCGCGTGAGTACAGGACCTGTCCCTCTTGCTACCGTCCCTTATCGTCCTACAGGACAAGAAAGCCGTCGAAGATTACAAGGCTGGCATCAAAGCTCAGCTAACACGGGCTGGCCTCATTCGTGGTCAGCCAAAATCATCGATATTGCAAGCCAGTTCAGCGGGTCCATCATCTACGCCAGCTTCTTCATCCTCCGTGTTCCCTTCACGACAGTTTCAACCATCTGCAACTTCTTCGGCGTCTTCTCGAGTCAACGATTTGGGAATGCCAGCGTATGTCGATTCATTGAGCGACCCAACCGGAATGTCCGTTTTTGGTGCGTTTTTTGTCATAAGAGAAATCAACCTTATAGCGACTGACACCCCATCCTCAGGTTCAACATTGAACTCACCTCAGATCATTTCTGTTCCCTCTGTACACGAGAGATGGGAGCTTTCAGCGTTCAAACCACAATTCCCCCTTCAGCCCTTCCGGCTCTCTTCCCTCAGACACATCGCCCGTGTCAGAATTGCACTTTAATCCTGACTTCGACACCGCCACCCAAGACCTGTATAACTCTCCAATGTTATCGATACCAGACGATGGCTTGCAAATGGAGCACATTTTCTATTACTTCGAGCATGTTCGGCAGTTGCAGTATGCGTTTGCTGGCAATTCTGTAGCAAATACAACATATTCAGTAAGATTTTCTCTAAAGCAATTGATTACTTCGTTGCTAACCATTATTTAGCTTGTATTGAAACATCCACAGGGCTCCGTGGCAAATGCTATTTCCGCATTGGCATCATTGCACTTCAGTTTAATTCGTATCGCCCACGGCTTTCGAGGCGCCAAACCCCACCCTGGAGCACTCACCGGCAATCCGATTTACTAATAGTGCCCACCAACAACTCTATAGAACAAGCAAACAACGCTAAGCGAGTCCGATGCGAATGCAGCCATCCACATTGTCGAGCTTCTCGCTCATGTCAGGTGGAGTAACAGATTGGCGCCCGATGTTGGATATTGCGAGCGAATGGCTTGCAAGGACGGGGATTACAACGAGCGACAACCCCAAGTTGATGATGATAAACATGAATGAGGCATCACGACTGGCACTGAAAGCCACGATGGTGAGTTTTACAGCGACTATGCGCAGACTAAGCTCACCTGAAGCTCGCAGTGGTGTGATATTATGTCAACCCTAACCCTGAAAACGACGCCAAAGCATCCTATCCTTCTACCGGCGACTGTTCCGCGGAGGATCGGGTTACTGGGGTTTAACGCAGCAGGGCATCGACGAGTCAGCCCTTCGTATGGATAGCTTAACTGGTTGTCCAGACGAAGTACTTCTTGGTATCGCGGAGATAGCAACTTTATCATGCTGGAAGATGCAAGAACTTCGTAAAGGTTCTTTGAGTATGAGAGAGCTCATTCGGCGAGGGGACGTTATCGAGCGACATCTTCGTACCCAAACAGAGACAATGCTATCGACAGAAGCGGACCAAACGTCCATTACATCCTGATCTATCGTCAATGAGCTGTTGAGCATGGCAATGCACAAAATTCACCTACTGGACACGCAAGTACATCCCTTCCTGCGGATGACACTCGGAGGATAGTAGCTGATATCTTCCGAGAAGCAACCATCCTCTACCTACACACAGTGCTCAGTGAACCTAATCCAGGTGCGTCGAATTGATACGTGATTTTGCAATGTTCGTGACTTTGCCACAGGAGTGCCCGAGATCGTGAATTCGATAGATGTCATTGTACAATTATTGAACCGGCTGCCCGTGTCAAATATCGACCGCTGCCTAGTGTTCCCCTATATGTCTGGCTGGGTGCCTCGTGGACGATCCCATGAAGCGCGAGTTTCTGAAAACACGGTTGCAAGGCCAACACAGTGGCTTTGGCAACATCAATCAGGCTCTGCGAGTCATGCAAACTGCATGGCAAAAACGGGATAGTCAAGGAGGAACAGTCCAATGGCAAGACCTGCTCCATATCCAAGGGCGCCAGTTGGTCCTACTAGTTTAAGTTCTGACGGGTTTTCACTCTGTATATCATACACACCTAGTTATTTTAAGGCCATTGCATCGGTCGTACGATACCATCCTACAGTACTTGGATTAACAAAATGTAGAGCTTTGAATTTGAGGAATATTAATTTGACTCACATTTCAACGTCCTGTCTCTAAGGAGAGCGATGTTCCTGATGACTAGCAGGATGAGTTTGAAAGAAAAGGAGAACTCGCTGGGCCGCTAGGACGAGATATGTGCGATGCAAGCAGGGGAATGGGTCTGTGCACAAAGGGAGAGTTAGTTCACGTCAAGAACAAAGAGTGAAAGCTATATACCGAACGACCGGAAATTAGCATTTCCTATGTGAGGCATGGGCGCGCACCTACAAGGACCAATAATATGGTAAAAACTTGCCGCATCAGTCTGCTTAAAGAATCTATGCAGTGAAAATTGATGGCATGACACATGTGGGAGCAACGTGAGGAGGCTCGAGCGTCAGGCGGTCATGAAGGGCGCTGAAGGCCTGATGCCATCACTGCCTGACATTCCTAACGGTACCGTCCAGAAAACTTCATAGCGACGACTTCATGGGCGTCGGCGCTTAAAGTCAAAAGTTAAGCCAAATAGCATAAAATAAATGCACGTGACAGTCGCGTCCAAAAAGACGAACCGTGTGCTTGTCACGACACAGCCACAACAAACCTTTTACTTTTGATTTCTGCATTGACGACCACGATTACGACACACACACACACACCAAAGCATCTACGGCCATGTTCAAGGCAATTCTACCTTCGTCGAAAAGAATATCTTCTTCAGAGTTCACTATGGTCACGAGCCCTGGAGATCCACTCAGCGGAAAGGAGAATCTACCTGACAATCATGTTGTCACTCCTGCGCAGACGAAATCAGGCAAGGGAACTCACAAGGGTAATTCGAAGCAAGAAAAGATGAAGACAGTAAAGGTCTCGCAGGATCTTGTGGTCGAGCCGGTGGTAATGAACCAAGCCTTTGACAAACTACTGGTAGGAGTGTGCAGTGATGACATTAATCGACGATATCTAATAGCGCATGCGCACAGGACGAGCTACAAATTCCCTCCACCGTTCGGGTAAAGCTAGCTGGCATGGATGCGACCGTTAAAGCGGCCATGCTAAAATCATCACACGTTATAACATCAAACCCCACGTCTGGGCCACCGAGCACCCCAATGACGTTGAGAAAAGCCCGCAGTAGCGAATCTATGGGCTCGCCTATTCCGCCTTCCATGAGCTATGACCAGATGCCCACGAAAGGCAGTTGGATATCTGGTCTCTCTGGAAAGAGTACGACGGATCTGCACGCTCTCGATGACAGGCAAAGACATGACCGTGGGTTATCGGTTGATGGTACACGGACATTCTCTCAGGGTCAGAATTCCTCGGTTATCTCAGGCGACCTTATTACGAGCAAATCCAAAGAGAAGGGCTTCGTGAAGAACATAACTCCCGTCAAATTCTGTAGTATATTGGCATCAACTTCCAGCACTCAGCTAGAAGTAGAAATCGTCAAGAAACTCCGACTACTCCTACGGAATGAGTCCGCAATGTGAGTGCTGAGCGATTTGGAGTTCTTGTGCCATGTTAGCTGATTGAACTTTGATCAGTTGGTCGGAAGACTTCCTGAAATTGGGTGGTTACAATGCTATGCTTACACGATTGAACGAGATACTCGAAGTTGAATGGCGGTGAGTCGATACCTCCAATTTTCAAATCACATTCTCATCTTTTGTTCAGAGAAGAGCAACATGATGACCAGATGTTATATGAATTACTTCGATGCTTTAAGGCCCTATCGACCTCTGCAATTGGTTGCTTTGCCTTGCGTAGCTCGTGCCCGACCCCGTTCGTGCAACTAGTCTCCTTGCTTTACTCCGACAAAAAGCCCGGAGATGTGGCAACGAGACAGCTTATTGTCGAATTGTTGCTCATATTGTTCGAGTTGTATCCTTCTTCGTCGCTCCCATCTACTGGTAACCGTCCACGTCGCGAAGCTTGGGAACCCGAGGGCCGCTCATCCTCGACTCTCATCACCTTCCCAGCACCACACAAGAATTTCTACTCGCTGATTCGTGCTCTCCTTCTGACACCCGCGCCTCCTGCAACTGAATCACCTGCTTCGCCTGTGTCACCTCATGCTTTTATTGAATCACTACATCGCCCAAGAATTTACAAAACTTACCTTCAGGAGCTTTCGGACGTTTGCAGAGATTACTTCTGGGTATTCTGTCACCCGAATAACACAGTCTGGAACTTGGAAGAGGTAGATGAGGGCAAGGTGGAGAAACCCAAAGCACCTGGAGGCATGACGGGAGGTGTCGAATTTGAAGCTATGGGATACTTTGTAAGTGGATGAAGTACACGACAACTGAAGCTGACTTACAATTCCTTTCCGAGCAGACGATGCACCTCAAACTTCTCAATGCAATTGCCAAGTCCGTTCATGAGCTTAATCTGCCCAAGGAACACGACATGTCTGCGCACCGCTTCCACTCTGACCTATTTGCTTCTGGATTTGAGCGGATCATTTTGGTGAGGTTAACCTGGCCTGATAGCTGAACGGACATTCATTATATTTGGTTCTATAGATATCGCGCAAGACATCTGTGACGTATTATCCAACATTGCATCTCGAACTTTCCCGGTATATTGCCTGGGCAGGGGCTGCAAAATTCGAGCTGCCATGGACTGTATCACGGCTGATCGGTGCTCCTCCATTGGCATTAGCCAAGCCGATTGCCAGTCAACAACAAAGACCAACGCGACAAGGCCAAGTCTCACAGGGTACGCCGACCAGGAGGCCTCCGGGTTTTGTTGGGCTGCCGTCTCCCAAGAAGGTTGAACCTATCAAGTTTGAATAAATGCAAGTACTGTGCAGGGAAGTTGGAAGCTTCATGACAGCGGTGTATTTCAATCTTTATCTTAAGGCTTTCATTTTGCTGTTGTACTTTTTAGCCATGCTTTTTTTTGCTCATCCTGGAATAGGTGCACGAAACACAATAAATTAACATCGATAAAATGTCGATAGGGACTGTCCGCTATTAAAAACACAAACATATATTTGAGCCCATATGATGTACAAAGATAGGGTTGAAAGAGAAAGAACTACACGTGTTCCTCGCCACAGGGCACCAACTCGCGCAACGCCCCAACCTCATTCCACTTGCGATGCTATTCCTCCACTTAATGTCCTCCCAAAAGCCGAGAGCCCTCGTTGTCATTGCCGCTGAATCCAAACCTAACATTGTTGGCGTTTCTGTTCCTAATCTTGAGCTCCAAACCGATTGCACTCCGCATGAGCCAGCACAATGACAGGATAGCAGCTCCAAGCGCACACCAGTGCACAAATGGCGACTTTTCCGGCGTCTGGTTTACAAAGACAGCCCATATGAACCAGGAGACCGCGAGACAAGCAGGAAGGTCGCCTTCTGCGGACGCGTACGCATAGGCGGATGCAATGGTCTGGAGGGTGAACCTGGGAATACGGGATCAGATATTACCCAGATCAAGTGAAGTATGACGTACAGGCTAAGGAAGACGAAAACTTTGGTCCAGATCCTCACTGGCTCGATTTCAGCATCCACACCGAAAGCCGCAAAGGCGGTGGTGAAGATCAAGCATGTCGTCCAGCCGTGGTAAAGGGAGAATGGAAGATGCAGGAAGAGTTCGTCGCAGATATTGCGTACAGTGCTCAACTTCACAAGCCGGTAAATTTTCTGTACAGACAATCAAGTTGCTGTCGTTCGACTAGGAGGTAGCAAATAACGACCTACCGATACGACTGAACAAGTAAAGACGATGAAAACCAAAGCTATGACGCACGTCAGTAAACTGTACGACTGAAAAATCAAGATGACCGACCATATTTGTACTCCTGGTTGGTCCAGGAATAGATGTACATAGCATTCAGGAAGTCGAGAAGCGGGAGATTCCAGCCGATGATGTCGATAATGAGTTCCTTACCCCGTCCTGAGAACTGGTAGGTGCATGTTCCAAGAACCAGCAAGTGAATGACAGGCCTGTTGGCGGTAAGCGGCTGACACGTGAAGCGTGCATGTTTCTCACCAAAGGAAGTATGCCCAGGGAGCAGGGGTAAAGTATGTCTCTTTCCCTGAGTAGTAGACATCCAAAGGAGAAATAACTGTGTAGCCATTTGCTCCCATGACGAAAAGCGCTCCAACAATATTGGCCATCTGGAAGTGAGCATCATAACGTCAAAAATGGTCAGATTTTATCAATATATTGGCTTTACTTTTAAAAGTAGGTGGTCGGTCCACGAATTGTTGGGAGGACGACGAAAGAACGATGCCATTATTGAATTTCTGGTGTTAGGGAGGGGAACTGAAAGAAAGGGCTTGCAATCAATGAGGCGTCAGATCTGCTGACTTTATGTAGGTCCACTAGTAAGCTGGGCAAACACGCGTCAGAAACGCGTTGGATGGGCGTGGTTTGTCACGTGGCTGCTGGCAAGATCTTGTCTCTGCACGTCACTGAGGAATGGAAGCACTTGTCAGTACTAGTCGATTCACCTGACTCCTTCTGATAGCCCTTCCCTGCAGTGCATTACACAGGTGATGCTGCATTTTCCGACTTGATTCAGACGGCACGCCGACCGGGGGCTCTGAAGCAGTGGAACTGCCTTTGCGCTTCCTGCGAAGAGTACGCCTGCAGTGGACACAATATTCGTCTAACACAGCTCGTCGATCGATCGCGACCTTGGTAGGTGCCAGGTGGTGTTCGAAGAGATTTGATGGAAGGCATTGGTGTCACGTGTGGCGCTTATATACGTAACAAATGTGTCGATGAACGACTCGAATGCGCTTGCACCTTTATGTAATTCAATATCTCATGTTTCTTTCACCGCGTATCTGATCTAGGCAGAACTTGCTGTTCCGTTCTAAGCCCACCCAGCTCTCGAGCGAGTTGGCAGAAGTCCTACTTTTCTCCCAGCATCTGCCAATCTAACAGCCCTGATAGCAGGATCAAAGTTGGATCTTGACATGCGCGTGACTCAAAGAGTGCGTGGAGTGGCTACTTACCGAGACAGGTGTACGCATTACGAGGTGGAGACTTGAAAAGACGTTACTCTCGCTTTCTGTTGTGGTGTGGTCATCACCATAAAAGAGACGACTTGAAAGTGAACAATACAACTATCAAGCACTTGGCGCATTCGCCGCATGGATGGATACAAATGGCAATAGCATTGAATTGCTGCCTAATGACACTTTCATGCGTAGCTGGCTGCTGTACAAGGTCTACACCTGGAGACCAATGCAAGATTCTTCATCTGACTTATTCTCTCTATGGTCTAGGTCTGAAAGCTATAATAATAAATTGAGTCTCGAATCAGCAAGAAGAACAGCAACATACCTGGTAATAAGGTTGGGGAAGTACGTCCGAGGTACCCACTGTGTGACTTACAGGTGACATGGGAGTGTCGAAGTGGTTGGTGAATGGCTCGGAGAGTGTTTGGGGGAGTGTTTCCGGAGTGTTGGTATGGGACGCAATACGTGATGAAAACCATGAGAGCAAGCAGTCATAAAAATCCCCCAGCGACCTCAAATCTTGCCTGTCAGCGCAGTAGCCTAGCGACCAACGATAGAAGATGATCATGCAAAGTAATATGCAGGCATACACTGGTATTATCAGATTTCTCAAATATCCTTTGAGCGGCAGGGTGTGTGTTACTACAGCAACATGGCAATGAGTGTCATCCAAATTCCAGATACTAGGACGCTTGATTAGTACTCACTGTCGTAAGAGCGAACCTCGATTGAGACCACCACAAATCCTGAACCCATTGCTGCATGAGACAAGAGGCAATTGTGGACGGGGGGATCGGTTTTGTGTGCTGACAACACTGTGTGCACCAGGCGAACATGAAGCAGTGCAAGTAGGAAGGATAAGAGAGTTATGCTAAGCATGAATGGAGACAGGAATCCAACAGGGGCAAAAAAGCCGACCATGCCTGCAGCAAGTAGCTCGCCGATGTAAGCGAATACAAAGTAAATTGTGAATAACTGGTTCATTGTTGGATGTAGAGTTGTAAAGAGTGCAGACAGGCGTTGAGCTCAGGGGCGTGCACAGCCACATTGTGATCACTTGCATTGAACCCCTAGGATGGTCAAACAGCAAGCTGAGCGCTGAACATGGCACGCCACATCGTTATGGAATTTCGTTGTGAACCTTAGCTGGGCCGTTGACCCTGAATATTGTTAAGATTGATGAGTCGAGGGGACGCTGAGAGATTAAAGGCGTCTAGGTCAAGTTGCAATTTTGACAAAGTCGTTCTTACGTATACGCCTAACTTCCGCTGTTGGACCGAAATGTGCTGTGCTTCCTGTGCGTGAATTGAAGTGATACAATGAGTGTTTTATTCCGTAATGATAATGTCCATGGCATATACTTGATGAATACTATACATTGCTAGTTGCGTATTCCGATGCCTCCTGACATATAACGCCGTCATGCGTTCAATGCAATATGTATACATATTCCCATAAGATGTCCATCACAACCATAATGTACTTCCCAATTGATTAAACCTTGATACGCAGAGCTTTCTTAAAGTTCTCCCATTTGCTAGGGTGCGAGAACACCACCTGCCATCTAAGAACTGTCAACGACAACGGCACGATATCCGCAGCTGCAATCTTACCTGACAATCAAATCACCGCGTCCCATCGTCTTTCGACCTTCCCGAATCGGCATGCCCGCTCCTTTAACCAATAATTGCCCTTCGGTGGACTTGTCGTAGATTGGATAGGGCAGTGCGAAGACAATTTCTTCCCCATCCATGCCGTCTATACAAATATCGGCCCCTAGCTCGGCGAGGCTCTCCATCCATGGCACACAAATATACACAAACAGGTCATCTTTTACCCTAGTGAAACCACCATGAGGTACCTCTTCAACCACGAAGATTACGTCCTGAAGAGTCCCGTCCTTCCGCTGGTGACCTGTACGGGGACAGACAATCCTAGTTCCGCTTCGAATACCCGGAGGTACATCGATATAGATCTCGACTTGCTCTGTTTTGCGGGATAACAACTCCCGTGTGATGAGAAATTGGAAAGCCGTTCCATGATACATCTCGTGAAGGGTCAGCGGAAGTGGAAACAGCCACTCCTTGGATGTGCCTCGAGGCGCACCAAGGGGTCTTAACGGGGAACCATACGTGGGAGCGTCGTCTGAGTAAGTTGAACCCTCTTCTTTTTTGTACTTCGATGACCCCTTGGAAAGCTTTTGAAGTAGTTCCCTATGGAACAATAAATTAATTGTGATAGTGTTGAAAACAGATCACTTACTCTCCCAGTCCGCGCCGAGACAGTTTGTGTAATTTAGATGATGTCGGTGGAATTACAGGCCGCGAGAAATTGCCTGTTTGACTTCGCAGTGATTTCGCACCGTTCGGAACGCGTGTGCGACCTTTGGAATATATGGAGGTAGATCCAGCCCCTTGGTTGTTTTTAGACCGGCTCAAAGTCTCCGACTTCGGGTCGCGTGAGACCGGAGCAAGCGCTTGTCCTGATCGTGGCTCGTGCGAATTGAGTGAAGGGTCACGCAAATTGTCATGTGACTTTGAGTGGGGAATGCTCGTGCGACTACTATGAGAACGGCTAGCGCTCGTGGCGTACGACGGCGCTTGATCATGTGCAGATGGTAAATCACGTAAGTTATCGTATGATTTTGTTCGGGAGCGGGAACGAGAGCCATTGCTGCCATTGCTGCCTGTGCTAGAAGGCTTATGGGAGTGGTGTTTTAGATTGGAGTGATGGTCGTGTGAGGCATAATGAGTGGTTTTGTCGTCTGACGAACTAGGCTGGGAAAGTTTTTCGGCGTCAGAGCCAGGAACGAAAGTGGAGGAGAACTGATTGAGTGTCTGCTCACTCTTCTGTGAGCTTGACGACTTTGTATGACGGGATAACTGTGCATTGGCTTGTGGTCGTGGCTCCGCGGAAGAGCTTTTGGCTGTGCCACTTTCCGTGGGCGTAGATAACGGTGAGACACTGTCTCCACAGGAAGGAACCATGCCTTCTGTGCCATCCATCAAGGAATGGTAGGCAGTGTTGACCTGGCAATGATGATGTTGAATGTTAGACTGGAGGACACGATGATTACACCGCTTACTTCAACAAACATCTGCGCTGCGTGTTCTTTCCCGAACTGATGACGGTCGGGGTGCCATTGAAGGGCCTGTTGAGAGGATGAGTACTGTTTATGCACAATGAAAGCCGGAAACATACCAGTTTCTTGTATGCAGTTTTGATATCTTCGTCTGTAGCGTCGAAAGTGAGACCAAGAGCATTATAATATTCTGGTCGGCGAGCAGCTACGGGCATCATCGGAGAGTAATGAGAGTGGGTTTACAAGGCTCGCAAGCTGCACAGGGAGGTAAGCAGGAAGGGCTCCAAGAGTGGGGGAGGGATTGTCCTCCTTTTGTAACGCAGGGTAGCATTTATATGTGAGAGAGAAGGCTCGTTAAAAACGACCCGAAACGTACTTTCCAACTTGTAGATAGCTTCTAAAGCGATCATGAAACGCAGATTGCCTGCAGGTCACATACTGAAAACAACTCTGCCTCATGTTCAGCACGGAAATTCCGCGTGTTGTTATGAGTAATTACTCGCCCGAAGCATGATCAATGTGTGTCGGACGCTAGCGCTGCTGTGCAACATGATAATTGGACTGCACTACAGCTTGCATTTTTTTGTTCGCCTGGTGGCTTATCGCGTTTCTTCATTATGCGGCGCAGCTAGCGGCACTAGATAGTAGTCAGAAGAGCACTAACGGCTAATTCTACTTACTTGAACTCGTTCCTTTTTCGGTGCGCGTAAGCTTTAAGAAGGTTTTTCACGGTGTTAGTAGAATACTCCATCCGACATCGTGCCTTGATCAGGATCTCGCCCCACTAGAGGCCGACAATCGATCATTGGAAAACATCAAGTTGGTCGACAGCTGACCAGAATCGTCATCAATGCATCATCACTCCATCAATCCGTGGTTATATCAATTGAACAACAGATTTCCCAGAGAGCCTGGCCAGTGAATTCCTGGAACGTCATCTGTCCTCGAGGTGTGTGACAAGGTTTTGTTCGGTTCTCCGCTGCTTTCATAAGCTTCAAGTTAACGTCCTTGGTTCAGCTGAGTCTTAACGCAGCAGCTTCTCTCTACACAATCTCCTCCGAGGACCTTTCGTTCATCACCGTCTCTAGTTTCAGGTTACCCCACACCATATTGAAGGCCGTAAGTCTAAGACTTTTATGAATCATACCCCGTCGGTCACCCATGAATGCTCCGGGTTGCTCGCAGCAGTGCCGCCTCGTGTCTCTTATATTCATAGCTTTACCCCAATGCTATCGGGACTCCGCGTCTCATCAATCCTGGGCGCGTATTAAGACGGACGGTGTTTTGAATCGCTGCGAGGCAGTTCGCTATTTGTCACCTACGCACTTTAGTGGAGTGTATTGGCGCAAAGGCCCGTGATGTCAACCCTTGACAATGTACCGTTCCAAAGGATCACAGAATCCGGTACACTCGTAGGCATCGCACACGTCCAGCGTTTCTTTCATTCTCTTGAGACTCATGCCCCAGGTACTAGCTTGTTACTGGTCTCGCTCATAACTATTCTAGGTCAGTCTGTCAAACGGGCATCCTCATCGGTGTTTGGATTTCCGCTCCACGCGGGCTCCACAGTCAAAGTGAGTGCTATACAATTCATTCGCGGGAGAATCACCCTCACTATTCGCGGGAATGTTGATCGAGTTGTCTATTTGTCAAACATGCTTGTTCTATGTTTGTATTGATCTCTATGATCCGGGCCATCCTATTGTCCTATCGACCGCGGAGTGGAACTCTACAATGTCACCGGCTTCCGGCACTGCAATTCGATGATCATCACTCCCTGTGATGTTGTCGTTGTACCTCAATAAATGTAAGTCATTTAGTCTCCTGATTCGTGGTCTGCTCCTGAACACCTTTGAATGTCACTATCTAGACGCTTATTGTATGACACGTTGGGTGTAACAGTAATCATATCTCATGAGACTAATCGTGAAATGAATTAAAAAGTACAGTTGATATGCTAATCTAACGAGTGGAGGTAGATGATGCCCTGATAAATGATTACCCCAACAACTTCTTCAGCCCCTCTTTCTGTGAGGGCGTAAGACGGTCTGGGAATACGACATCACACCGTACTATGAGGTCTCCTTTCTTCTTCATGCTGCCCTGCTTTCTAATCGGCATCCCTTCGTTGGGAATTCTTATCTCCTGATTGGGCTTCACCACGCCACCAGGCAACGAGATTTGCAATTTTCGGCCGTCCAGAGCCACGATGGTCTTCTTTCCGTCTACGCCTGTGAGTGCCTCCACCAAGGGTATCCTGAGACGGCAAATCAGATCATCTCCTTCCCGTGTGAAAACATCATGGGGTTTCTCCTCCACCACGAATACTAGATCTTGTGCCTCCCCGTTCGGCTGCTCATTGCCGGCTCGAGGGAAACGTATCTTTGTGCCGCTCTTCCAGCCCGGGAGAACCTGGATTTCAAGCACCTTTTCCTCCGTAGAGCCCCCCAATAATCGTCTGCCGACCTTCAGGTGTTTGGTCGTACCTGTAAATAGTTCTTCAAGTGAGAGCTTCAGTGGGCGAGTAGTTTCTGAAGGGGCTGGGGCTGGGGCTGGGGCTGAGGTTGACGTCGACGTCGATGATTGATGTCTAGGAGATGGTCGCTCCGATGGCATGCTCCCCGGCATTCCAAAGAAAGACCCGCCACCACCTATATCGTCGTCATCAAAAATGTTTGGACTTCTGCCCATGCCACTCGTACCACTCCTGCCACCGCTCGTGCCACCAAAACCTGAAGGACCGCCCATGCCACCGAACATTGGAGAGCCACCCATACCACCCATACCTCCAGAGCCACCCATGCCTCCGAAGCCTCCGCCAAATTGGCTGAATATTTGTCTACAAAAACGTTTAGTTACTAAATGTTGAATGCTGGACAATGCATGCATGTTACTTACTCGAATATTTTTTGCGGGTCACTTGGCGCAAACCCATTACCCCCGGGGCTAGATGTGAATCTAAATGTGGCCCCCCCTGGGAAGCCTCCTGAACTACCCGCAAAGCCAGGGAATCCAGCGCCAGGGGCAGACCCTCCTCCACCTTTGAGACCCTCTTCACCAACTTGGTCATATATGGTTCGCTTGTTCTTGTCACTGAGGACTTCAAATGCTTCTGAAATCTAATAACCCGTCAGCTAGGAGCATAAAGCGAGATATCCCACTTACCTCCTTGAACTTCTTTGAGGATTCTTCAGACCCTCCATTGCGGTCTGGATGCCATTTCAGAGCCTGCAAACAAGACGTCAACTTGAACAGGTGCGAGCATGTGAAAAGTATCACATACCATTTTCTTGTATGCCTTCTTGATTTCATCCTCCCCGGCATCTCGAGAAATACCCAAGGTCTTGTAGTAGTCGGCACCCATACTTGGGAATGTACTTGGTCGTTGTACTAGATGTGACTTACTTGAGTTGGAAGTTCAACACTATATAGCCCTGCGGCTGTGAATTATTCCTCAAATTCAGGAAAGTTCAAGATCTCTGTTTTGATTTCCCCAGAACACCCCAGAACCGTCCGAGTCACTGACGTCAACTCCGACTCATGGTAGGGCATACGTGGGAAGATAAGTCCATGGACCTGACGGCATGTGACACAACGGCATATTTAAGTTATCGACTCACCCAGAACAAAAACTACTCATATAATGACTTGAAAACGACACAAAAACATTGGGCATAAATAAAAGTGGAGGCGATCATTCAAGAACTGTCACATATTGGAACTGAGAGACGGACACGCTGAAGGTACTATTGTAAGACTCGGCGTGATAGCTAGAGACGAAGAAAACATACCTCAGTGTTGTGGAACAACGACTGAGGGACAAAGCGATGCGGGACTGTATGCTATGAGACACGTGATGATGAAGGAAGGAATTCTATACTAATGCTGACGAAGTTGAATCCAACATCACAGTCAGACGACAACGTCATACTTTGGTGCATCGCTTCCGTACAATGCCAAAGCCATCAAGAAAACTGTTGACTAACGCCCATTGTTTTATATTTGTCCATTTTGTCTGCATTGCATCTGCACAATCAAGGTTCACCTGCTCCAAGTTGGGAAAGATGCCGCTGAGGATGAGAGCCACCTTTAGTGGTGTCTCGACCGGTGAATTTCCGAAGACGAGGTGTTTGAGATACTTGTTGCAGATTCCACCGCCGGGAGTTTTGAGATCTATTCCGTCCAGCTTGGTGGCATCAATAACAAGAGCGAGAGAAGTCAGAATGGGGCAGAGCCGAAGTAATTCGATTAACCCATGTAACGTGGGCATTGTGGTGTTACCGACGGGATTATAGCAGCTGATTTTGAGTACGTCGAGCTTTGGCCAGTCTCTCACCAGCTGGCAGAGTTCCTCATCAGATATGGAAATGTCACAGCCCCTCTCGACGGACAGTTGAGTTAGGTTGCGGCATGCTCGCAATGGCATGAAGACACCCGGTTCTGCGCGTATCTTTCCAGAGTTTCCAAGAAGAGTAAAATCTTCAAGTCTGTCGGTGTCGCATCTCTCTCGGAGAATGGTGAAGAACTGGGATAACGTCGTGGATCCACTTGAGGAAGAATGAGCAACGCCATAGTCAATCTTAATCTCTTTGCTTTCTATGACCCGAAGTGAACTCAAGAAGTTCAAGGCACGCTCGAACGTATCGGTAGAAAGGCCCAAAATTTTTAAATCGTGAAAGCCGGGCAATTCTAAACGCGACTTTCTCTCGGAAGCCGAAAATGTCCTCAAGTCCAAGCAAAGTGACCGCAGAGCTCGTAGCTGCATAATATGTTCGATGCCTTGGTTGCCTGGATCCCATACCGATAACGAGTGAAGATGGTGGAGCTGGGAAATAGGTGGTGTGACGAAGGGTGAGATCTTACGAAAGAACTCGTCGGTTGCAGGTCGAATTCTCAAAGCCATATCCCGGAGATGAGGACACAAGGCCCCAACAGACGAAAGGACCGAGAGAAAGACAGAAGAAGTTGAAGAGATTTGCACGTCCAAGACCAATAGGGAGGGTACCAAAGCCATGCGCAAAAACTCTGTAGCGCCGCGAGTTCCATTGGCAGACCATGATAATTTGCGAAGGTTCGGAAACAAGGACGCAGGTGTTGAAGGAAAGGATAACATTAGAGAACCGAGAGGCTCGACGATGGCCTCAAAGCGGCGCGATTGTGTTGCAATGATTGAGTGTACGCGAGACGTGTATTTGCAAAGAGTATCCCACATCATGCCGTCAAGAGGTTTTTGTAATACCTGGAAATGAACTCAGCCTGAAGCCCACAAATCACACCAAACCTGGGCACCTACCATACGTCCTCGATCAGTGCCAAACAAGTCACTTGGTAAACATTTGATAAGAGGCTCCGGGGACTGCAGATCCCTCCAAAGAATATCAAGTGCTAGACGCTCAAACGCGCGGCATGTGGATGCAAACGCAGGAAGTGACCCAAGTTGGATGTATGAACAGATTGTGTGGATTACTTCAAGGTTTCCCAAGGCTGCGTGCATGGTAGATGATCGATCATGAAGGAGAAGTTCCAATTTTCACAGCCACTTCACACCCTGATTATGATGTCAGTCTCATTTTGCAGTCAACCGTTAAACGTTAAACGTTAAATCTGGTAACCTTCAGTAAAACACACGATGCACACCCATCCGGCAAATATTGGTTATTTGCTGGCGCTAGCTTTCACTCTCCTTCAAAGGGTTCTCTAGCACTGGAGTTTTGCTCGAGTTACTACAGCCTCGCATGTATAATGACTCATCCCGAAATTAATTGATATAACCTTCCTGCTTGTGACCCGTCCGTGTGCGGTACAGACTCTGTATTGCGCACCTGCGACCAGTGTCCAGCTGTCATTATCAACATGACAGCAAGCCAGAAGCCCGCCAGCGAGCTTGACGTACCCGCCTCCTCGATACTTCGCGTGTTGAGCTCTGGTCCTTTTATCTCTGCTATATTGTAAGTGAAATAGCATTGGTACAAGTTTTGTGAACAAGAACCAGTGACTGAATGGGACTAGCTCATTTCTTACTAGGGAACAATGCTTTTCCTGGTTTTAACTTCGGACCGTCTCAGAGCTCGCTCTTCCTGGCAGGCTACGATCCATGCCAGCCCTTGCGGGTAGCAACACAGATTGTGTGCTGCCCTATCTCGGCAAGATGAGAAACAGTTAGTGGACTCAACTCGAGATCTTTCATGGTGACCCATCTACATAGTCAATTCAATTGTGCTCTTGACCAACGGCATCAGCTTTGCAATCCAGGCGGTACTTCTGCTTATGATTGAGGCCTGGGCAGACTACGGCACACAGAGGTGTGGAGTCATACCATTGAATTTTGTATGTATCGAGGTTGACATTGAAGACTGTAGACCAAACATAACCGTCGTAGTCATGCCTGTTGCGGTTGGTGTCATTTGCCTGGCTTGGAGTGTTCTACGCAGTAACGTACTTAACCTTGCAGTTGCGGTCGTACACATTCAAGTCGTCAACGACGTGCAGACCCTTTAATTCAAGTCGGAGGCTCTCTTCTGAGGACACGGTCCAAGAGCCCATAAAACGACCTTGGCCTTCCTTAAGAATTCCAATTGCCTCGGACGAGTTCCAGACTCGTCACGAGTTTACGGCGAGAGTTCAGGCCTGAGGCCTCATATCTTGCATTCTAAGAATAGTAGAGTCCAAAATGATATCAAGGCCTCGCCTCTGATTTTTTGGAGTGTGGCGCCGTAGAGTTGGCCTTCTGAAAGAAAATGTGTGACGTACTGATGGTACCGCATGTCATACTCTTCAAGTCCTCTGTGACCTGTTGACGAGAAAAACAAGACATTGTAATTTGCCCCGCTGTGAACAATATAAGTGAAAAAAAAAATTGCGACTCGAGAGCAAAGATCTCGACGGAAGTCAAGTACAAGTACAGGATTATTAGTAATCAACCTCCTCCTTGGCCCGGGAGTCCCAACTTCCAAGTTAACAGCACTGTGTAAACCATGGCCTCTAATAAACCGCCCGAAGACGAAGATAACGCGCACGTTGGCCTGTTTAGGCGATCATGGACTGCAGTTTTTCCGTTCTCTTCATCCGCGTTAGCCACTCTTCCCGAAAACACCCAACGGCCCGTGCGTTACACAAGAGAAGATGATATCCCAGACGTGGAGCACGACATTGATGGGCAAAGACCTACCATCAGAGATTACAATGCCATCAACTCTGTTCCGCCTCAGATACGTGTTCCGAAGAAGGTGGCGACGTCTCTGAAGATCGAGGGAAAGGTATGGTTCGCCAATGAAAGGAGTTAGCATTCATCCTCTTCCTCTCTCGTGTCATTTTCTAACGCCAATCAAAGCATGGATATCCTGGCTGAATCTTGCTGTGCTACTGGGAACTTTGGCGCTTGCCCTCTTCAATGCGTCGAAAGACATTGTAGCCCAAAGATTTGCATATACTTATGCCTTGATTAGCATCGGTGTTTTGGTAAACACCCCCAAGTCTGCTATTTGCAATAAACCGATGCTCATGCTGCGAGTTTAGGTCTACGGTTTTGTAATCTATCAGAATAGGATCACTATGATTCGCAAACGCGACCCTGGGCATTACGGTTAATCTGACAGCTTCATAGTAGATCCAAGCTCACTGTTAATTCCTAGACCACATCGTTGGACCTGTCCTTATCAGCGCACTTCTGTTCTTCGCAGTCTTGGCCAATTTTGTAATTCGAGGTGAGCATAAACCAATCACGCGTTCACTATTCTTAACGATTTCCTTATTGTAGTGCGCGAGCTGTAAGTTTGCTCCGATAATTCTGTGTTGCCGCTCACAACATTTTGCAGACAATCAAAAGAGGTCCCTATTCCTGGTCTAGGATCTCTATACCACGTTACTAGCGCACTCGTTACGTCTGGCAGTCACCCATAGCTTCAATATGTCAATGAAATTTCGGACTCTTCTGGGCTGCTCACTCGATCCCATATCGAGATCAACTTGCTGGTACCCAAAAGAAAGGTCAACACCCAATCCTTCCAATGGTTTACCATTGTTACATGAAGCATGTTACTAGGCCTCGCGTAGATATATATGCCGTTTTTGCCGAGTGCCACATGCACCCGCTTTCTACTATTTCCTCAGTCCGTGGTCCACACTCAGATCCAGAGATCACAGTACAAAACTGCACACAATTGAAACTTCCATCCAGCCATGAACATTTGGCCGATTAAGGGCGACATAACATGATTAGAGAATACAACAGAGAATCCACATCCAAGTACAAAAGCACAGATTACTTCAACGCCTTCTTCATTTTCTGCAGAGCAATGAAATCAGTAGCGATAGGCGAATCAAAGATTATCCACGCACCTCTTCCATCTCCTCCAGATCGTTGGTCTCTATTCGGATAATCTTCTTACCCAGTGTTTTTTCAATCTCCTCCATCTGTGACCAGGTTTGGCGGTCATGTACAAAGTTTATTGAGATACCCTTGCGTCCGAAACGACCAGTGCGGCCTTACAGAGTTGTTAGTAAGGCACGGAACAAATCTTGGAAACTCCTTACCAATACGGTGGATGTACGTCTCAACGTCGGGTCTTGCGTCATGGGAGTGTTGATTTCCACGCTCATTCATCAATGGCAAGTCGTAATTCACTACCATGTTGACCTGCATGATGTCGATGCCACGTGCGATGACATTTGTCGTGATAAGAACTTTGTCCCGTCCTTCACGGAAGTTGTCAATAATAGCGTCACGTTCTCCGGCGTCCTTGGCACCATGCAGTGATGCCACTTTGTGACCCTCGGCTGACATGCGTTGTGATATTCTATCTGCTGTATGGCGATGCTAGGAAGAGCAAAGGGAGTGGTCAGTAAGGTACGACGAGGCGGGCGCCATCGTGCTAACCTGGCAGAAGATGATACTCTGACCGATCGTCAAAAGCTGGTACAGGGACACGAGGATATCGTATTTGTGTTCTTCATTTCTACAATCCATGTAAAATTGCCGGATGCCTTCCACAGAGAGTTCCTCCCTCTGAAGCTCGATCTTGTTCGCACTGGGAGCGAATTTACTAGCGAAATTGCGGACGTGATCGGGGAATGTTGCCGAAAACAGGATAATTTGAACGCCTGTTCGGGGAATGAGGCTTACATCGATTTGTTTTTTGTGAATTGCAGCCCAAACGAGAGAAAAACATACTCACTTCTTTACCCGCAGTGTTTGGTCACCGAGTCCATCCTGATCAAGCATGTTATCTGCTTCATCGAGAACGAAGACCTTGACTTCAGATGTATCGATGACCTTTCGTCTTAAAAGATCTGTCATTGTTCCGGGAGTCCCGACGACAATGTGTGCAGTTATCCGTGATGTGCCCTTGGGAAGATTATCCTTTATTGCGTATTCCGTTTGAACTGGAGTAAATTTGCCCATAGCAACGACAACACTCATAATCTGACGTGCAAGTTCTCGTGAAGGAGCTAGACATAGTGCCTGTAACCAGTCTTAACGGAGAGCTGTAAAGATGCACATAGAACTGACCTGTGTCTTGTTCTTGGAGAAATCTACACGACTCAGCATGGTAAGCACAAATGCAGCCGTTTTGCCTGTGCCAGATTGCGATTGTCCGATCATGTTCTGAGGACTTGAGGTAGTGATCAGTAACATAGTTCCATGTTACACGAACTGATCTACCCACGGATTCGCGAGCAGTAACGGCAGTGCACGCTCTTGGATCTTCGATGGCTTCGAGAAACCAAGATCATAGAGACCCTTCAATAAATCTTGATGGCTACGATGAATCGTTAGAGATGCATAAAATGGTAGGATACGACAACGCACAGTCCAAGCTCCTCAAATGTCTTGGCGCTAAATAGAGGAGAATTCGGGTCGGCCTGCTGGTCTGCAAGTGTGACCTGAAAATATAGTGAGTTATTTAACAATTTAGTATTACGGCTCCTAAACGTACCGTGACCTCGAATGTCGACGCAATCAAGTCAGTTCTAGCTAAGAGTATAGCATCAGTTTCGCTGCGGGACAACGACGTGACCTGCACGCACAACTTGAAGATGGAATAGGCTCAGGCTGCTCCTCCTCCTCCTTCGTATCCTTGCTTTCAGCCTGTGCAAGTGGCGCAGAAGCTGCAAAATGTCAAGTTTATGGTACCTAGTAGCGATATGTCACAAACCTTCCAGTTTCGGGGTATAAAAACCGTCTGCGTCCTTCTCCATGAGTGATGGTTAGAGCGAAAGATGTGAATGAAGGTTTGAGTTCGTCCGATTATGGAAGGTAAACTAAAACCGAGACGAATCAGATCTAACTTTACATAAGAGTCCATCTTATCTTAGGTCATCATTTCCTCTTGGATCATGAAACACTCGTCGACTTGTGAAATAATACAGGGTCAGTCAGATACCAGGTTGTCACTCCGGCAAAGATAACCCATGAACGCAAAACCGTTGTGGCCTCCAGGTCACACACTCAGACTCCTTCAGAAAGTACAGAGGCATGAGTCTCTTGTGGAACTCGTGTACACGTCCCATGAACGTTGGCCTTTCCCTCGACTTCCCACTCACCCACAACGTAGACTCGACACCATTCGTATATCTATCTTGGACTCTTCTTTCAATCCGCCGACATGCGCCCATCTTGCTCTGGCAAACTCCCGACCTCCACGGTATACCGTGAAGTCCGGCTTCACAGGCTTGCCTTTGGCATCAGCAGCTGAGCTCGATTATGATGCAAAGTTGCTGCTGCTATCCGTGCGGAACGCCGACAAAGCACTGAAATCCGGTGATGCAACATATGAGCAGCGCCTGGAGATGATGTACCTCTTATCAAAGGACATGTCAGCATCTGTCTCGAAATCTGAGTCTGCGCATGCCAACGTCGCAATAGCCATCGTCGATGAACCAACTTTTGTCGGAAAAGCCGTACTTCTTCGGCAGTTCCTGCACGCGCGGATCTTGAGCATGTATCCTCCGGCAACTGCTCTGGACAGGATGGCAATATCACCCGCTTCTGACGAAATATCAATACCCAATCCACGCCTAGTATTCCTGCTAGGCTTTGACACTCTCATCCGCCTGCTGTCTCCGAGATATTATGCATCTGAAGTTGCAATGATGGATGCTCTTCGTTTGTTTTTCTCGCCTGCGGGAGATGATTGTTATGTGGTGTGTGCTCGGCGAAAATTGGTAGAAATGGAACACATGGTACAAGAGGAAGTAGAAGCGAAGACTTTATCCGTGGCAAAGGAATTCGTGGAGAGCGAGCGAGTGGCGTTGATCAGTCTAGGCACTGACAGTGTTGACGAGCAAACCAGCTCAAGCCAGGTGAGAACAAAGGTCGCACTCAAGGACGAGACATGGAGGAGACTCGTTACCCCATCTATCGCCGACTATATCATTCAGAATAGCTTGTACGCTTCTTGATGCTACCACTAGCCTTGAAAGCAAAGAAATATATTATGTTCCAGTCTATTCTATGTTACAACAACGGATATCAATTTCATTCATGCGTAAAGTATTGAATTTTCGAAAACATGCCAATCATGAAGTCCAAGGTGAACGATTTTCTATGATGAAGCTTGAGCGAAAGCGATAGCAACAGTCTGTTGAAAGCACGTGTCAGGTTATGGTTTGGTGATGTGGCCTCACGACACATACCTCAGAATGACTCAAGGACACCAACACATTAGTGATCCCTTTACCTTGTGCAGCAGCTTTCGCGTTGCCGTGAAGGGTTACAGTTGGAACGCCAGACTCGTTAGGCAGGATCTCGATATCCTTCATCGCAGCAGCAGCACCCTTTGATGGCACACCTAGCGACTTGAACACAGCTTCTTTTCCTACCCATCGAGCTGCGAAGGAGGACGGAGGTGACGGTTGGGCGCGGCAGTAGGCAATCTCAGCCTCGGTGAAGTTGCGTTCGACAAAACAAGGATTAGATGATGGCACAGAGGAGATCAACTCTTGATCAACTCCGACTCCTGCTACAGATCCCTTTGACGCAAGAGCATCTGCAACAACCTTGGCGTTGGCAGTATCAAACGGAATGCTCTTATCAAGGCTGGCAGCATACGAGTAGCTGCGAGTCTTCGGGTTGAAGGTAGCACGAGCCATGGGATTCATGAGAACCGCCTGCTCCAGCTCGGGACTGTACGGCGGGCCTTCCTTGATCTTGACAAGGGTGTTGGAGGTCATCATTTCAGTCATAACCTTGTATGCCTCTTGCGCACGGGACTGGTTGCGTATCTTGTATGACTCATAATCGGAGGTTTCAAGAGCACCGAAGAGATAGCGGGGATGAATAACAACTGCGGTGCCCCCGACTTGACCAAAACCAAAGGATGACTAATAGTCACAGTATTAGCCCGTGATGAAGACAGATCAATTGAACTCACCATGACACCGGCGCGGATACCATCGGTATGAATAGACCTCGATGGGAACATGAGGAAGTGATGAGCTTCGAACCGGGCATCAATGTTGCTAATGGGTGCCATGAGCAGGGGAAGTCAGTCTGGAGACGGAGTACTTACTCGCTATTGCGGTTACCTGGGATAATACCAGTAATGACAGTCTGCAACAAACCAGCCATCTGCCATGCCGCTGAACCACCCTTCGAGTGGCCAAGCAAGCTCTTCTGGGCAATAACAGGAACGGCATTGCCGTGGGTGCGTGACATGGACTCGAAAATGTTGTGCCAGATCTGCGTTTCGTTCTTCTCATTCGCGCCAGTACTCGTTCCATGAATCGAGAGAACACCAATGTCATCTGCTGTCAAGCCCCACACCGCGAGTGCACGGCGCATAGGAGCCACACGAGCATCAGTACCCTCTAGCATGCCATACGTAGCCAAGGTCTCCTTCTCTTGGCCGCGAGCTTCCTTCTCAATATCAGCAACACGGGATGAGAAGTATTCCTTGTCGACATCCCTGTCCATCGGCCTGCAGAGCATCCATCTCCTCCTGTAGCTGAGCAAGCTCGTGATCGAGCCACTGGGAGATCTGCTTGCGTCTGAAGGCGATCTGGCGAGATCGGTAATCAAGACTGAGACTAGGAAGGGGGTACTTCGATGGGAGTTCTCTTGCAACGGAAAGAGCACCGCGACCAGGAGCTGGGATAGATCGTCCAGCCTTGTCACTGTAGAACGATGATTAATGGTGCGTCGTTCAGGTTTGACGTAAACTTACGTGGAAGTCGACGTGAATGCCAGAATACCACGGATAGGAGCACCAATTTCCAGGGCTGTCTTTGCAGTCATAATGATGTGTATACCAGTCCCTTGGGATTCCATGAACTATTAAGCAAAGTCGGTGAGTTCAATATATCTAGGGCATGGATCAGACAACTCACGCCTGAGCGAGTGGTTGTAGCGGGACGGGACATCTCAGTAGGCTCACGTCCCATGGCGAGCTCAGTCTCGGCGTTGCTCGTGGCCTTCATGTTAGCGAACTCGTAAGAGCCTTCCTCGCTGATGTCGTCGAATCCACCGGCAATCATGACTTTCGCCTTCCCAGATAACAGCGTATCGGAGGCGATCTCAAGAGATTGAAGTGCGGTCGCACTGACATTTGAGACAACGTGAGGAACAGCAAACCATGAATCCTTATAAACACTCACCAAGCGCCAACAGGAATTTTCACTGGGCCGCTGGAAGACATCAAAAGAAGGTTAATCCATCCAGCAGTAGTGTTGATAAAACTGTGAAGATAGGTCAATCATGTATGCTCGTCAAGGAAAGTCAGATGGACTGACGTCTCCTGCAAGATATCATTCTGAACATCTTTCTCTTCGCGGCGGTCCTTGAACATTTGCGCAAGACTCTCCGTACCACCCATGCCGCTGCCGACACACGTGCCAACTTCAGAGGGGTGGAAGTACTTGTATAGTTCGTAGGGATCTGTGATTCCAGACATGTTCAAAGCCTCAGCAGTGCAAACAAGGGCCCAGAGAGTGGCACGATCTGTTTGAGCGATGATATCTGGCGGAATACCGTAGCGGCCAGCATCCCATCCGGTAGGAATTTGACCAGCAACGAGGCGACTGAACTTAAACGCCTTGGGGACAAATACGCGCGCACCCTTCTTGAATTTGACGAACCACTGGTCACCTTCTCCAGTCCAGATATCGCATTTGTCGCCATGCTCGTACTTGAATTTCTCGGCCTCAGATTGCGCAACTTCGATTGCTTCCAAGTCATGAATAAGCTCGATCTCTTGGTTGAAAACCTTCTTCTTGGGATCATAGCCGCGGAACAGCTCAGGCTCTGCTGAGGGGGATTCATAACTGACCAATAAAAGTCGAGAAGCGACTCACCAATCAACCGTACACCAGCGTGACTCAAAATCTCCTTCTCGTAACGACTTCTGACGTCCTTGTCGTCGACAGGCTCGCCAGTCTTAGAATCAACCCAGCCAACGTACAGTGAACCGTCCTTGAGGCGTCCATCGAAGTGTTTGATGTAACCCATGAGCCAGGCCATCTCAATACAGCCCTCAATCGTAAACTCTCCTCGTGCCTCCATTTCCCAACGAGTACGGGAACTACCCCAAGGACCGACCTCAGCGAATCCAGTGATGACGACAACCTTCTCCAGATCGATGATACCGCGGAGTTTCTCGAGATCATGCAGGGATGAAGTAGGTTCCAGGGCAGGGAATTCGAATGTGAAGTTTGCTCGCGGGACCACATTGGCGGTTTGCAGGACACGCTCACCCTCCGCTCCATTGATAACCTTGAAATCAAGAGCATTGTCGCGCGCAATAGCACGACGAAGTTCGCTCTTCTTGTTCAAGTTCATGCGAATGCGACTTGTGATATCAGCGAGGTCAGGGAGACGATCCATACCACCATTGAGGTCAGCCCAGATAGGCTCAACCTGGGTGATGCTGAAGAGCAACGGGTGCATCAAACCTAGGATATTGAACGCCATCTCCTTCGCTGAGAAGGTACGGACACCGTGACTCTCAACTTCGTCTGCGACAATGTTGGTGGCATCCATGAGACCTGTACCACGGGTCCATCTATGTGGTATAAGCCACCGAACAGTAGGAGAACATTGTGACGATACTCACCCGATAACAGCACCAGCCAAGCACAAATACTCGCCCCAGCTCTCCGAGTTCCAGCGATTGAACAATGTCTCTAGAGATATCTTGGACTCCGAATAGAGACCGTCGTTGCCGAAAAGGCCGTGATTAGGAGATAGGGGAAGAATGACTTGCGTTGGTCTGGTGACGAAGTGACGAGAGGCCTTCTTGTTCTTGACTGCACCGAGGATGCGCAGCAAGTTCACCAACATAATGCGGTGGGCAAGCTCAGACTTGTCGTCCAGGCCGTCAATTTCACGGCCATTCTCGGGCACTGCAGCGAAGGGCAGTATGTAGTCGAGATCAAGACCGAGCGTGGCATAGATATAGTCAACGAGTGCTTCAACATCCTGCTTCGAACCTTGGTTGAAGGGAACAACAGTAAGGGCCGACCCTCGAGCGCCAAAGCTCTGGTAGATGGATTGGTAGTACTCCACGGTCGCTCGGTTGTAACGTGAGGTAGTGATAACGACATGCGCACCGCCCGATAGAAGACCCTTCAAGATCTCTACACCAATGGAGCCCTTGCCGACGCCAGTGAGAAGAGCGTTCTTGTCCTTGAAGGTAGTGCCCGAAGTTGCAATCTCGTGAAGAATATCGAGGTACACGCCAGTCAAGTTGCTGGAGTACTCCCAGTTGCTGCCTACCTTGCGTTTGAGATGGAGGAGGGGAACCTTGTCTGCGGACACGCTGGTGGCGGCGGAGATCTGCGGACGAAGAAATTGGGAAGAAGAGCGACGACTGCGAGTGCGCGTGCGGATTTGTTCGGGACCCTTCCGGAGGGAACGAACAACACCCTCATACAATGCTTTGATGCGGTTCTTCTGGTCCTGACTGATACCGGGTTGCGATCTGACTACAGTCCACAGCTTCAAGACGTCATCTTGCACCTTCTGGATGTTTACAGTGGAGATGGTGTCTCCACTGGCCATCTCCTCGACATAAGCTTCCAACTTGCGAACATTCTCCCGGACGACTTCGGAGTAGACAATATCACCTTTCTCCGTGACTTCGGTATGAGGAGCAGTGGGGAATGTCACTGGTTTGAAAACGTGATTAACAATGATGAATACAAATCAGTCCGTGTGCTTACCATCTTTGTACACTGGAGGATGTCCGATCACTTCCTTCGTGTTGTCGATGAGCTGCTGGCCAAACTGTTTGGCAAGAACATAGGTATCGCCCTTACTGGCGTCGCAACGGTCGATGTTGTACTGCATATAAGTGAGAAGTTCGGGGTCGGCGCGGTTGAGTAGAGCGATGCAGCGGGCAGTAAGCTCGCGGTCAACGGTGGTGAGACGACCATGGATAATGTCGTAGTACATCAGGAGAGCGTCTTGTCGCA